TGTTTGAAAACAATTTCGAACTTAGTTTTTGTTTGAAATAAGAAATCCTTTCGACACGTTATGATATCAGTTAAAATGAAAATAAATTTGAATAAATAAAAATAAAAGTAAAATATAAATATATACAGAACGTCCCATATCACATTAGATAATCTCCAAGCTTTAACGCCATAATAAAAATATAACACTCGAAAAACCTAACATTTTCGGCAAGAAAAATGTTATATAAACCTTATTTCATTTTATGAAATGATTTATTCTTTAGAATCTAGACTCATCATAACGATCTAATATGATGGGACACCCTGTATATATCTAGACTTCCGCGCCAATTTCTTTTAATTGTTGCTCTTTGATAGATTTTGAACAATAGAAACTTTAGAACAAATTTTTCCATTCTTATAGCCATCCATTAGGCATAAACCTTCCCTGAGATCATGTAAGGTCCCACTACAAGTTTAGGCCCGATCGGTTCAGCTACATGCATGCCGGGTTACAAGATAGAGAGATAGCATGCGCGTAACTCCTGTGGGCTTCTGCGTCAGGGTTATTGTGACCAAAAAACCCGAAATCTTGAAAAGACGACATCTACTGTTTTAAATGTATTGTTTTTATTCTATGTTTATCGGTTACAAACAAACAGACAAGCAAAGCATATATTTATTATTTAATACTTAATTTGAGAAAAAAAGGCGCAAAGACAATCAGTAAATCAATCTGTTAGAAAGAACCATCATTATTGCTAAATGATAAAGGACAAAGTCAATTTCAATTAAATTTTACGTTGGATTTAAATCTGTTTTTAATAATATCTCCTCTTATTCACTAGCTGTTGAGAAGAATAAAAATGTTTTGAATTTCTTTTTAATTTGCTTTTCTTATTATAAAGTATGATTAAACTTTCAAATTAAAAATATTTTCTATTTTTGCAAAGAAAATAAAATTACCAACAACAAAAAAAACTTTTTCTATTTCGTTTTTTCTTTAATCTTGTGGTTTAGATTTTATATCGTTTTTGAATAGTAATATCATAATTTTACAACTTTATAGGTTCAATCCAGTCTCCAGACTTAAATATATTTTCAAAAAATAAATGCACAAATAAAATTAGATTTTTTAGTTTTTGCGGGAAATATTGCTCACAACATTTTTATAATTACTTGGATTTTTAAGCGCTTTGGGGCTCTAGTAACAATTTAACCAAAGGCCATTCAAAAAGTCCAAAATTATAATATTTAGTTTTCATTGAAAAGTTCCTAACGAACGAAACGGTATGAATAGAATGTTGTTTACATAATTGTTTGCTTTTGCATATTTTATTTTCAAAAGAGAGGTGAATTAATTTAAATTAACTCTTATTTAAAAACTTAAATTAACCAATTATTCCTTAGAAAAGTACTTGAAAGTTTATAATATAATAATGTAATCAAAAGAAATTATTTTTGTCTTAAAATTTGTTTTTAAAGAAGGTTTAAACAACTGGTTTTAGTCTTAAACTTTAATTTGTAATTTCCTTTTCATTGCTAGCCTAATATTTTAATTGAGAGGATGCTTAAAATCGAAATTTTATGTTGTACATTTTGTTTTCCTCCAGGGGCGTGGGGGGGGGAGGGAGGTAGGGCACCCAAATAAAAAATACTTTAAAATCTCACTTTTGCCCTTAACAAAAAATGTTTCGTTAAAAACCATAAATCAATACTGCCTTCAGTGTAAATCTTAGATATCATTATTTATAATTATACAATATGTATCGAATACGTATCAAGATATAGATATTTTTAAGAAACGTTTCCATCTCTATTTTTCGCCCATTGAAGCTTACAACCACAGTATTAAGAGGAAGTGTCTGATGATTACTAAGTTATTTTTCCATCTCCAAAAATCAGTTAAGAGAACGATCAACATCATGAAATATTTACTAAAATACATTGGTTGTCAGAATAAAATGACAAAAGAAATATTTTTTTTAGTTTCATTAAAGTGCATTTTTATCTACGTATAGGTGATCATTTTAACCATTAGCTCCAGCTGAACAGGCCAGTAACGGGGATGGGGGGCACACAAGGTAAAGGGGGTGGGCAACGCCCATTTATCAATAAAAAAGCACTTATTTCACCCTAAATTGGGAATTCTATCAATGTGATATTTGACACTAAACTTTGTTTTATAACTCAAGATAAACTTATTGATTTCAACATTGTCCAATTCGTCCAATTATATCAAACTGTCTCCGGTTATTTTAGATATTTCAAATCAAACACAAGCCGGTCAAATTTGTTTGATAGAATTTCATTAGAAATTGATGGCATCTCTAAAAACTTTGATAGCCGTAATTGAAAAAACTTTGATAGAAAATGATAAAACAGCTGTCAGCTTTATCTCCTTTTCTAATTTTAATTTTAGCCATTTTTAAAACTTATTTAGACTATAACAAATTTGTATAAAATTCGATCAAATTTTATGATATTATACAAAAGTTTTTAAGATATTATAAAATAGAAATTTGAAGAGGGGGGTGGGGATCAATTTTAAACCATAAAGAATTGTTATTGTACAAGGATGTTGTTAAAATCAGTTTTCAAAACAAGATCTCATGACAGGTTGCCCCAAAAAAGGGTAATTAGTAGTTTCAAATACATTTTAATTTGGGCCACTAACTTTGATTTTTTTATTCTTAAGAAGATTTTTTTTTTACAGTTTTTAAGCCTTTTTTCTATTGTTTTAAGTGTCAAAATATCAAAACTTCCTATGATTTAAATGCAGTATAACACGGGCAGTCGTAGTATATTTGAATTTCCGAGCCGGGACAACCTTTCCGGTCCCAGTTTGTACTGTATTGCCCGGACATCGGGTAAATAAAGCAGACACTCAATAGGACTAGCCAGTGCAACAAGGTTGACGCAGTCAGGCTTTAGGTTGAATTTACTTTTGCTAAAGGGCCACAGTTGCGTGATGTGTTTTAACAACAATTTTGTTCGAAAAATTGCAAAATATCGGGTTTTAAACCAATTTGAGACTTATTAATGCATCATACTTTTCTTAAGGACACCATGTCTCTACCAGGATCTGATTTCACAATTATACGGAATGAAAATATTTAGAACGACGAGGCAATTATCCTGTTTTCACTCTTATCCCCGATTTTAATTTTTGAATGTTGCTCGATGGCATTTTCTCTTCTAAAATTATCAAACAATAACAAAATGTAGTCCTATATTTTTCGTGGATTTGGAAAATTTGGAATTATTTTTTAAGCAAATTTTTTCATTCCGAGGTCCCACAAAAAATTTGGACAGGATCGGTTCAGCCATTTGAGACGCGCGTTTTAAAAAAAAACAAAGAGACAAGCAAAGTTTGTATATAATATAGATGAATATATATAAATCGTATTAATATCTAAATTGTATCTAACTATATATTGTAAACTATATATTGTAAACTATATATTGTAAACTATATATTGTAAACTATATATTGTAAACTATATATTGTAAACTATATATTGTAAACAATATATTGTAAACTATATATTGTAAACTCAAACGTACAAAAAACGTGGTTTGTGCTCTAAAAAGAAATAAGTGTTTGCCTCTAGCCCCCTATACCTTCGTATTCTGATGAAATAGACCTTTCATGTTTCACACTATATATTTTGTTAAACAATTTCAAATAGCAAAGATTTGCACATTTAAGATGCATTGATATAGGGATTAGAAAATAGAGATTTACACAATTATTCTGTTCCTTGGCAAAAACATGCAATTATCATTCTATATGCATCTTAATCATAGAGAATAGAATATATAGAGAGGAATTAAAAGAATCTCTCGGTATGAATTTTTTCAGTCCCTTTCTTTTAACAATAATTTTAGATTTTCTATAAAATGATATTCCAGGGCCCAACAGGTTATATAGCATAAATATGTGAAGTACACCTGCAGTATGGAAACAGTACAACAAAATGGCCGTTTTACACTTTTTTCTAGTAAATTCCTCTCTATATATTCTATTCTCTATGATCATAATGTTTATGTATGCTTTTGATCTTCATGAATTAAAACTTTCATTCTGAGTAATTGCCAAAATCTCAAGAAACTTTTATTCATAGCATTATACCTTAGACATAAAGAGAATAGAATATATATTAGAGTGGAATTTAGAAAATCTCTCGGCATGAATTTTTTCAGTCCCTTTCAGTCTGAAAGGGAGTTCAAAGTGTACAAATCATGTAAATGTTCGCAAATTATATGCAGTAGAGTACATTAATACAGTATGTTCCCTAGACTATCCATTTCAATTTCGATTTTTTTTAAAGCTGTTAAATAAACTTTAAAAAATTAATTTGGTGAAAAAAAACATCATTTGATTTATAGTTATAACGGAAAATCATCGTTTGTAAAGAGAAGGTATAGAGTCTATGTGAAAGAATCATTGGTCAATTATTAAACCAGCCTATTTTATAATTTGGTTTTCTTTTAATATTAATTTTAGATTTTCTATAAAATGATGTTCCAGGGCCCAAAAGGTTGTATAGCACAAATATGTGAAGTACACCTGCAGTATGGAAACAATAGAACAAAATGGCCGTTTTACACTTTTTTCTAGTAAATTCTAATGTATAATCTTTTCTCTTTGCTTAGACATGAAATATCGATCCAAACAAAGTTTTAGCAATTAACTCATGTTTACTTATATGCAGCACTTTATTTTCGTTTAACCTTGGCTTTTTTCACATTAAACTGTAAATTTAGGCTTTCTTCGATCAACTTTATGGATCAAAATTCTTTAAAGGGATTGTTGTTGAAAATCAAGGTACCTTTTATTTAAAAAGAGGTAGTCCACATTCACAACGGTACCCTTCAAACCAATATCTAATCAGCATTCTGGAAGATTTCCACGTTTTCCTAATTTAAGACTGATAAATTCTCACAATATTATTCATTGTTTCTCTGGTAAGAAATGCGCAAGTCACCGGTGAGTTATTACGTGTTTTCAGGATAAGAATGGGTTCTGAAGTCAGCAAAAACAATGATGGTTCGTTTACTAGTCCAGGGCCAATCATGTACTTTTCAATCATTTTAAAGGTAATTAAAGAGACTGTTCCCCGTTTTCATCATCACTTTGTATCCTTTTATTTTGAACAATTTAAACTATAAAGCAGAAAAAACTTCTGATCTGATCGGTAATCTTTGTCAAAATAAAATCATAGATTTTTGTCTGAAAAATCAATTATTTGTATAGTTCGTGAATTCTTAAAATAAACAAAGAAGAAAGAAACAGAGTTTTTGACACAAACTCAAATTTATCTATCCCTATTTCTTTGCAACAACTGATGGTGTAAACTTTTCATATTTCAAACTTAGAATATTTCATTTAAGATATTTCATAGTTGGAAAAATCACAGGTCCAAGACATCAGGTTGCAAAGATATTGAGATTAGAAATTTAGGATTTGTGGCTAGAACTCAGTTCTTTTACTGATTTTGTATCACTCTAAGTTTTTCGGATTATGCGGTCTATAGAGTATACTTATTTTTATTAATTATTAAGTACTTATCCTCCGTCTGAAATTCAAATTGTTAAACAAATATCAGAGAAATTAAGGTTAGTTAATTCGGTGATTAGAAGCATATATCGTTTATGGCACTCTAAAACCAAGGTTTACTAAAGTTTACTTAATAACAGTTTCTTTAATTTTATTTTTATCCAGGATCCTGATAAGATGCATATTGTTCCTTATGATAATATAGTTTCATCATTGGTTGTTAGATCCCTTGATAAAAACCACAAAGTCTTGGATCATAGACCAGTACAACAAGATGTATATATGATCAAGGTAAGTGATCATCTAAACATAGAACAGTACAACTTTACAAGAAGATGTTAGTGATGAATGTTAGTAATGAAAACATTAAAGTTATCATTTAAAAATCTTAGCGATCATTTGACCTCTGCCTATGCAGCAAGCGGAAATATGAAAATTTAACTAAGTGATATAAAAATATCAACATGACAGTAATCATGTTACATATATCTTTTTATTTGATCAAATTTTTAGTTGTTTTGAAGCCTACAATCGAGATTCATTTGATAGATCTATTTCAATTAAAGGTTGCAGGAAGCCCGTTTTCAACCTCGACCATCGGAGACAGTGATCATACAATTCTAGGTAACGATGCTCAAAACTTTAATATTCAGAATTTTGATTGAATTTTTGCAATTTGCGCATTTTTCCTTATTTGAGATTAATCTGAAATGAATTGAATACTAAAATTGTTATCTAAAAAAATACAAATTAAAAAAATATCTGCACAACTTTCGTTATTTAAATATATTTAGAAATCAACTTTGTAACGTAAAATTACAAAGGCTGCAGCAAACGAGTTAGTGCGTTTGGAAGAAATTACTCGTAACTTCGTAACAATGAAAAAGTTTCAACCTTTATTTCGCAAGCATTACTATCTTCGATTGCAATTTTGATATTTCTCTTGTTAAAATCGGGTTCATTTTAAGAATACTTCCGACCTCCATGGACAACGAGAAAGAAAGTCAGTCATTGCCACAAACTTTGATTACTAATCCCCATATCTTTGCAACCCAATGTCGTAGTCCTTAGATATTTGAAACTTTGAATTCTGATCAAATAATAAGTTTAAAATATCAAAGGTTTATACAATCAGGTTGCATTTGAAAAGATATAGTTAGTATAATTAGAAATCACATATAGACTCTGGAGACAAAATGGGAGAGTTATAGATAAGTACGTCCTCTGATCTTAATTATGATAATTTAGAGATGAAAATGGCATGGTGCGACCTACTCTCCGTATTAATAGATCATGGTTGGAGGATTATATCAACCTCAAGCTTGGCTCAACGTAGATCAGGTTCTACAATATTCTTCAGGTAATTTATTTTAGTCATTTTAATTTGTAAAATTGTAATTGAATATTTATTATCATAAATATTTGGTTTGTTTATCTTTTGATTAGTTCATGTTTAATAAACGTAATAAACTTCAATCTAAAGTAATTTCAACGTACTTTAGAATGAAATCTTTTTTGTTTTCAATCCTAACTCCTCATATTGAGGAGCTGTTGAGTAGAACAAAAAAGTTTTAAATTTCTACTATGGAACTGATATGTATAAAAGAATTGAGTCTTTGCCACAAACTCTGATTTTATAATCCCTATAGCAAATAGCAACTAATGTCGTAAGTCCAATGGCGTAAGGAAAAAAAATATGAGAGGGTCACAAATGTGTACTACCGCAGGAAGATGGTTGGCCAGCTAGCAGCTGAACCGTCTTTACGACCTCTGCTATGCATGACAACCTCAGGTTGGGATAAGCTGCTGTTCCTAAACCTACCTGGAGTACTGGTTGGAAAAGTATCCCAGCTGGTGGAAACTATCTGGGGAATTCAAGACTCTAAAACATATGAAAAGGTATTAAATCAAAACCAAACATTGAAGGTACAGTAAGCGTAATGTTAAGTGACCCTCCATGCAAAGACGGTAATGGCCGATTTACAACGGTACCATAAAAGCATTATTGTTTAATTTTCAAGTATCTAAATATAAATGTTTTAAATTTTTTAAACTTTTTTTTAAATTGTGTTTTCTCTACAAAAGTGACAATTGATTATATCTACTACAGGAAATTGAATATAGAAAGGAATTGAGCCTTTGCCACCAAAGGTCTATGACATTAGGTTGCAAAGATCTAAGGATTATAAAATTAGAGCTTGTGGCAATAACTCAATCCCTTTATAGATTTTAAGTTTTCAAACTAAAAACCACCGTGATATCTTCCACATTATTGATCAGATAAAGGTTGTGATTCGGGCATTTGCATTGTGCATGAAGGGTGGTCACATGAAATTACGATTACAGTCTCTTTAATTCCCCAGACAAAGAATGGGTGTACCCTGCAGCTGAAGCTGGTTGGGAGTCCTTGGTCCGGAGTTTCTGGAGAATATAGCATAAAAATCAGGCAAGTAAATTAAAAAAAAACGAAATGGTTTTTAATCAGAAAATGGAATTCTTAAGAACAGATTATGTTGATCCTTAAAGTTTTAAAGAAGTTGGCTCAAAAATTTGTCTAATTTGTAATTCTATGTGAGCTTATACCATACAGATACATTTGAATTTCATCAGCATAGAACATACAGTGAGGCCCATAAAGATGTGTAATAGGATCACGAGGTATGCTAGGCTCAAGTTAGTCCAATGAATGAAACACAACAAGTGTAACCCATTTTACTTGATAAGTTAACTATTTGCTTATACAGCAAATATACAAAAGATGTCTAAAAGGTCAAAGCTGTGTTATAAGAACAATAGGTTACCGTTGTGAACTATTAATGGTACTCTAGTTATAATTAAACTTATACAGTCCAATCTAATTTAAATAAATATTTTCAGGAAACTTATTCTCAGTGTTTTAAAGCTTTTCCAATCCCACAGCATTCACTTCACTGCCAAGGTCAACTTTAACCGGTCAACTGACTCCGTCTTCTTCCTCTGTGATGAATCGTCTTTCAGGTAAAATATCTGGATCTGTCATGACGTCAGATTATATTCGGAGCCATATCATGGTCGAGTATTATTCAACATAACACTTGGAGTCTATATTTTTTAGAATTAATTTCCCCCCCTCCCCCCTCCCGGGATATGGAGGGCGAATTTTTATAAATGGGGGGGGGGATGGTGAATGTGTAATATAATATCTTTTTTCTAGTTTGGCGACACCAGAGAACATGTTTTGTTTGAGTTTAAACAAATATGATCGATTGAGAGTGATCGAAGCACCATCTGATGTTCTCCATCTTTTGCCTGGTTTGATCCAACAGGAAATCTACAATTAATTCATTTTTTGATTAAGCATATATCCTTTTTTTACAAGAACCATTTGATCTGCATCTTTATCGGCAATTGATCAATCAACTTGCAAAAGTAATCAATATTCTTTTGCAATTATACACTTATTTTTTATGTTGATTTGTACGCCCTTTTCACAATTGATCAATCATCTGTTCATATTTGATTAATACCATTAGTAATATAATACAGTTGATCATTCATCTTAAGTTATATTTGATCAATAATCAATAAAAAGTATGCCTGACTGCCCAAAGAAATTAGTAAAAAAAACTTTAAATGATTAAATGAAAATTTGCTTACAATTATACATATACTAGGACTCATTTTGAAATTAGAAATACTTAGGAATGATTTGTCGGAAAATAATTGAGTCTTTGCCACAAACTCTGAATTTATTATCCCTATATCTTTGGAACCCAATGTTATAAATCTTTGATATTTTAAACTTATATTATTTTATCTAACAGAATTTATAGTTTGAAATATCTATGATCTACGACATTGGAATCCAAAGATATTGGGTTTAGAAAAGCAGAGTTTGTGGCAAAATTCAATTCCTTTCCATTGAATTATCAATTGTTTTGATTTGAAAGTCCTGGCCCTACGGTATACAACAAGTTCGGGATTATCATTCAAGCCAGGAGTATAAACTAGGCAGCTCACCTTGGTGGTGTGATGGTACTGTACCTACAGTGATAACCAGAAAACTCTGGAATAGGAAGACGACTTTAAGAATCAATTTTCAATAATCCAATAAACATGAGACACAGCAACTGTGCGAGGCAAACAGACCCATTTTACTAAACAAATATGATTTCTATAATGCTACTGCTTTAACTATCTGCTTTGTAACAACATCAAATAAACATAAATTTAACGTCGTCTTCCTATTCCACAGTTTTTGCATTGTCATTGTATATCATTAAATTTCATACAGGGTGTCCCACAAAGAATGAGACTTAGCGTGTACCCGGAAGTCTTTGAATACAATAGTCGATGGTATTACTGATAATGTTATAATCTTGTGAATGCTCGTAAATTATTATTAAGAATTATCATTAATAAAACTCAAATAGATTTTCAAGTACAATAGGTGGCAATGTGATTTTAAAGAAATTACTATTTACGTCATTTGAATCAAACCCGTTTAAGGCCTAGAGGACATTAAATATTACAGTATGAAAAAAAGAAAATATAAAATAGCACTAATTACACGGCAAGCTTAATTTATCACCATTATTGAATATTTTGTCTCACAATGAAAATTTAAATGTCACTGTCACCATGATTTATAAAAAATATAAATTCTGGGCAAGGTACCTCCTCCTTTGTGGAAAATTCAATTTAAAGCTTTAAATCTTTAATGCTTTTTTTCAAATTCACAGTAAAAAATAAAAACTGAAAAAATCAAATTGGCAAACGAATCGCGCTAAAAGCCCAGAAGTCAAAACTTCTGTACTGTAAATATCAGGATCAAGCATTGATCTCCGTCTTATATAATTCCTCTTCGATATCCCGTGGCTGTAATGATCGTACCTATAGCAGGGACAACGAAAATGAAAGAATCAATTATTAATCCTCCACTTTAAAAGTGTCCAAATTGGATATCGAGATCAAGTGTTCAAGATAAAGGATACTCAGCCCAAAAGTCCCCCCCCCCCACAGACTAGATATATATACAGACTTCTGATCAGTTTTCACGGGCTAGGCTAAGAAGGCATATAGTCGTACCGGTACGAAATGCTATATTCCCGCAAAATGTTTTTGACTGCCATCTAACAGACATTTATTGCATATAATATCCATTTAGGGGTTAAGTTTTACAATTTTTTAAAAATTTTAAATTAAACATAAAACTTATTTTGCAATTATCATCCAAAGGATTCTTCAAGATAGATGTCTTCTAATCGCGGTTGTGTACCCCAGTTGTACACAATGGAACGCGCTGCTGTAGAAAATATCGGATATTCTAGCCTTTAATAGATCTCTGTACTCTCTTATCTTTGTTCCCACCTGATATATAATATTCTAGTCAATTATAATATCAGGAGAGGATGGGTTCCATGCTAAGAGACTTGTATCAAGCTTAGTAGCAGGACTAAAATTCACAGGAAAACTTGAATTTTATCATGAATCAATTTTCTTTAAATATTTTTAGCCCTTAAAAAGCCTAAGTATAATCTGAAAATAATCAGGGAAACCAAGATGATGTAATTTTACCTTCAAGCAACATTTTAGTAAATAAAATTTTTTTGTATTAAAACTTTTTAAAAACGTAATTTGCCATTGAGAAATCTTTAAAAAGTTCATTAGAGGAGATAAAATAACTGCACACAGAGTGGACACATTTAGAACATTTAATCTTTTAAATTCTAAGAAGACAATTATCCTCTTTTTACATTTTTTTTTAGAAAAATTATACTTGATTGCATTAAAAGACTTTGCATAGGAAAATAGGTTTTTTATTTACAATTCCGAAATTGTGTTTTTATAATATTTGAAGTTTTGTCTGGTGAGGTTGGGATGTGCTGATGAGCCTAAATATCTCCTCAGTGATAGAAGATAAATCAATTATCGTGTTTAGACAGAAACTAAATACTCATATTGAACATCAGCATCCTAAAGCAGTTAAACAGGTTTATGCCGCAATCACAAATTCCGGGAAAAAAAACCACCTTCGGAAAAAAGATAATCTCCGGAAATAAGGCCATCTCCGTTAAAAGACAATCTACGAAAAAAAGACAATCTCCGTAAAAAGACCATATCCAGAATAAGACAATCTCCGGAAAAAAGGCCATCTCCGGGAAAAAAACAATCCATGATAATAGACAATCTCCGGAAAAAATACAGTCTCCAAATAAAAGACAATCTTTGCAAAAAAAAGACAATCTTTGGAAAAAAAACAATCTACGAAAAAACGGCATTCTCCGGAAAAAAAGACAAATCTTGGAAAGAAAAACTTCTAAAAATATAAACTCCGAAAAAGACAAAATTCGGAATGATATTATTCCAGGTTAGGACGCGCCGCATTGACGTCGAGTTTATATTTCCTGAGTTAGTCATGGCGCCATTCTTTTTTGGAATAAATTCTAGTTTATCGATAAATTACAAAATACAATGTTAACAATCTCTAAAATCGTCATTAATATGTTTTATATATATATATTATAGCTCGTAGACTGGGTGTCGGTTAGCTTTCATGGTGTTGATAAGATTAGGTAAAATTTATTTTTAACTTTTTTTTTATTTTTTTATCATATTTTGGATTGGGACAAAATAACGAATCATGGTCCTTAAAAATAGATTTTGCAAAGGTCGAAATAAGAAATCAAAATTACCCAAAAAAAATGTAACAATTTTAGTTTTTTTTTCAGAAACAATGTTTGTTTAATGTAAAAATCCATGTTATTTTAAAAGTTTAGATCACCGCCTCAGTTAAAAAAATTTTTTATAACAATATTCTTCAGAGAAAAAATCATTAAAAGTTTTTATAGCTTCAAAATTAAAAAAAGCTGGGATAGACAGACATACTTGAGGTTTATATTACTTTATTGCAGATTCTGCAGTGGACCGGGAGCTAAAACATCTAATCATGAAGCAATTGCTGAATCAATTAGGTAACCTTTGCTCCAGAATATTTTCGTTCTCCAAATTTTTATTGATGTAATTAATTAAAAAATGTAAAAAATACTCAATATTCTGAATCAGACATTTGCAAAGATTTACATTTTCTGATTTTTTTTTCATGTAAGGGGTTTAATATACATTATTTTATTATTTTGATAGTTACAAACAATGAGAACCATATAACTGTAGATTGGGAAGACGACATTTAAGTTACCTTATGTGTTTCGGATGTTGTTTAAATCAATTAGTTTTACAAAGCTTGAAAATCAACTTCCTAAGTAAAAGAAACTAATCCGTGTATAAACATGTACAATTACTGTGTTTCATCATCATTGGACTAATTTTAATCATAACTTAAGAGTCTCACAGTCGTCTTCCTATTCCACAGTTTAATGGGTCTCACTGTATAAAAGCTATCAAATTTTTATTTAGAACACAACTCAAAGATGCCAATTTTCTACAAAAAGAGAAAGATGTGACTGAAAATATCGAATGGAAGGTAAAAGATTGTGATATATTTGGAGAAAAAAAACTTTTTCTTGTATCAATTCATTCTAAAAGTATAAATTTCTCGGTTTATTAATAGAACTTGAAAAGATTGTCTGTAAAAAGAAAACGATAATTTATATTATAAATATTTTCAATTAGGATAAAATATTTCTGTTAATTGTTACTTTATATTTAAAGGATCTAAACACTAGACTCAACTTTCAATTTTCTAATCCCTATATCTCTGCAACCTGGTGTTGTAAACCTTTGATATTTCGAAAGAATTGAGCCATAGTCACAAACTTAGATTTTCTAATCCCTATATCTCTGCAACCTGGTGGTGTAAACCTTTGATATTTCGAAAGAATTGAGCCATAGTCACAAACTTAGATTTTCTAATCCCTATATCTCTACAACCTGGTGGGGTAAACCTTTGATATTTCTATAGAATTGAGTCCTTGCCACAAACACAGATTTTCTAATTTCTTTATCTCTGCAACCTGGTGGTGTAAACCTTTTATATTTCTAAGGAATTGAGTTTTTATCACAAAATCAGATTTTCTAATCCCTTTATCTTTGCAACCTGGTGGTGTAAACCTTTTATATTTCTAAGGAATTGAGTCCTTGCCACAAACTCAGATTTTCTAATCCTTTTATCTCTGCAACCTGGTGGTGTAAACCTTTTATATTTCAAAAGAATTGAGTTTTTATCATAAACTTAGATTTTTTAATCCCTAAATCTCTGCAACCTTCGATGGGTGTAAACCTTTGCTATTTAAAACTTAAATTATTTGAGCTAATAAAATTCCTATTTTGAAATATCTAAGGTCTACAATATTAATTTGCAAAGATATAGGAATTAGAAAATTTGAGTTTGTGGTCAAAACTCAATTTCTTTGGAATATTTGATCTTGGAGAAAATTAACAGTTCATGTATTGTCAAAGGTCTAAGCCATCTTGTTTAATAAAAATTAAAATAAGAAATTTTGAAACAAGTTTTGATCAATAATGTTAGCAAATTACCAGATTTTTTTTAGATTTTATTTTCTGAAATGATAAGCGGCGCGAAGCGTCTGTAAACTAGCAATTAAATCTTTGTTTTATTCAAGGTTGTTGGAACTCCTTTTAGTGGAACATTTGGAACTGGTGAGGAACAGAGATCAATGCTTCTGTATCTTTCAAGGTAGAACATCTGTCAGCAACTCAAAACTTTCAAACCCTTTTTTTCAAACCTTTATAGTAAAGGGATTTTTAGTGCATGAGTCCTACATTTACAAATGATTTGTATCACTTTAAATATGCTTCAATTTAACGCGGTAAATATTTTTGTATATATAAAAGTGATTTAAAGAATTATCCTTATACTCTCTCATAATAATTTACTCTTCCGAAGAGAGGGGCAGAATGTTCCAATAATTTCTTTCAAAGAAATCATTTTTTTTCACTTTTAAAATTAATTTTCATGATTATCTATTTGCTTTTTAGATTGCTCCAGGAGTTTAACCGGAACGGGTGGAAGCTAAGCGCAAGCCTGAATATATCCTCAAAATATCATGCAACAAAAAGAGTAAATATACTTTTTCTATATTAACTAGCTTGAGAACCCGGCGTTGCCCAGGGTACTCAGAGTTTCTCTCGCTGCTTACCCACGCACTCAGGTATGCCGAGTCCATAGCGCCTGATCCAATCAGGGTTCAGCCATGTGTTTGTTGTCTATTCTGAACCAATAGAAATTGCATGGCGGTAACACCTATCTTTCTATCTAGCGCATTATCCAATAAGAGAATGAGATAAATCTTTATATCGGCAGTATAACAGTAAATGGAAATAATTACTTCTACTGCCACGGTTGGTCGTAAATTACGATTCTATCTATTTTACCCTGTAAAAGTGAACCCACTCAACTTGAAAAACCAAGCTTAGAACATTCCCATTGGTCTCCCGAGTTCCCAAATCAAAATGTGAGGCAAATCGGCGAAAATATTCCTGAGTTATGATCGCACATCCAAACAAATAAACAAACAGAAATTTGAAGTTACAACTTTATATATATATATAGTGACATATACATATATGATATATCATACATAGGTATATAGATATGTCTGATTTAATACTAAGCGAGTGCAGGTAGTTTATTTATATATGGATAGTTGGACTACGTATCTAGTTTACCTTCTGAAACAATATTCTCCTTTATACATTTCATTCCTTTTAAATAGACCTATAATAACTCTTATTTTACATACATACTGCATACCTTAGTATAAACTTATTGGTAATGAAGTGCATTTGTTAAAAGTATAAAATCTTAAAAGATTTCTAATATATGGAATTGTAATGTTTCTGAATGTAGGACGTAAACTGAAAATTTAAATTTTCATTATTTAAAAGAACAAAACTAAAATATCTATATAATAAAATATAATCAGAGCGGTTAATAATAGTACTTTCAAGGCACATTCAAATCCATTATTTTCAAAACTGAAAGTTCTCAATCTTGATGATACATAACTTAGTGTTCTGACATTTATGCATGGATAACCTTCCCTCTTTAGCTGAACCGAATAGAACAAAATCATATAAATTAGAACGGGGGTTTAAACAAAAATTTAGAAAGCTTTCCGTCCGCAATGTTTCCTAAATTTTGGAATGAAATTGAAATTGACCTTAAAGAAACTAAATCTGCAAAAATATTTAACAACGAGTAATCAATATTTATCTTGGGAATTATGTAAGGTTTAAATGCGAATGACCTAGCTGTATATCGTGTGAATAAATTTTGAAAAAAAACTAAAATAACTGAAACTTTATTAGCTTATTTCTGTTTCTGTATCTACCATCCTTAACAGTTAACACCCTGTATTTTAATTTATCTCTACATAAAAATCCCTCTTATTTCACCCTGCCACAGATCACCTGACAATCTCCTTCCTTCCAATCAACTCCTTACCTATCCAAAAACATATCATGATATGTGTAACCAATTATATTCAGCCCTGGTTAGGCGGGTCCAATTGTAACTGCTTATTTGTAATATCTCTTGCTTTGTAGATGAAAAAAAAATATGAATGAATGAATATCATATTTTTAATTGATTCAGTAGAAGGAGAAAAAAAACTGAATTTTAGTATTAACCTTAGCTAACAAAAAATTTTATATTTTTAAAACATGGTGAATTCATCATTTTATTATTAATTTTATTAACATTATTAATATCTATCTATCTATCTATTTATCTATCTATCTATATATCTATCTACAATTCTATCTATCTATCTATCTATCTATCTATCTATCTATCTGTCTATCTATATATCTATCTATATATCTATCTATTAATCTATATAATCTATCTATTAATATAAACTATATCAATATGACTTGCCTGGTTACATTTATTGCTAAAAACGTGCTGGGTCGACTTTAAACTGGGTAGTCCAGACTGTACGGTACGACTGAATACATATACATGTTGTACCGGCTCGGATCATGCTACTTTAAAAGTGGTTGATATCTATACTTTATATTTATCTATGTATCTAGGAAAAGTACAAGGAAGATGCCGATTGTTGGGTTTTTCTAGAAGAGCCAAGTGATCGTCTTCATTTAGCTGCTCTTAATCCCCCGTCAATTGTCAGGTATTAAATCAAACTAAAGTAAAATATATTTTATTTGGAAATCTTGTATTTTTCAAATAAAACTTTTTTTAATAAGATAAGAAAAAGTTTGTTTTTAAATCATTTAATGCAACTAAATACCATACAGTTTGCTTTCCTCACTCTTTTGTGTAAAATGCAAATAGTTGCGACATCGTAATTCCGCGTAAAATACTCTGCTTTTCGGTGAGACGTAATTTTGAAATGAAATTGAGTCTTTGACACAAACTAACATTTTTTTAATCTCTATATTTGTGTAACCAGATGGTGCAAACTTTTGAAATTTCAAAGTTAGATTAATTAATTAATCTAACAGAATTAATGATTTAATCAAAGGTGAAATCTAAGGTCAAACGACATTAGATTGCAAAGATACAGGTATTAGAAAATCGTAGTTTTTGGCAAGAACTCAATTCCTTTATAAAATATGTTTTATCTAAAGTAAAATCTATAGACGTTGGAGTCTCATTAATTTTTTGAAAGTGTTTAAAAGGACTGAAAGTCTGCAATACAGCAAAGGATTTGAGTCTTTGCAACAAACTCGGATTTTCTAATTCCTATGTCTTTGCGACCAAATGTCGTAGACCTCAGATATTTCAAACTATTAGTTTTGATGGATCAACTAATCTATGTTTGAAATATCAAAGGTTTGAAACATCAGGTTCTAATGATAAATGAATGAGAAATATTGCGTTTGTTGCAAAAACTCAATTCCTTTATATTGTACTAAATTTAGAAACCAAGAAATTGGTTGTAAATGATTTTTCTCGTTTTTGTTTCTCACTAGTCACTAAAAGATTCAGAAAAACACTTTACAATGTTTTGTTTTCCAACTCCTTCATAGATAGCTTTACTTTGCCTTGTTTCCTTGATTAATTTGTCGAATCATACAAATTAATTGAATTGTGTCTTCATATTTAGATATTTGGGGCAGAGCAGAGAGGATGTATCTTTATTGTCAAGCCAATTCGATCAGATCTAAATGTTTATCTACAATTATTTATTGTTCTTCAAGTATTAAGGCAAACATTTAAATGTTATCCTAATAATTGGTATTTGGCAAACAGATTCTACGTAGAATTTGTACACTCTCAGTACAGCTGTTATATTCTTACGTCACAAGTGTCAATTCAGTTGTTGTGTCCGACAAAATTATTAATAATAGTGATAATTTTAGATCTTAAAGTAAAACAATTGTGCAATTTGATGTGTTCTTTAGTTTCTGTTTTACACTTTTTATTTAATCTTGGAAAACATGTCAACTAATGAGAAAAAATTTCCTTTTTCCTTGTTATATTGGACACTTGTTACGCCGTGTGTAATTGATCCCTTTCTCTGTTGCCACCTATTGTACTTGATATTCTATTTGGTATTTGGTATAAATATACATGTATTCTATGTGCAGAGAAAGTGAGAAATCAAAGACAGTGTTTTAATCTATAAAGTGAGAACCAGAAAACTCTGAAATAGGAAAACGACACTAACTCAATAATTTACAGTTTTTGATGGTGTTACATAACAATATAGTTTTATTTTAAGTAACTTGTTAAGTCACATCTCAAGTACACTGTTCTTTGGACTATTCAAAGTCATAAATTGAATCTAAAAGTCGAATTCCTAATCTAAAATATTATGGTTATCACTTAACACTGTTTTTTATTTTTATTTTTTAGTTGAGAGCTAGTTGGAGTCTATAATCTTTTTATAATTGAATTTTTCTGCATCACATATTAAATATAATTATGTAATGTAATATGAAATAAGTAGTAAGCCTTTTTTCAAATTATTAATTCATCGTTTTTTTTAAAAATATTTAATCCATAAAAAGGGAAACTGGTTCCGGAACTTTTAATGAAACTATTTGTATTTTATCCAATAATTTGGACAGTTTTGCTTTTGTTATGTTAATTGAGCGTAATGCAAACATTCCATAAACACTTTTCCAATTTTTTTTGTCAAAACCACGAAATATAAACTCATAATTTGCAATAAAAAGTAGAAATCTCAAAAGTAAGTTTTATTGCAGGATTATTTTTTGCAATTATTCTGTACTCTCTTTCAAAAATCCTGTGCCGTTCCTTTAAAAACAGCAAATTAACTGCAGAAGCATGATTCTTATAGTCAGAGAAAGTGTAAAGCTATTTTTAAAGTATTAATGTTTTATGATTAACATCATATCACTTTATATATGTTAAAATGATTGTCAAAATATAGCAACTAAATGTTTTAAATAATTTTATTCAAGTGAGAACCATGCTGCAATATAGGATTTTAGGAGAAAAGGTTTTATTTGTTTCCCCGCTGATAGATAAACTTACAAATTTCAACACAACTTGCAAACTTTTTACTTCTTTCAGAGAAATATTTTACTTAAAAATGTATCTAACAGACAATTAGACAAAACGCACATTTTATCCACACATCAAAAGTGCTTTGTTTCTAGTTCCCAGCTTTCTTTTTTATTTCCTTTTTTATTTTCAGAATTTCGATTTTTTACCAAGACATTTAATGAAGAGATCACAAGATGAAAACTGGAGATTTAATTTTTGTAAAAATTTATCTCACATTAATACCAAATGTAAAGTGAAATGGGTTTATATATAATTATATAGTATGGTATAAAGTATAGTTATTTTATAAAATTATATAAAAATTGGAATAACACATCTTTACCCCTTCACCCCCCCCCGCCCCGCCATCACACCAGGCTGTGTAAGAGTTACGACTTAAAGTAACCAAAATATGTCTTATTATATACGGGGGGGGGGGGGGGGCCGGGAGGTATAAAAATGTATTGCCCCCCCCCCCTTCTTAAGTCGCCCCTAGATGTGTAATTATTCTGATGAAAGAGGGAAGAAAGGTAGAAAGGAAAAATCATGGAGGGGAAAGGTAAAACAGGGAAAGGAAAAATCTAAGGACCAAAGTATACCAGAGAATGTTAATTCTTTGCTACAGAAGAAAAGTATTTATTAAGAATGAAGTAACAGAAAGGAAATAATTGGCAGAAAATAAAGAAAGAATTGTTAAAGATATATATATGGAGGTAACAGTCTTAACAGATAAGAAATAAATGGAGAAGGATGAAAGTAATTGAGTCGAGTAACAGAGAAGTAAGTTCGAGTAACAGAGAATGACGGTCGAGGAACAGAGAAGGAAGGTCGAATAACAGAGAAAGACGTCAAGTAACAGGGAGGAGGTCGAGTAACAGAGAAGTAAGTTCGAGTAATAGAGAAGGAAGTTCAAGTAACAGAGAAGTTTGTTTGAGTAACAGAGAAGGACGGTCGAGTAACAGATAAGTAAGTTCGAGTAATAAAGAAGTAAGTTCGAGTAACAAAGAAGTAAGTTTGAGTAATAGAGAAGGACGGTCGAGTAACAGCTAGAAGGAAGGTCGAGTAACAGAAAGGAAGGTCGTGTAACAGAGAAGGAAGGTCGAGTAACAGAAAGGAAGGCCGTGTAACAGAGAAGGAAGGTCGTGTAACAGAGAATGAAGTTCAAAAAATAGAAGGACGGTCGAGAAACAGAAAAGGAAGGTCGAGTAACAGAGAAGGACAGAATTGTAAGTGGCATAAGCTTAAAAAAAGGAAATGCATTGACAGAAAAGGTCTAGTATCTAGTAACAGAGAAGGACGGAAGAAAGTTTTGGAGAATGGAGGAACATCAGGAAATGGAGTAAGTCACAGACAAGGAGGAAGTAAGTAATGTATAGAAAGGGGGAAGTAACAGAAAAGGAAGGAATTAATATATGGAGAAGGTAGAAAGAAAAGAGCAGACCAACAGAGAAGGTATAGCTTTAACATATAAGGGAGGGGGGAGTAATAGAGAAGAGACGGAGTAAGAGAGAAGAAAGGAAGTAACGGAGGAGGGACAGAGTAAGAGAGAAGAAAGGAAGCAACAGAGAAGGGACGGAGTAAGAGAGAAGAAAGGAAGCAACAGAGAAGGGACGGAGTAAGAGAGAAGAAAGGAAGCAACAGAGATGGGACGGAGTAAGAGAGAAGAAAGAAAGCAACAGAGAAGGGACGGAGTAAGGGAGAAGAAAGGAAGCAACAGAGATGGGATGGAGTAAGAGAGAAGAAAGGAAGTAACAGAGGAGGGACGGAGTAAGAGAGAAGAAAGGAAGCAACAGAGGAGGGACGGAGTAAGAGATACGAAAGGAAGTAACAGAGGAGGGGCGGAGTAACACAATTATAGGAATTGAATAGACAATTAGAATGAAGTAACTGGAGTACTGCAAAGGGAGGAATTGTATCAGAAAAGAAATGAATTGTCGACAGACACAGAGAAGGTTAAAGAAAGTTCAAATGAACAATAGTTCAAATGAACAATAGTTCAAATGAACAATAGTTCAAACGGGAGTAGTTAAAACAGGTATAAACCTCATACTATATAAGGTCAAATGGGTCAAATAATTATGATTATGGGATGCTGCAACTAAAATTATATTCAATATTATTTTTATTGCGGCAATTATTGGACTCTGTAAAATGTAGTCGGCTCAGCCAAACGTGTCCTCCTCATAGACGTTAGCTCTAACCCACTTGTTAAGTACGCAGTTGCTTTCATCATGCTGGCAGCCATATTTGTTTTTCTTGTCTGCTTGTCAGTATTGACCCTGAAATTTATTTACAAATAGTCTTCGCTATTTAATCTTGGCGATGATAATTTATTTTGTGTTTTAAAGCATAATGATGATTAGGTTGATAGCAAAAGCTTCTCAATTAAATATCTGTGTACTGCACATGTACATATCTTAATTATATGTACTTAAACTTTAAATTTGCATTGCGCATTTTTGTGCTAAAATTATTTTTCCACCTTGTCACAACATATTGCACTAATCTGTATTTCCCGCCTAAAATTTGTACTTTTTAGATAGGGCGCTCTCTGGTTTATATATCTCTGCATCTGTTAAAACAGGATTTTTAACACCTACGTAAAATATTATTTCTTGTTTTAAGTCTATTGATATCGGAAATAATTTCGTTTGGTAAAGAGAGGAAGTGGAATTAAAAGGTTTTGAATTTAAGTTTTTTTTTTATCCCGGATCGATCAGATAATTGTTTTTATAAATCTCAATCAAATCATGTCTGAAAGTGATTATTAAATTTCTTTAGTGTGTTATCCGATAGGGGTGTGACACTCCACGTGTGCTTGTCCAGTTAAACTGCTTGAGAGTAATAGGGATTTTTATAAGATTTTCAAAATTTCATCATTGAAAATACACCAAGGGGGGGGCTACCCACCACCAACAGTTACGACCCCCTCCCCCTTCACATAGGTACGTGTCTGCGGTCACAACTTTTAAAAATTTGTATACAATGAAAAAGAGGTGAAGAGGGATTATGTCTGATTTCTACTGGTTTGTGTAGGTAGTGTCACATTCTAGATTTTTGGGTTAGATTATATTTAAACCAGTTTAACCAAGCCTTCACTAACCCCCCGTGTCAGTTGATTCGAACAAAGCAACAGTTCAGGGTACAACTAGTTAAAGCATTTCGTTCTTGATATTTGCAATTTGGGTTGTCTTCGGCATTGGAACCGGGTAGAAAATTGGAACTTATGATTATAGGGATTAACAAATCTTCAACAATTTGAAGATTTCCCTCCTAATTAATCTTTGTATCCGTCCCTGATCTGTGCAAATAAGGTTGTATTAAGGATTCATCATAGACCATTTCATACTTTTAGTTAATTTTACTTTTTCAGATTATGCTATGTCTAAAATTAGCTTCAAAATGACACGTCGCCGAACACATTTGCATAAAGAAAGTCCGAAGGTGATTTAATTTACAAAGAAATATCCATGTACGGATTATGATATTTGTCCTTGATATCGATGATAGGATTTAAGAAAATGCATGAATATCAATCACGACCATGTACCTATTCTGTTGAAAATTACCCTCCCCCCTTCTCATATTCACCTCCTCTCGTAGAGGTGTTCATGGTTGAATTAGGACTTTTCAATCTTCATGGCCAAATAAATTGATTTTTATGTCAACAGTGTCCAAAGAAGAAAAATATTTCCCTAAACTTCGAGTTTTCCCATTCCCTGGGAGGGGTGGTTAATTCTTCAGAATATATATCCCGTAACCCTGTCTTGTTAATCTGTTAATCTGTCTTGTTGTGAAATCAACTTCTAATTGTCAAGGTATTTCGAACACTGAGATCCAACAAGAAGCCCATCCTTGAGCCAAGATTGAAATCTAGTCGAACAAAATTTAGAGGTATGTGAACTTTAATTTTAAAGGGACTATCCACGTAATTTAATTGATCCCATATGAAAAGAGTTGCGGGCCCTATTCGCAACGGTCTCCTTTAAAATTTCTTGCCTATTTTCTTTAACCCATTATCTGAGCTACAATGAGGAAGATTTCTTCACTGGAAATAACGTCCGATAACTCCGTTAACAGTCCCTTTAAGCTTGGCAATAGACTTTTCACTGAGAACAGTCAGATTAAAGGTGTAGAGAAGATTCGAGAAATCTATTTTTGAAGGTACATGACTCTTAATTGGCATTTCACTTTGGGAAGAAAAAAACAGAATTTTAAACATCATTGAAGCTGAAAAACTAGAAAAGTTTTTTTGTTTAATTAGAAATAATTGTTATAGGTCGGGCCAGAACTAAATGTATAACGGTTTACAAAAAACCGCCGGCGGTGAAAGCTTATGAAGAAACTTCGTCTGATAGTGAAACCGGGTTTTCCAGCAGTCAGCACAACAATATGCCACAGGGTAAGACTTATTTGTAAAACGGGTTGAAAATGAAAAATTTGCAGTTGCAGCTAAAATTATTCTGAATGTTTCGAAAATAACAGCTCTAGATATATTTAAATATTTTGAAGAGTTTTTTTATTTTTCTTCTTAGGACGAAATCACCGAAATAAGAGTGGAGGAAGTGATTCCCCGGATCAGCAGAGTGATAGTGATGAAGATATTTGCTTATCTCAAACAGGTGGGGCACTCATCAGATTTGAACAGGAGGTTTAAAGTGGTTATTAAACATCACTTTTAAGTGGTGGGGGGGGAAAAATCCTCGTCCTTCCAATATTGTTTTTCTTAAGTGTCTAATCCTCCCAGATAAAACTATTTTTAAGAAACGGACCACGTTAGGGCATAAATGAAATATAAAATTTTTGTAATTCGAAAAAAAGTTTCAATTGAATAAAGATTTCAAGTTTAATGTCTTTAAAAATATTCACCTTTTTCACGCGCATTTTCAGATATTCCTGGTGTAGAATGCCGCAAATAGTTCCGAGTTTATAGACCTTCAATCTTTTTGGTTAGCTATATTGAAAACCATAAAATTTTCCGGGTGGTTCAATGGGAAAATTATAGGCAGAGATATGCCGAATATCTTGCTATTTATTTTATATCGCAAAGGTTAGCCATTACCTAAATAAAGTTTGACATTATTCTCATTGGTTCGAATATTCCAACATGATATAATCATTGCAATACTTTGGTCCATCCATATTTTATGCCCTTACGTGGCCAAATTAAAAAAATAGTTTTATCTTTAACAATTAACTTAATTTAACTTAATTTAACTTAATTTAACTTAATTTAACTTACTTTAACTTAATTTAACTTAATTTAACTTAATTTACTGAATTGGGGAAGATTATTAATTTGTATGGTAAGGTAAATGTATGTTGGCTGAGAAGTATCAAAAAGAATGAAAAATCTTGCCTTATGATATCCCATTTTTTATTTTTGCGCAAGAGAATTAAAAGTCGTTTCCACGCTCATGGGGGGGGGGGGGTTGGTCCTTGATTGTGAATTAAAACTGAACCTACCATTTCGAGACTTCATATATACCATTGCACGATGCTTTGCTAACAGCCGATCTTGGCCGTATACAACTGTATACAAACGGGATCTGCCTGATGGATGGGTTTCTGTGGCCTCTAGAGGGTTCTGAATGCAGACGCGTCATAATAGATTGATAGATGTTGCGAAGGATTATTTAAAATGGCGTGAACAATCCCGATAAAAAGTCTAATAAATGATAATGTTTAGTGGATAGTTTGGTTGGTGGTGAGATGAGCTCCTCTGACCTCTCCTCGCCTGTCGGTCAACTGGGTCAGCTCTGCCAAACCGTAGCAGAGATCGATCAGGTACAAAACACAGTAAACTGAAGTAAATTGAATTGCAATAGAAATCTTAGATGTTTTTAATCATAACTTCTCCTATTCAAGAAGCATTGAGATGAACCAAAATGTTTTGATTTTTTCATATGTAACCAGAGCTGAAAACTTTAGAACGGGATATCCTTTATCCTGGATCTGTTAATTAATCTTGAGATTCAAAACATGAGGAGAGACAGGCAATATTATATTTAATCTGAAGATGAAGAAAATGAGGAGATCAAGCATTGATCTGAATATTCACCATTCTAAAGTTTTCAGCTCAGATAAATGTGCATTTTTCACACATATGCGTAAAATCAAAGCTAGAAAAAGACAAAGTCATCAGTAATGTTGCATAAATTTGACCTTTTCCTTCTTGTCAGTTTGCAGTGAATACCACGGGATTTATATACATCTCATATCAAGATCGGGTTAAATAATTTTTTAATCATGAAGTTTTAGGAAAACGGATCTTACTATCTCAGCGTAAAAGAAAAAAATATTTATATGTGCAGCCTCCTTTTCTCGAAAATTCATGACCTCTCTCCCACCCCCATTTTTTTTCATTAACTGAATTTTTATAATTTTATTATAGCCAGTTTTCTTGGTATTTAGTTATACTTGTGCCCTTCCTTTTTTTGATAAACGTGATTAACTAATATAATTACATACAATTTTTATTTGTCAGTTTGATTTATAGTTTGATAGGATTTAAGTTTGTTGACGGTTTTAAATACGTTTAGGATTGGATGTCAGCATGTAGCGATGAAGCAGTCAAATTCTTCTGTTCTTTACAACAAACAAGTTCAACAGTGTACAATACATCCAGCCTGCTTTACAGTACAACAGACAACGGGTTGTACCAGTCAGATGAGAGTTCGCTCTATGTACATAAAGAGAACATGTACCCTGCCGAGCAGCCCGTGTACCCTGTTTACCGGGACGGACTGTGCCCTGGTGGAGAGGAGGAAAAGGATGAGGTGGATGGGGGAGATCATCAACCCATAGATCTAGTCTATTCTGCTGTTCAACCTCAAACCTTTAGATCAGCACAGGTAAAATTCGAGGGTTAAACCCCCCCCCCCCACGCCACCGTCGAGAAATGATTTTAGAAGCTTAGCAATTGAATCTTTTTTAACCTTTTTAGAAAATGCTTATTATTTGGTTTGTTTATGGAATTATGGGGGATGTTTTATGATGCAAACAAATTTGATTTATAACGATTTATAAGGCTGCATTTTACTTTCCTTTCTGATTCATAATATGCTCTTTTGGTATGAAAGCAATTAAACTGTTCGTTTGTTTTGGAATTTATGTTTTTTAAGTGGTATACTGGATTATTCAGAACTTTGTAGATCTTTTTGACCCACTCTAAAGTCTGTATCACTGAAGAAAAATTGTTGCAACATAAATTGTTTTCCAATATTTCTTGTAAATGGGACATTGTCTTACTATGCAAGAATCAGACGTTATATAATATGTTATAATAACGTAGCTTTCGTGTGGTTTCTATTTTTCAACTTTTGTTTATTCGTTGAATGTTTATTTTTTATTTTTGTATAAATTATTGTGAATTGTTATGAGATGTTATTTCAAGTATAAAAAGTACTGGGTGTTTCAAGAGCCTAAATTGAAAACCGTTTGTCGGTTTTTGGACATGAAAACTAGATTTGCGACTAGGCAAGAAGTTTAAAAAGCTGATTTTAATTTGTTTGTTTTTTCATTACTTTTTCATATAAACCGCGCTGAAACTACCCCACCCCCCTATTATTCAGGGGGTGGGGAATTTCCAATGTCAAAGCGCACATAGATTCAAAGCAATAATGCCTACAGTTGTGTTTCTTGACAAATTTTTATTGTATTACTAAACCTTTGCTCTGTACTAAGGGTTTTTACACTTTACAGTGCTGAGGATCTATTTCATTTTGATGCAGATTTCATGCGGATTCTGCATCCGCCTTCAAAACAATGGAGTCGGATCCGGGTTTTAAATAATTTCTTCCAAGATTTACTTAATGTATGATAAATTATCACCGACAAATTTATTAGTCGTTCTTATGCCTTAACTTAATGGACCACACAGAGTTTAGGACGTTTTAATAATCTCTTACCGCAAAAATGTTATAAAAAAATGTTCCAATATCATTACCTTAACTGCAAAGTTCTTTTATGAAATTTTGTCTGTTTCGAGCATTTGGCAATATCTAATGCTTTTAGGAGTACAGTTCTCATTTATCTAATGTTTAGGAGTACAGTTCTCATTTATCTAATGTTTAGGAGTACAGTTATCATTTATCTAATGTTTAGGAGTACATTTCTCATTTATCTAATGTTCAGGAGTACAGTTTTCATGTATCTAATGTTTAGGAGTGCAGTTCTCAAGTATCTAATGTTTAGGAGTACAGTTCTCATGTATCTAATGTTTAGGAGTACAGTTCTCATTTATCTAATGTTTAGGGAGTACAGTTCTCATGTATTTAATGTTTAGCAGTACAGTTCTCAATTATCTAATGTTTAGGAGTACAGTTCTCATGTATCTAATGTTTAGAAGTACAGTTCTCATATATCTAATGTTTAGGGAGTACAGTTCTCATGTATCTAATGTTTAGGAGTACAGTTCTCATATATCTAATGTTTAGGGAGTACAGTTCTCATGTATCTAATGTTTAGCAGTACAGTTCTCATGTATCTAACGTTTAGGAGTACAGTTCTCATGTATCTAATGTTTAGGAGTACAGTTCTCATGTATCTAATGTTTAGGAGTACCGTTCTTATGTATCTAATGTTTAGAAGTACAGTTCTCATATATCTAATGTTTAGGGAGTACAGTTCTCATGTATCTAATGTTTAGCAGTACAGTTCTCAAGTATCTAATGTTTAGGAGTACAGTTCTCAAGTATCTAATGTTTAGGAGTACAGTTCTCATGTATCTAATGTTTAGGAGTACAGTTCTCAAGTATCTAATGTTTAGGAGTACAGTTCTCAAGTATCTAATGTTTAGGGAGTACAGTTGTATCTAATGTTTAGGAGTACAGTTCTCATGTATCTAATGTTTAGGAGTACAGTTCGCATGTATCTGAACAGTACAGTGGGCGTGGTTACCAGATGAGCCGGTACACGAGGCAGGAGGAGGAGGTGGAGCCAGCCTTCGATCCCTACGTGTTCATTAAGAACCTGCCTCCTCTTACACCAGAAATGAGATCTAGGTGTCCTGCTCTACCCTTAAAAACAAGATCTAGTCCACAGTTTTCTCTAGGTAGGTAGAGAAATTAGGATCCATCTTAGATCCGGATTCTAATCCTGGACCCGTCCTATGAAGAAAATAAGTCCTAATTACCCATTTTTGTCAAACAAAACGGTATAGAAAATAATAATTAATGCAATAACAAAAAAATGACTTGATTTTTAGGTTATATGACTTATATTTGATTGTCTCTGCGCCTTAAGTCAAATAATCTACATATCTAGAACATTTTTGCTTGATTTGCAATTTGCATAAAGCATAACATACAAATTAATCAAATTTTTGCTTTTGCACTCATTTACTTGGACGTTTATTTTTTCTTGTTAAACCGATAATTTGTCAAGAATTTGATATTTTGGTTTAATTAGATAAATCCAAAAAGCCTAATATTTAGTAGTGATCAATGCAGGGGCGTTTATTTTCTTAGATTAAAAATTTCCCCCCCAGATTTTAGGTTTTTAAAAATGTGTGTAGGGGTTGAACAAGGGGAGGAAGGCCAACCACAACAATTTCTCGTCCGAGCCACATTCTCATTTTCTCGTCCGAGCCACCTGAAAATCCTCGTCCTTCCAATATTGTTTTTCTTAAGTGTCTAATCCTCCCAGATAAAACTATTTTTAAGAAACGGACCACGTTAGGGCATAAATGAAATATAAAATTTTTGTAATTCGAAAAAAAGTTTCAATTGAATAAAGATTTCAAGTTTAATGTCTTTAAAAATATTCACCTTTTTCACGCGCATTTTCAGATATTCCTGGTGTAGAATGCCGCAAATAGTTCCGAGTTTATAGACCTTCAATCTTTTTGGTTAGCTATATTGAAAACCATAAAATTTTCCGGGTGGTTCAATGGGAAAATTATAGGCAGAGATATGCCGAATATCTTGCTATTTATTTTATATCGCAAAGGTTAGCCATTACCTAAATAAAGTTTGACATTATTCTCATTGGTTCGAATATTCCAACATGATATAATCATTGCAATACTTTGGTCCATCCATATTTTATGCCCTTACGTGGCCAAATTAAAAAAATAGTTTTATCTTTAACAATTAACTTAATTTAACTTAATTTAACTTAATTTAACTTAATTTAACTTACTTTAACTTAATTTAACTTAATTTAACTTAATTTACTGAATTGGGGAAGATTATTAATTTGTATGGTAAGGTAAATGTATGTTGGCTGAGAAGTATCAAAAAGAATGAAAAATCTTGCCTTATGATATCCCATTTTTTATTTTTGCGCAAGAGAATTAAAAGTCGTTTCCACGCTCATGGGGGGGGGGTCTTGAATATCATTGGATCACTGATCAGTGCATAAGTTACTCTGAACTATATCTCAGAATAATTTACTTTCCAACTAGATAATTAGTAAACCTAAACAAAACTGGATAAAATTGCGTCTAACTTTTGTCTAGAGAATCCTTCATAGATTCAGTTTGTTCTAGTTTCGGTGGGGTGGGGCCGAGGTGGAAGTGATTTAATATCATTATACGGTCCGAACTTGAAGAACTGGAGAATTCCGACAAATATCGGTGTTTAGATCAAATTAAGACTTTTTTCTTCACTTTCTTTTTACAGCTACGCCTTCCTCTGCAGTCTGCAGTACATTATTTTGATATTTTTTAAGTTTTTTTCTTTTAAGTTGTCGAGGGCGGAAAAAAATAATTTCAATCCTCTTACTTGAAATTTTTTTTACCTTGCTAGCCATATTTACCGAATATATACTTAGCGTTTTGAAATATGAAATATATTACCTTCCTTATCTGACGGAAGCAAAACAGAAACTAAATTTGAATAACCAGACTTTGTGTTCGCTTTTGGCACTTAGTGTAAACTTCAAAGCTAGTTTTGATCGCAAATTTGGTTCAATTTTACTTTATCTGTTTACACAGGGTCGGCTTAAACATTTCTACGTGAAGAATCTATGAATATTGATTAATCTTTATTCATCTATGTTTAGTTTTGGATCTTGATGAAACGTTAGTTCACTGTTCACTTCAGCAGCTTGAAGATGCCACTCTATCCTTCCCTGTCTTCTTCCAGAACCAAGAATATCAGGTACTAGCCTCGAAACCCAGCTTTGTCTGGAAACTAAACCTTTTCCATAAAAGTCAACTTAAGAAACCTCGAATTTTTAAACCAGGCTTAGAACATTGTTGGGGTTCCACCGAGTTCACTAATCAAAATTTGAGTCAAATCCGTCAAGGGGGGTTAAGAGTTATAATCGATTATACAAACAAAGAGACAAACCGTGGTTACTATTTTATATAGTTTTATAAACATAGATTAAGTGACTAGGTTGGTAACAGTTCCGTAAACAAAAACTGGACAGAGATGGAATTTAAAGAATTTGAGCCGCGGTTTAAATCTGCCAAAACCCGGTTTAAATTAAGCGCCGGCTTAAATCCTGAAACATTTGACACAATTATTAGTGGAACCAACCATATTTAAGCCGCGGCTTAAATTTAAACCGTCGCTTAAATTCTTTAAATTCGGCCACTGGAATTTTTTTTAATGTTTTGTTTTAAGGTGTTTGTAAGAACTAGGCCGCATTTCTCCGAGTTCTTGGAGAGAGTTTCCAAACATTTCGAGCTAATTCTCTTCACAGCGAGTAAAAAGGTTGGTAATTCGAACAAATGAGCTTGCACGATGTGTCCTGTTTTATGTCCCAATTCCTGGGAATGTTTGATTTATTTTTTGATTTATTTATAAAATTATGAGTTTATAGTTGAAGAAGCCTGCATTGATGAAGAAAAATAGTTTTTTTTTTACGTTTTCGAAATGTGGATTGTAGATGTAGGTGTGTTTAATGATTACTAGTAGATAACGGTAAAGAATTAAACCTGTTTTCAGTACACATGGGCACACTCCCTCATTTTACTGGAAGTGCATTTTTATAGGAAATTCTTGCAATTTTTATCCATTTCCTGGGAACAGGGTTATAATAAATACAATTTGATTAAAAATGAATTTTAAGAAGTTGCTATAAATTTTTTTAAACTAGTTTGGCAACCCAGCTTTGTCTTTAAAGTGATAAAATGTACTTTTATGAAATTTTTATTTCTGTTTTTTTTTACTGAGAAAAAATCAAAATCATTAGTTTTTTTATGTCATAAAATATATTTTTGGTTTATATTTTGCAACTTGCAATATTTCATAGACGTTGATATTTACGTAATACGTATCTAGGTTTAATTTTGTTTTGAATAAACCGGTTTTTTTGAAAGTTAAGATATTTTAAATCACTCACGCAACCACCAGATATGGGGGGGGGGGATTCAAAATGTCTAGGATAACTATCCCCATTTTTTGGTTAGGGGAGTTTTTCTTTCTAAATTCTAAACTACATAGTTATAAACAATTTTTTCAAAAATTAATGAATTAATGAATTTACTGGATCCTGGTCGTACTTTTCTCAAATACAGACTCTTCAGAGAAAATTGTATTGTTCAGGTTTACGCAGATAAATTAATGAATTTACTGGATCCTGGTCGTACTTTTATTAAATACAGACTCTTCAGAGAACATTGTGTTGTTCAGGTTTACGCAGATAAATTAATGAATTTATTGGATCCTGGTCGTACTTTCATTAGATACAGACTCTTCAGAGAACATTGTGTTGTTCAGGTTTACGCAGATAAATTAATGAATTTACTGGATCCTGGTCGTACTTTCATTAGATACAGACTCTTCAGAGAACATTGTGTTGTTCAGGTTTACGCAGATAAATTAATGAATTTACTGGATCCTGGTCGTACTTTCATTAGATACAGACTCTTCAGAGAACATTGTATTGTTCAGGTTTACGTAGATAAATTAATGAATTTATTGGATCCTGGTCGTACTTTCATTAGATACAGACTCTTCAGAGAACATTGTATTGTTCAGGTTTACGCAGATAAATTAATGAATTTACTGGATCCTGGTCGTACTTTTATTAAATACAGACTCTTCAGAGAACATTGTGTTTGTGTTAACGGGAACTATATTAAGGTTAGACATCATTATACATTTTAATCATCATCATTATCATCAATATTATCACCGTCATTTTCTTTATAATTATCATCACTGTTATCCTTTTAATCGGTACCTTAACTTTTAACGTCGTCATCACTATCATTATTATTATAATTTTTATCATTTCCATCATTATGATCATTCTCAAAATTCTTTGCACCATTACATTTATCTTTATTATCATTATTATTATCATTTTTACCATCATCATCATTATCATTATTATTATTATTAGCATCTCAATTGTTACACTGTTGGTCCCATCACTTTTATCATAGTTTATATTATCTGTTTCATTATCATAATCATCATAATCATAAACATTATTAACATTATCACATTATTATCATAATTGTATTTATCATCATCATAATCTTTGTATTTTTACCGTAGCTAATTGTCTTTCTTTATAATTAAAAAAAAAATAAAAATATCATTGAAATTAATATTATTATTTCTTTTAATTTTTAGGATTTGAATATACTGGGGCGGGATCTAAGAAAGACGATTATAATTGATAACTCTCCTCAGGTTCGTACAAGATTAGATATTTTCTTGAAATCGTTAAACTCTCCTCAGGTTCGTACAAGATTAGATATTTTCTTGAAATCGTTAAACTCTCCTCTGGTTTTTACAAGATTAGATATTTTCTTGAAATCGTTAAACTCTCCTCAGGTTTGTACAAGATTAGATATTTTCTTGAATCGTTAAACTCTACTCAGGTTCGTACAAGATTAGATATTTTCTTGAAATCGTTAAACTCTACTCAGGTTCGTACAAGATTAGAAATTTTCTTGAAATCGTTATACTCTCCTCAGGTTCGTACAAGATTAGATATTTTCTTGAAATCGTTAAACTCTACTCAGGTTCGTACAAGATTAGATATTTTCTTGAAATCTTTATACTCTCCTCAGGTTCGTACAAGATTAGAAATTTTCTTGAAATCGTTATACTCTCCTCAGGTTCGTACAAGATTAGATATTTTCTTGAAATCGTTATACTCTCCTCAGGTTCGTACACGATTAGATATTTTCTTGAAATCGTTAAACTCTCCTCAGGTTCGTACACGATTAGATATTTTCTTGAAATCGTTAAACTCTCCTCAGGTTTCTACAAGGGTGGTAAGAAAAATGCACCCCCTCCCTCCCTGCAGATTTCAGTTTCTTTCTGTAGCGTGAAGTCTCTAACTTACTTTTTAAGAAAAGTTTTATTTTTTATTTTTTAACCAACTCGAGATCGATCGTATGAGGTTGCGTGATGTTGAATTTTATTAAACCTTGATTTTCAGCAATGTAAAAAAATATTATTCTAGGCCTTTGGTTACCAGCTGGAGAACGGTATCCCTATAGAATCCTGGTTTGTGGATAAATCTGACAATGAACTGATGAAACTGGTCCCATTCCTAGAGAATATTGTTAACCAGGCAGAGGACGTCAGGTGCAGTGGGATCATTTTCCAGATAGTAGAGGGGGGGGGGGGGGGGGGGGCGGTGCACGGGTGAATATTTTGTTAAATATTTTCTTTCCCGAAAAACAGGAGTGAATATATTTTTTATAAAATCATATTTTCCCCACAATTTACTTTTGTTTGCTTGATGCGGACATTTTTTTAGAGTTTTATATTTTTTGGGGAAAAAATATTTTTAGGGAGACATAAAGAAAAGGTTTGGGTAAGCAATAAGCATTAAAAAAGAATTACAAAAAATTGAAAATCTTTGGATAATACGTGGTAAGTTTTTCCCCCCTGATGCAAACTTTTTACCCTTGGAATAATTAATTTCCCCCCCCCCCTATTCAAAATAATTGAAAAGGTCAATGAAGTGACAATCTTTGCCATGGTTACATTATTTTGAAAATCTTAGCGAAAAAGCTCAGAATTGCAAGCTTTCTTAATCTATTCTAAATACTTTCCCATGGATACGTTTTCGGCGGTTAGGAACGCAAACCATTAGTTCTTTGAATGCTTGTTTTTGAAATAATTTTTCTAATTTACAAATTCATTTTGACAATAATAACTTTTTTTAGGCCCATCATCCGAGAGTCCTTTCGTCTCTTCTCCCATCTTCCTCCTGGGTAGGACAGAGACTAAAGAAACCAGAAGGATGAGAGGGCATTTCCCCAATCCCCTTCAAACCTATAGTTTCCCCACATGCTAACCCAACTGAGCTTAACCTGCTATAGCACTGATATAAAACTGAAAGATGTAGCATCGAATCCATTACAGGATTTCTTCATCATGGGGTCATCTGACTTCAAGCAAGGATTTCAAGATAAAGATGCAATTATGGCACAACTTAATCCAATTTAAAAATGTTTTTAGATTTTGATTTACTTCTTAGAGATTATGAGCAAATTCCGGAGAAAATTATTGAACTATTGTTTTGAGACTACCAGTAATATATAATGAAAGATTTATTCCCGTGTACAAATTATGCACTGCAAAAAGTAGTTCACTTCGAAGCCGGTTGTACACAATCATACACCATATTGTTATGTACATTAAAATGATTCTAAAAGTAATCGTTGTTATTGTTGAGATTTTATTAAACTGTTTCTTTGGTTACAAAATAAAAACGACTGTGTTCGTTTTACAATGGTAAAAAATAGTCCCAATAAAAATATTGAGCATATTTTTTTTAAAAGACTGTTAACTTTCTTGTCAATTGGTGCCATTGATGAAACCTAAAACAAGTTATTTCTTTAAATTTTACGAAAAAAGTTTATTTTAATTGAGTATTCATTATTCTAGTACCTTTACGCAACTTATTGTCACAAAATTGTGCTGATTCTGTTTACTTGCAGGCTCCCTTCATTTTTCTGTTTTGGAGATAATCCCCCTTTATTCTGTTTTCTTGCAGGCTCCCTTCATTTTTCAGTTTTGGAGAAAATCCCCCTTTATTCTGTTTTCTAGCAGGCTCCCTTCATTTTTCGTTTTGGAGATAATCCCCCTTTATTCTGCTTTCTGGCAGGCTCCCTTCATTTTTCTGTTTTGGAGATAATCCCCCTTTATTCTGTTTTCTAGCAGGCTCCCTTTATTTTTCTGTTTTGGAGATAATCCCCCTTTATTCTGTTTTCTAGCAGGCTCCCTTCATCTTTCTGTTTTGGAGATAATCCCCTTTTATTCTGCTTTCTGTGAGGCTCCCTTCATTTTTCTGTTTTGGAGATAATCTCTCTTTATTCTGTTGTTTTCCTTAGTATCCTCTCTATACTGCTGCCATTTTGTAGAAATGTTCATGACAGTGTTTAATTGGCAGCTGTCAGGTTTAGATCCAAGCTGGATTTTTTGGATTTTATTTTATTTAATGGGCAGATTTTCTCTTCTTATTGGCAGATTTCCCCCTCGAATTGGCATGTTTTTTCCTTTTCAATTGGCAGATTTTTACCTCTGAAGTTGCAGGTTTTCGCTCCAAATCGGCAGGGTTTTTCCAGTTTTGAAGTAGGCAGATTTTTACTCCAAATTGGCTGGTTTTACCCCTTAATTCGCAGATTTCCCCATCTTATTGAAAGATTTCCCTCCTAATTGGAAGATTTCTTCTAATGGGCAGAATTTTTATTCTGATAGCCTGACCAACATCAGCTATTTTGCTGAATACCTCTTAAACCTATTGCAGAGCACCATATTTAACTTATCGACGCAAAGTCATGAGACAGTTTAAAATCTGTTACAGATAACCTCTAAACCTTTATATTGCAGAACACTCTTTATTTTATTTGATGCAGACAACCCTTGTGAATCTAATCTTTAACCATTATATTGCCAAACACTCACCATCTTCTTTGTTGAGAAATATCTTAATCCATCCTTTGCCGATTACCCCATTCAATTTATGGTTGCGGTTTGTTGGCAAAATACCTCTTTATAATAAGGATTTTTTGTAACGGTGGCACAACATCGTTTTTTTCTTTTCTAAAAAAATATATATACCTTTGAGTAGTTCCTGAAATGTTTGTGAATTATTTTTTAATTATCAAAACACCTCGAGACAATTTTTCACAAACCATTTTTTTGTTTTTAGAATTTGGTTGAGATTTTAACTCTAAATGAATGGATACCTCAATGGTTTAGTTTTCGAGCTTGCAGCCTCTTCGGCTCTTACATTATTTTTGAAAAAAGTTAAAGCGAAAAAATTTGAGAAAATTTAAATGTAAAATACAAGTATTATTACCTGTAACAAATGTAAAATTTACATCGGTGAAAATCTATTCTGTTAAATTTTATTGTGATTTTTTGTTCTGGGGACATCAAAACCCAGCACCCATTGTAATACTATGAATGCATATTGAATCTATATATATATACCTTACATAATAAAATAGTTTTTTAAATTCTGTTCTTATTCTCTTAAAATCGGATAACTTGAGACATGAAAGCTAAATCCAATGCAATTAAGAGACTGCATTTTTTTCAGGTAGTTTTTAATTAGGTATTGATATAATATTCTGAGAAAAAAGCGTTCTCTGGGACAGAAACAACGATTTGTTTTATTTTTATTTTACAATAAAATTTTAAAGCTACGGGAAAAATAATAATCAGCAGATTCAGAGTCTAAGCTGCAGGCTCAGACAAAAATATAATTGAAGATTGAAGTTAACTAAGTTCAATTGTTGACCTACAAAAATATAAGTTATTATAATATATGATTTATTATAACCAGTTGTGTGTGAGTGAAGGAGCCGGAGTTTACGAATAGGCAGTCGGCTAAATGCCAAAAAACCTACTTTCATTACCTCAAGGACTCTAGGGGGGGGGGTAAATAACCCCCAATAAACCCCACTATTTCCGCCTCTGCTGTAGAGATAACTATAATTTAGGGATAAAGAATTGTTTCTCATTTCCTTAGTTCAAAAGTGCTCACATTGGATGTCTAGATCAAAGGTTAATAATGCACACAGGAAAGTTTAGGTGTAAATGGAAAAGATTGATTGAAAGCTTTATCGAATTTCGTAATTTACATTCTTAAACGGATGCGATATTGACACATGACCAGGGAGTAAGAAATAGAAGGGAGTTATAACTGACGCGGTTCGCCCTACCATATTTTGCAGACGGGTACTCCATTTGTATATAAAATATTTGTCTGATGTACATTTACCGCGTATACAATAACCTATTCTGAATATTTCATATATAGATGGAGTACCCGTCTGCAAAGCATGTATAACCATATACCATATGGTAGGGCGAACCGCGTCAGTTATATCTCCCTTCTATTCTTTACTCCCTGCATATGACACATGCGACATTGACATATAAATTAGTGTCGTTAAAATTTTAAATATAAAAATTCTAAGAAATTATCTACAATCTATGTCCCACTAACAAAGTCAAGGAAGAGTCGGACTTAACAAAGATCGTCATTTTATCTTTGAATCAGGCCTAGGAAGCTTTCATGAATTAATTTACATTTTAAACATTTGCAAATAAATTCAGTTTTGACTAACAGTTTTTTTATTTATAAAAAGCAAAAATAAGACGTCAATCATTCCATTTTTTGGTGACCACTGTATATTTCTCAATATTAATAATTGCAAATTGTATTAATTCGAACCAGAAAGTTTGATTTATAAAGAAAGCTTTGGTCTCTATGTACTCCGGGTCTATATGGATACTATAGAAAGGGTCTACAACTAATCCTAACCCATGGTTTTATACATACGAACACTGTCCATGGTACAAGCTTCTCTTGTTAACAATAAAACATAATTTCAAGAAACATTCGTCGTTATATATATATACTAGTAATCTATGTTTTTCTCTATGTTTGTTTGTATGTCCGATCAAAACTTGACCGATTGGTTTCAGATTTTGACGATGGAACTCGTTAAAACCATATCAATTTTCTTCGTTTGCATTTGTTTAAACAATTTGTCATCAAAGATCACAGATGATCTTTATGACATCTTTCAATTTCATTTTCATTGGGATACCCTGTTCCTAGGGTTTCCAACGCACATTGTTTTTACTTGCGCGCAATTGCGAGCCTTTGCAAGCAAGTGAATTTAATTGCGCGCAATTCCGTCCAACTTCCTTACGTTTGTGTTTCAATTTTTTTAAATATTAAACTAAAACCTTATAGCACACAATACATGCAATTAATTATTAAATAAATAAAATAAATATTAATTATTTTTGCTTGTTACGACATCAAATACACTTTCAGTACCATAGTTTTCAGGTTCTTACTGTAGCAAAATATCTAATTTTGATTAAACAAACCTTACAATTTTAACCAAAAATAGTTTAATTTTAATGTTCATCCAATATAATCAAATGAAAAATGTATCATATTAAATTGTTCATTAGTAGCTTCTGCTTAACCACAAGAAACTTTAAAATTTTAAAACTGTTGAAACTTAAGTGAAACTCGGGCCTCGATTATTTTAAAATCTACAGATATATTTCCATTCTTGTATCTGCTGCATAAATTTGTAATTGAAAGTCACTGTTAAAAATATTGAGTTTTAGATGGAAAAGCAATTCCGTTGCGCGTAATTATGCGCAATTCCGTGAATAATTGCTTCCTTGTTGGCAATTATTGCGCAATTGCGCGAAATAAAAAGGCGCAAGCGGAAGCAACCATTGCGCGCAACAAAATTCTGATTGGAACCCCTACCTGTTCCAGAATTAAACTTGAATCTTCCAATTTAGAATTGTGGAAACCTCGTCCCGCCAATGAGACTTCTATAATCTATACCAAAGGGTTTATCCGGTGGCTCTTCATCTTTTAAAGAAAATTCTAGATGTTTGAATAAAATGACCAACGGGAAATCTGTTCTAACATCCTCTTCTATCAGGAGGTCTGCTAGAATAAGGTCAGTGTGTAAAGGGATTGTTATTTGTTCATCCATTTTAAAACAGCATTATGTATATATATATAATTTTCGGAATTATAACTAATTGGCAGTGATCATAGGGAATTTGCTAAAAAGAAACTACATCCGTTTGTTGTAAATTTTTATAAATAGTTTCCATAACTTGGACCATCCCAATGCAATTGAATTAGACAGCGAATTTTTTAATTTTAAATTGTGTAATTGTGATTTTTTTCTAGTAAATTTTTTCTTAACAATGAAAGCAAAATATTAACAACCATGGTGTTCTGTTTAAAGGGAGTGTTCGTGAAAAATGAAAGGAGAGTATTTGCTTACGGCGAAAAATAATCGCTTTTGATTCGGATTGTAAAAAAAATAATTAAATATAGATATTTAGATATTAAAACCTTACCATCGATTATTTTTTGACGCATTTGTATACAGTTGATATTTCATAATATTTTTTATTTCTTTTTCATATAATGCACTTAAAACAACGATTTTTTCTGCTGCTTCGGTATGAGCCGTTTTTAACAATTTTCTCCTTATAGACGAAACAGATAAAAGAAGATTAGTAGCGATCTAAAGCTCTTATTTTTCGCCGTAAGCCTTATACCTCCTTTCATTTTTCGCGAACACTCCCTTTAACATGTTTTAAGAGGTTTGCTATATCACGTAAAGCTTGCCAGTCGTAGAACTTTTTATTTCACACACTTTATCATTTGATGGCTATTTTGGACTAAAAATGATTTTAAAGAAATCCCTCAAATCGCAATTAAAATATATGTTAAAATAAAAACTATAGATTTTATTGATGCAAGGGGGACTGAGCCTCCATAGGCCCTCCCCCCCCCAGAATAAAACTGATTTTAATATATATTCAGTGCCCGGAGAAAAGTGCGGATAATGGAGGCTCTAGAGGATGGATCGGAGGAGTCTACCTCCACCACATATCCTCCAACCTACTCACCTTGCGAATTTTTTCTATTCCGAGCTATAAACGCCATCATGGTTATTTTTTTCTTAATTGCAATATCTCTCCTGAAAGATGATGATAACGCTTGCTTGTGGGTTCCAACATTTCTAGTCCCAGCTTTCCTTTCCACAATAGTAGCAATCAAACCCCAGCTATCAGGTATTATACCCAGGGTGTCCCAATCAACATCACAATTTAAAGATGACCAAGTTTGATTACTGAATATGCAATTTTTTTAACCCAGAAAATACAACCAATGCTAAAAAGGAAAAGCTCTCTCATTTATTATTTTGTTGTTGAAAAGAAGTATATAACCAAACATAATTTCAAATTTTTTACTTTCAAGAGACTGTAAACGTGATTTCGAGTGACCCTTTATTAATACAGTGACATGTCCGATTCACGACAAACAATATTTGGTTCCGGTTCCACGCTCCTCTGTTGTAATTGTAATTGTAAATAGGCATTACAGTCCGAAGTAGGACTGCAAAGGTTGGCCCTGCTCGGAGATTCAAATGTACACCGGTGGGGCGTGGTTCGTCTAATACTCTGATTCGAAGCGTATAAACACTTGTTTTCTGATACATTGCGCGGTCTCACAAAATATTAAAAGATAACTAAGTATGATAAATGTAAATTCCTTGTAAAAAAAAACAGGTAAAAATAATAAAGTACCATATCAAATTAGTAACCTGACCTTTATTAGATTTTTACAATTAAAAATTTCATTACTGTCAAACAAAAAGGCCGGCACAACACACTCGGATTATACTTGCACGTCTTTGAATTTTCATGTTTAGTGGAACACACTGTATCTTCTATTCTGTTCAGCATGTACCTGGTGGAAGGGTTGGATAATTATTCATACATCCCTCTCCATCATCCTTGCTCTACTCTGGTTCATTCAGCTCATCCGGACATATCATTCAGAGAAGGAGAATACTTTCATCCAACAGGTTCCTTTCTTCATCTTTATCCTTATCCATCCTTCTTATTCTTCTATATTCATCTTTATCCTTATCCATCCTTCTTATTCTTCTATATTCATCTTTATCCTTATCCATCCCTCTATTCTTCTATATTCATCTTTATCCTTATCCATCCTTCTTATTCTTCTATATTCATCTTTATCCATATCCATCCTTCTTATTCTTTTATATTCATATTTATCCTTATCCATCCTTCTAATTCTTCTACATTCATCTTTATCCTTATCCATCCTTCTTATTCTTCTAAATCCATCATTATCCTTATCCATTTTCTGATTCTTCTTTGTTCATCTTTATCCTCATCCATCCTTCTTATTCTTCCAAATCCATCTTTATCCTTACCCATCCCTCTTATTCTTCTATATTCTCCTTTTCCTGGTCTCCATCCAGGGTCATTTTAAATCACAGTCCCTTAAAGTTTTGTATATAGACGGATGGTGGATCAGATTTCCAGTTTAACCCCCTGGATTACGAAGAGGGGAAGGAGACCCTGGGTATACTAATTATCATTGCTTGGATGAAAACTACATCATATGTTTCAAAATCACAATTCAGGTTTAAGGATTTTTATTAAAACCTTGCTTTAGCAGAATTCATATTTTTAAATATCAAAGGTTCACGAAATAAAAGGGTTAGCTATTAAATGTTTGAGACCAGTATTATAGTTTAAACCTCAATTCCTCGGCAAAGAATGATATTTAAAAAGCTTATGATGAAGAACTTTTAATGAAAAAAAACATTTACTTTAAAAAAGATTACAGTTGCCTACAAGAGGTATATCTTTCTTCCTTTTAGCTTTGCAGTACTTTGTTATTCTTGGAATCTTTTTTGTTGAATACTGTACATAAAAGAACAGAATACTGTACATAAAAGAACAGAATACTGGATTTTTTCTTGTTTACTTGGACAGCCGTACTTTTAGCGGCTGTACATTACAATAATTTTGAAATTATAATAATAATAATAAAGATTTTGTAAATCTTAAAATATATCAGTTTACTAAAATTTAGTTTCTGGAAAACTGACAAATATTTAGTTGCTAATATATATTTCTATTTTTTCTTAATATGTATTTAATTATTTACCATAATATCAAAATATAAATGTTTAAGTCGTTTTATCGAATATTTATAGGACCGTTGCCGTAGTTTCAAAAGACGTCCATTTGTATCTATTTATGTCATTATAATGGGTATTATTAAGTGCGAACAAGTGTTTGCCGGGATTCTAATTTTGAGCCTAAACAAACTAGAAAAATTAAATCACAGTAAAAACTTTTTCGCACACATGATACCCATTACGATAACATATATAGTTTTTTTCAATTTTACTTAAATTATTTAAAACAGGTCGATAAAGTTACTTAATAACCCTGTTGCAGGGTGAGTAAGTAACTTTATCACCCTACAATGAGAAAAATTAGGTATGAAATTTGAAATTTACTTTTTCGCCCTGTTGTAGGGCGATAAAGTCACTTAATCACCCTTCAACGGGAAATATTGGGTGTTATAAATTCCATCAAAATTGAATAAAATAGTTATGACACATATTTACAACAGTTCCATAAACCTTTTTATGAGTTACCAGGAGGAGGCTATCAACGTTTTTTAATCCTAAAAAGAGATAATTTTACTAACTTCCTTCCTTGCAATACATTAGAAAGACATTTTTAATATTATTAAAAAAAATACATATAATTTCCCATTTTTTTGCTTTAACCCCCTAGCTTCTTTTAATCTAAAACAATTATCGATTTTTCTTTAGAAATGCGAGTTTGTTGCCTGCACCGAAACGCCTTGTCGCCACTGCCATCTATATGTCAGTTATTCCACTGTTCCTAACTGGACTCTGCTTATTAAGATGTACTTCAAGATCCAATTCTTGTCTGGCTATTATTGGGTTGTAATAAATGATACAACAGGGTGTCCAGGGAAACAAGAAAATTAAGAGACGGTTTGATCTTTGAAATGGTTATCGACATTTATTGGAATATGGTCTTCAACCTTTAATGTGTTCTTTTCAAGCCTTCTCGACTAATCTGCTTTGTGGAACACGTTTGGAATATATGTTCTTGTTTTGAACCAACTCCCTTATATTTATAGTAGGGTTTCCATGCGCAGTAGCGTTTTATTTAATTTTAGAAAAGTTTGATTAAATTTTGTTAAAAATTGCCTTTAATACCAGTAAAAAAATATGTTTAAAGTTAAAAAACAAGATTAAACTAGCCTTTAAGTAAATGCAAAGCTATGGCTACATATGGGGTAAGTTTTAGCGCAATTATGCGCAATTTTTTTGTAATTTGCACATGTGTATTATTCTGCTAATATCCATAACAGCAGAGACACTGGAAAATAGTTTAGTTTGTCCTCCAATACGATATCTTGATGTGGCATTCGACGAGATGAATTTTAAATTTGTACAGATAAATGAGCAAGCTACAGACCAGGTTTTGCACTATTATTGTGCAATTGCGCATTGGAAACCCTAATTTATATTACGGATTTATCATACCTGAAGAAAGACATTTAAGTACATTTGTAGAAAGCCTGAACCGGAAATTGAAGAAAGTATCGTTATGGGAAACTTCCGAGTTTCCTATTTTGAGATGGAATTTAAAGAATTTGAGCCGCGGTTTAAATCCGCCAAAACCCGGTTTAAATTTAGCGCCGGCTTAAATCTTGAAACATTGATACAATTTTAAGTGGAACAAATCATATTTAAACCGCGACTTAAATTTAAACCGCCGCTCAAATTCTTAAAATTCGGCCATTGATAATGTAATTATTAGAAAATGATAAGACTAATCACCATGAAATAATATTTCTAACAACAATCAAATTTTTATATATACAAAATTGTCACGAAAATGCCGGCTTCCGACAGGGGCGGATACAGGATTTAAGTGAGGGGGGAGGCAAGATTTTTTAGGAACAAAAAAATGAATAATTAGGAACAAAAAATCGTGCCGCAGGCGAAAATTTTTTTTGACTTAAAAGACTCAAAAAGAGTCAAAATTAATGACCAAAGACTAAAAAACTATATTTTTAAAGTTGAGGAACAAAATTAAAGGATTAGAACAGGAATTTAGGAACAATTAAAAGATTATACAGGAATTAGGAACAAAATTAAAGGATTCGGACAGGGATTTAGGAACAATAAAAAGATTGTTCAGGAATTAGGAACAAAAATAAAGGATTAGGACAGGGATTTAGGAACAATAAACAGAACCAGAAAACTAAAAAATTTGAAGACGACATAAAAGCAGTACTTGTTCATGGGACTATTTGAAGTCATAACACCAGTGTAAAAGTCGTATTCCTATTCTACAGTTTTCTGGTTTTCATGTTTGTATGCATCCTTATATAAACCCCCAAAAACTAAAGAGTATATTATTTTTGTATTAAAGAGCAGCCCTGTACATTTTTTTTAAATCCAAAAAACTAAAATAACCATAAAATATTTTTATCTTTTTTAAGCTTTATGTGAAGTTTATTTCGAAACATAAATAAATAATAAATAATCTGAAAATTTTGGTACATTCATAATGTACAAAATGTACAATGTACATTGTTCTTCTGATGTTTATCCAGATTTGTACACGGGAACTGTCTTGTACACCGTAGGAGCAGGTGCGTATGCAGGAGCAGGGGCAGGGGCGTAAGCTGGTGCAGGAGCAGGGGCGTAAGCTGGTGCAGGAGCAGGGGCGTAAGCTGGAGCAGGAGTAGGAGCGTAGACAGGAGCAGCTTTGTAGGGAGCAGGAGCGGGCTTGTAGGGTGCAGGGGCAGCCTTATAGAAAGCGGGTGCAGCTTTGTAGGGAGCGGGAGAAGCCTTGTAGGAAGCAGGAGCGGGATTGTAGGAAGCAGGAGCGGGATTGTAGGGAGCAGAAGCAGCCTTATAGGGAGCGGGAGCAGAGGAATAACTAGCCTCTCCCGAGTAGGTAACATCAGCAACATATCCACTGTAAGCATCAGCAACCTTGTAATTAACAGTCTGGATCCGTCCATCAGGAAGGTTTACGGAGTAGGAACCAGAGGTAGAATATCCGTCCCTGCTTTCTCCAGCATTAAACCTAGAACCGGAGTAATCATCCGCCACAGCATAATTGTAAGAGTAAACAGCCGGCTCGTCGTAGCTTGGCTCCGCCCCATATCTGGGAGCATTGTCAGCAGCTGTGAGAGCAAATAGAGCAGTGACGACGAAACACTTGAACATGATTATGATTGAATAGATCGTATTGAACTGATGATGAAGAAAGATATTTCTCAGGTTTTATATTCAAACCAATAACTGCATGATTCACCAATTTGTATAAACTAGTTTGGGCGTCACCAGCGTCCAATTCCGGGCTTAGTAGCCGGGAGTAACTTTTACCAAGGAGTATAAAGAAAAGATTTTTATTCACATAATTTCAATTTTAAATATTTTTAATGCAATAGTTATCTAGTTATCAATTATGAAAAATTAACCGATCATTTTGTTCACATCTTAGGAAAAAATGTAACGATCTTTTTCAAAATAACCGTTTTTAAAAATATGTAAAAAGTCCAAAAAACATTAGGTTTAACATTTTTATTTATTATTATTTTTAAATTTTTAAGTCATTATCAGCGGTCACAGACGTTAAAACTTATATAAGAAGACATTTATATACTTAGCTCTTACTGCAAAATCTTTTAACAAATCAAATCCTATAAAATTCAAGTAACATTTACAACAACGATTTTGTTTAATATCTTGTTTTTCGTTTTTATAAAAAAACGATAATTTTCGTAGTCTTGCGAATAATCAAAAACAAAAGACTTTTAGTAGTAATTTTTTATATCAAGGTTTTCATAACTTGATAATATGAATTTGCAAGCGAGACAACAACATGGAGGAATCGAAAAATCCTTAATTTTTTTTTAATATATATCAAAACACAGACAAATCCACGGTTTCAAGAATCCTTTGTCAAGGGTTCTTGGCCGGGTGTCTAGATCATTTATCCTTTGTCAAGGGTTCTTCGCCGGTTGTCTAGATCATTTATCCTTTGTCAAGGATTCTTCGCCGGTTGCCTAGATCATTTATACTTTGTAAAGGGTTCTTCGCCGGTTGCCTAGATCATTTATCCTATGTCAAGGGTTCTTGGCCGGTTGTCTAGATCATTAATCCTTTGTCGAGAGTTTTTGGCAGGTTGTCTAGATCAGTCATAATTTTTCAAGGGTTCTTGGGCGGTAGTCTAGATCATTTATCCTATGTTAAGGGTTCTTAACCGTTTGTATAGATCATTTTTTCTTTGTCAAGGGTTCTTGGCCGGTTGTCTAAATTATTTTCCTTTGTCAAGGGTTCTTGGCCGGTTGTCTAGATCATTTATACTTAGTCAAGGGTTCTTGGCCGTTTGTCTAGATCATTTATCCTTTGTCAAGAGTTTTTGGCATGTTGTCTAGATCAGTCATCATTTTTCAAGGGTTCTTCGCCGGTTTTCTAGATCATTTATCCTATGTCAAGGGTTCTTAACCGTTTGTATAGATCATTTATTCTTTGTCAAGGGATTTTGCCCGGTTGTCTAGACCACTTATCCTCTGTCAAGGGTTCTTAACCAGTTTTCTAGATCATTTATCCCATGTTAAGGGGTCTTGGCTGGTTGTCTAGATCATTTATCTATCAAGGATTCCTTTCTAGATGAATTATCATCATTTGTCAAGGGATCAACAGACCGGATTGCCTAGAAGCAGGCCTTGAAGGCTTATTCTTTATAATTCTTGACTGGCTGGTTGTCTAGATTAACTATCCTTTTTCTATGATTCTTGACCGGCTGTAGAGGTTTGTTATCCTTGATATATGATTCTTTACCGGTTGTATAGATTTACAATCCTTTGTCTATGATTCTTGACCGGTTTTATGAATTTTCTATCCTTTCTTTGACCGGTTCTTGACCGGTTGCATAGATTTCAATATACTTTATCCATTATTCTTGACCTGTTCTATAGATTTACTATCCTAGATAAAATATTCTTGACCGGTTGTGTAGATTTACTATCCTAGATAAAAGATTCTTGACCGGTTGTGTAGATTTACTATCCTTTATATAGGATTCTTGACCGGTTGTGTAGATTTAATATCCTTTATATAGGATTCTTGACCGGTTCTATAGATTAAATATCCTAGATATAAGATTCTTGACAGGTTGTGCAGATTTAATATCCTTTATATAGGATTTTTGACCGGTTCTATAGATTAAATATCCTTGATATAGGATTCTTGGCCTGTTCTACAGATTTAATATCCTTGATATAGGATTCTTGACCGGTTGTGTAGGTTTAATATCCTTGATATAGGATTCTTGACCGGTTGTGTAGATTTACTATCCTAGATATAAGATTCTTGACCGGTTGTGTAGATTTACTATCCTAGATATAGGATTCTTGACCGGTTTTATAGATTTACTATCCTAGATATAAGATTCTTGACTGGTTGTGTAGATTTACTATCTTTCATATAAGATTCTTGACCGGTTGTGTAGATTTACTATCCTAGATTTAGGATTCTTGACCGGTTGTATAGATTTAGTATCCTTGATATAGGATTCTTGACCGGTTGTGCAGATTTAATATCCTTGATATAGGATTCTTGACCGGTTGTGTAGATTAATATCCTTTATTCGAAATTCTTGCCAGACTTTTGACATTTAAACAGTTCAGTTTATTGACCGCTGTACTTTGCATTTTTATATGCTTTGTGTTTAAAGGGACTATAAAGCCATAATTGTAAATTGCCCTCCAATTAAATTTAAAATATTAATTACATGCCTGATTTACAACGGTGCCCTTTAAACCTTTATCTGAGTAACAATGAGAATTTTTTCTAACTTGCAAAGAAAAGTATTCTTTCGTCTTGCTTCCCTTTTCCTATGCACACGTCACTGTTACAGAGAACGTACAATTTGAAATGATAAATGTTTATATAGAAAAGTATGCTTTAAAGAGACTGTATGCGTAATTTAAAGTACCATTCTATTTGTTGAGTGGCATGTTCGATTCACAAGTTCACAACAGTTTCTTTTAATTTGTTGAATGATGAATAACTTATTTTTATTAATCTTTAATCGATAAACACTTTGTTCGCCAGCTGTTTTACATTCGAGAAATATTAATATTTACTTTATAGTTTCCAGTCGTAGCAGTTTCTAGAACTTTTTAAAAAATTTTTGGGCGTATATTATTTGGTTTTTTCAGGAGACACAAGTTCGTAATGTCGGCTGAGTTAAGACCATAGAGAATAGAATATATATATAGAGAGGAATTTACTAGAAAAAAGTGTAAAACGGCCATTTTGTTGTACTGTTTTCATACTGCAGGTGTACTTCACATATTTATGCTATATAACCTGTTGGGCCCTGGAATATCATTTTATAGAAACTAAAATTATTGTTAAAAGAAAACCAAATTATGAAATAGGCTCGTTTCATAATTGACCAATGATCATTTCACATAGACTCTATGCCTTCCACTGTACAAACGATGATTTTCCGTTATAACTATAAATCAAATGATGTTTTTATCCACCTAATTCATTATAAAGTTTATTTAACAGCTTTAAAAATTTTGAAATTGAAATGAATAGTCTTGGGAACATACTGTATTAATGTACTCTACTGCTTATAATTTGTGAACATTTACATGATTTGTACACTTTGAACTCCCTTTCAGGCTGAAAGGGACTGAAAAAATTCATACCTAGAGATTCTTTTAATTCCTCTCTATATATTCTATTCTCTATGGTTAAGACCCTAGTCTACTCTAATGTACATTCTGGATTTACGGGAATTCGAACAATTTTCGAGAGATACAGGGTTTCCCACGAAACATGACAGTTGCTGAATAGTTTTGAATGTCTTCTTCCATATGCTATACAAGATGTTAAAGACTTTTTGCAGTTTACTTAGTTTAAAAAATCTTTTACTCAAATATATTTTACTTTGAAATCAATTTTACTATAATATGACTGCCATATATTAACTTTTGGCATCTTATACTCAAATATATTTTACTTTGAAATCAATTTTACTATAATATGACTGCCGTGAAATATTTTTTATTATTCTCCTTGGTTTCAAAAAACTTGGCAAACTATGGAAGATTAAAATTATAAATCGGGCATTGCCAACTTTGCACGAAGGGTTACTTGAAATTAAGTTTTCAATCCCTTTAAAGGATTGGTCTTTATGACAAACAACTTTAAATTTCAAGTTTTGATTCTGCATTTTGAGGAAATCTACTTCCATTGATATTAGAATTTCCGGGGTTTCAACCAATCCGTTCTGTCATGATTGCAAGTCATGATTAAAAATTTATTTATGACTGCAGGGCTGCACTACAGGCTGAACGGTGTTTTAGCAAATTTAGTCATATTATAGATACTCTAGATACTCATTTAGTTAAATTTTAAGTGGAACGTTTCTTTTGTTGTAAAATTGAACTTTGATCTAAGGAATTAAAAGGAAGTGTAAGTATAAAGGTAATAGAGATATGTACACTGTACACTGTACACTGTATAGAGGCGGGAAAAGGAACATCCCCCTGGAAATTGGGGGATTTTACCACATTGAAAATTCCGCAAGCCGTCTCTTGGCGAAGTTCAGCATTCAGAGCTGAAAACTTTAGAATGATGGATATCAAGATTAATGCTTAAACTACTGGTTTTACTAAACCGAGATTAGTTTAATACGCATTCGATATCCAAGAAAGAAGTATAAAATTCAGCCAATCAGCGAATCATGTTAAGATGTACTTTTTCACTTTTGAAAAACTTTTTTTTTCTGGTGTTAATTGTGTCATATTAATTGAACTAAACATCGATTAAATAAATGTAAGTTTTGGATTAATGATTGTTATGACTAACGTTTAATTGATGATAGTCCTAAAATGTGATAAAATATATTTTTTAATTAGTTCATATTAACATGATTAAATTTATATTTGCTCAAATGCATTAAAAGCCGACTTGTGAACAGCTGACTATTCAATCGGATATTAGTTCAATCGATAAAGCATTGTATCTGTAATTGTTATCAAACGTAACTTTTATACAGTAGGGATATCCAAAAAAGAAGAATAAAATCAAAAGTGTGTAAATTGGATACTCAGATTAAGCGATCAGGATTAAGGCTATATTCTAAAGTTTTCAGCTCAGGTTGTACAATAAAGAGTACTGCAGTTCCTGGAGGAATTTGTAAACTAACATAGTGTTGTCTAGGCTAAGCTTTGTTAACATTTCTCCCAGGAAGTAGTAACTTCAATTTTCATCAAAGGGAGGGTTCGCGAAAAATGAAAGGGGGTATACGCTTACGGCGAAAAATAATCGCTTTTGATCGCTACTAATCTTACTTCTATCTGTTGCGTCTATAAGGAGGAAAGAACGAAGCGTCCATACAAATTCGAAAAGTTGCAATATAAGACTTGGATTGTAAAAAAATCAATTTAATTTCAAACAAATCATTCAGATATTACAACCTACAGTCATTGATTATTTTTCGACGCATTCGTATATAGTTAATATTTCATAATATTTGTTATTTGTTTTATATACAATGCAATTAAACCGACGTTTTTTCAAAGCATCGAGAACAGAGACACCTGGCGGCCAACTATTTCGGCGTTTTTAGTGCATTGTCTATGGTTTATTAAACTACATGAATAAAATCATTGAAAAACACAGGCTATTATTTATTTTTGTTGTCCCACTTCATATTTAATCTATATTTATTCTAAATAATGGGACATAAGATATTGAATATTTGATATCGCATTTGTTAAAACCTTGAAATTAAAAGTATATTATCTCCTAATCCAAAAGCACAAATTCATATTTGTTTCGAAATTGAATAAAATGAATATAGTTTTATTGAAATATTAACAATTTCCAACTTGTAAAAATTAAAACTCTGATTTTGTAATCCTTGTAACTCAAAGTCACAGACCTTTTATATTTCAAACTATGATTTTACCCAGATTAAAAAAAAACCAATTTTGAAGTATCAAAGGTTTGCACCATTAGTTTGCAAAGATATAGGGAATATAATATTTGAGTTTGTGGCAAAAACTCAATTCCTTTGTCGTAGAAAGGACGGTAAATTCTGTTCGTATTTTGGCATTAAAGCTTTGAGATAATTCATTAAAATATAGGACACTCTGTATCTTATACTTCAACCAAACTGCATTGTGCCTGCAGAAGCATGAAAGGCCCAGTGTGGTACTAAATTTGATAGATAGATAGATCCATATATATATAGATAGATAGTTAGACCCTATAAAGTAGACAGATAGATAGATATTACCAATTCCTAATCATGGTTTCTCCTCCCCATAAGTAAATCCCAGGTTTCCTCCCATAGCTAGCAGCAGGGGGGAACCATCTTTACATTTTTAAAATGTAAAATCATAACCTTTAATCTTATTAAATGCTGCTCTTATGGAAGCATAAAATTGTTTTCAGGTTTTGTAAAGTATAAAGAGTTGATATTTATTTAACAAGCTAGTTCATCTATCTGCATTGTAGCACTCACACCTTTATATTTCGTTATATAGCACGTAATTTGGGCTAAGACGATTTTTTAGTAATTACATTTCTGTGATAAGTTGTCATGAGCTGAACATAGTATGTTTTACCTTGTGCATGAGCTATTCTTGTTTTTGAAGTAAGTGTATGTATTGTACTTAATTAATCAGGATTACTCACAAAGGATAAGACTTGGAAGACGACCTGGCTCAAGCTCTTTCAATATATGGCTTATTTAATGATTTGAAAAGGAACGAAACAAGTTTGAAGTTGATGCAGGAAACCATGAAATACAAGGAATCAGACAGTATACATATTTCGTACAGTCGTCTTATCCTTTGTGGGTAACCCTGTGTGTTTGACAGTTAAAACTTATATATACTAGGATTTTAGGCGCTTCCCACCCATTTTATAAAAAAAATTTTGCGGATTTTCAAAATTTTCAAAAATTGGATTTTTTTAGAGGTAAATTTTTGAAAATTCGTCATTCATAAACCTTCCCTTGGGTCACGCGAGGTCCCACAAAATATTTGGACTCGATCGGTTTAGCCGATTTGGCGTTTATTGGACACAAACAAACAAACAACCATGCAAATACAATACAGAATAAAATAAAATTGTCGGAAAACGAATGCAAGATCTTTTTTCATTTTCATAGGACGGAGCTAATAAATGTCAAAATAAATTTAGACCATTAAGTTCGCTCTTTAAGATCTTACAGAATAAAATATATAACGTAGTCTTATAGTTAAATATTTAGATTACAAATAAATGACGTAGTCTTAAAGTTCAATATTTAGATTACAAATATATGACGTAGTCTTATAGTTAAATATTTAGATTACAAATAAATGACGTAGTCTTATAGTTCACTATTTAGATTACAAATATATGACGTAGTCTTATAGTTCTATATTTAGATTACAAATTTATGACGTAGTCTTATAGTTCTATATTTAGATTACAAATATATGACGTAGTCTTATAGTTCACTATTTAGATTACAAATATATGACGTAGTCTTATGTAGTTCACTATTTAGATTACAAATATATGACGTAGTCTTATAGTTCTATATTTAGATTACAAAGATATGACGTAGTCTTATACTTCAATATTTAGATTACAAATATATGACGCAGTCTTATACTTCAATATTTAGATTAGAAATATAGGACGTAGTCTTATAGTTTAATATTTAGATTACAAATATATGACGTAGTCTTATAGCTCAATATTTAGATTACAAATATATGACATAGTCTTATAGTTCTATATTTAGATAACAAATATATGACATAGTCTTATAGTTCAATATTTAGATTACACATATATGACGTAGTCTTATAGTTCAATATTTAGATTACAAATATGACGTAGTCTTATAGTTCAATATTTAGATTACAAATACATGAATATTTAGATTACAAATATATGACGTAGTCTTATAGTTCAATACTTAGATTACAAATATATGACGTAGTCTTATACTTCAATTCTTAGATTACAAATTTATGACGTAGTCTTATACTTCAATACTTAGATTACAAATATATGACGTAGTCTTATACTTCAATACTTAGATTACAAATATATGACGTAGTCTTATACTTCAATACTTAGATTACAAATGAATTTCTATGATTTTTCAATTCAACGTTCACGAATTTCAATTATGAATATAATGTTAAAATCATAAACATAATTATTAGTTGGAACATAAGAAAATGCATAATTCACAGAGTTTGGCGTTTATATCAATACAATAGCGACACCTTTTTATTTGAGCTTTAAAGGGAGTGTTCGCGAAAAATGAAAGGGGGTATAGGCTTAATGCGATAAAAAAGCGCTTTTGATCGCTACTAATCTTACTTCTATCTGTTGCGTCTATATGGAGAAAATTGTTAAAAACGACTCACACCGAAGAACGTAGTGTTCATACAAATTCAGAAAGATGCAACATTCAACTCTGATCGTAAAGAAATCTATTTAATTCCCAACAAATTATCCAGATATTACAAACAATAGTCATCGATTATTTTTCGACGCATTCGTAAATAGTTGATATTTCATAATATTTTGTATTTTTCATGATTTGAGAGTTACATTTTTTCCTGTTTCGAGGATTTTTGATAATGAAGACGACATTTTCATATTTTCCAGGAATGTTCGAAAATCCAGCGCCAGCGAAAATTAATCTAAAAAAACAAAATCAAGAATATTATGAAATATTAACTATATATGAATGCGTCGAAAAATAACCGATTACTATTGTTTGTAATATCTGAATGATTTGTTTGGAATTAAATTGATTTGTTTACGATCCGAGTTGAATGTTGCATCTTTCCGAATTTGTATGGGCGCTGCGTTCTTCCGTGTGAGTCGTTTCTAACAATTTTCTCCTCATAGAAGCAACAGATAGAAGTAAGATTAGTAGCGATCAAAAGCGCTTTTTTATCGCATTAAGCCTATACCCCCTTTCATTTTTCGCGAACACTCCCTTTAATTTCTAACTAGCTTTTTCAGCAGATAGATATTACTGAGTAATCAAGCAAGAAAAACTGATAATTAAAGAGGAAAATATCATTAGCTTCACCTAAATTAATCATCTAACCTTTTACAAAAATTAGAAAAAATGCATTATGTGTTGTAGCTTTTACAGTAAAGAAGGAGGAGGTATCTATTCCTGAAATCTTCGGTATAATTTCAAAGGAATATTTAGTACTGCACTTTTAGTCAGATCTTATCAATATGTTCATTTCATACCCCTGCAGTACGCTTTCAGGGTTATATACCTGTAACACTAAATAACATAAATATTTCAGGACACTTTAGATTAAATTTAATAAAGCAGTAATATCTTATAATTTGCATGTTTAGGTCTCCTCAATGAAAACTTTCTAGAAATCATCAGAGAAATAAAAATTCGTTTTCACTGTATTGATATAAGTGCCGACCGCCGTACTTAAACCGGCGGTTTATCAGTATTGAAAAATTACATTTTTAAGAATTTCAATGTTAATCAAAATGTATAAAGAAAAATTAGTTTAAAATTACAAAAAAAAATCTTCTTCTCCAAATAAAACTGACACCTAAACTGTTCATATATATTTTACAATACAATAATTATTACTCAAGCCTCTTCAAATTAAACAACACTAAAACTATTTCCAGCCTCTTTTACATTTTAAACTTTTACAAGATACTGATCATACAGAAGCTGATATTTGGAACTCTTAGTTTTTAAACTTTTACAAGATACAGCTATTCAGCTGCTCTTCAATACAGAAATAAAATCAGGTGCGGTAAATCTAGTTGAAGGAGAAGATCCAAAAGATGAGAAGAGTACGGCGTTGAAACACCTGCACCCTTCGGCATCTTTAGCAAACTTAGATTTCTTTCCTGATTTTTCCTTTTAGTTGTTTATTTACTCCAGAAGGTGTGTCCCTGATTGATATCCTCCGCCCTTCTTGATTTAGCTCTGAGCCTGTAGGGCAACGGAGCTCGTTTACTCCAGAAAGTGTGGATTTGATGCTTCTCTGTATCATCTTCCTCCATCATATTCCTTTTTAAAAAATTGCATTTTCTTGATGATATTAGGAAACCTATAGTTAACTGAAAGGTTTGGTTTGTAAGTAAAGGAATTTGCCACAAACTCTGATTTTCTAATCACTATATCTTTGCAACCCAAGGAATTGTAGACCTTGCATATTTCAAACAATAGAATTTAAGTTTACGATATGAGGTTGCAAAGATATAGAGATAGAAAATTTGAGTTTGTGGCAAAGACACAATTTCTTTTCTTTCACATAAATACTTCATATTGTGTAAGGATTCCAAACTAGATTGCGAAAAGAAACTTCAGAAGTTATCTTTATTTATAAAAAAATATTATCAATGTACACATTGCAATACCAGTTTTACTCCTTACAGAGTTTAAAATAAAATTCTCTAATATATATAAACCATCACAGAGGAATAGAGTCTTTGCCACAAATTCAGTTTCGAATCCTACAGTGATAACCAGAAAACTTTAAGGCTTTAAGTGTGACTTTAAATAGTCCAATGAACATGAGTCCAAACAATTGTGCAGTGCAAACAGACTCATTCCACTCAATAAATTTAACAATTTGCTTTGTAACAATATTTAATATTCTTAATTGGTGCTTAAATGGCGTCCTTCTATTCCACAGTGTTTTGTTCTGTTTATCTTTGCAACCTAGTATGTTTAAAAATTAAATAATTTAATCTAGGAGAATTCATTATTTGAAATTTCTAATGTCTGAGACATTAGATTGCAAAGAAGGATCAGAAAATCAGATTTTGTGAATATGCAAATATATTCAATTCCTTTATAGATTTTATTTTAATACAGCTAAGAAAAACTAATTTGCCAATGCAATTAAGATTCTGTTTAGAATTAACTTTAAATTAAAATCGATATAGATAAAGTTCTTTGCTGATAAATATATATTGATATGTTAGCTAGAGCTGCCAAAACGTCTTGACCTAAGGGACTGAATTTTTTTGAGGGATTTTTTAAGGGTACCCTGGGGGTAAAAAAGACTAAACAAATTCAAAAAATCTATTTTTAAAACCAAATTTTTTAAAAAGTGTTTTAAAATTCAAGGACAACGACAGCATTTGATTACCGATTTTGATTCATGATAAATCCATTTATCATTTTTATTATTGTCGTTTTTCATTTTTTATTTAAAATTTTCTTACTTTTTCTCCTTGAAATGATCTTCAAAGGGTGGATTATATCTGAGCATTGAAGAGAAAAGGTTTGGAATTTGAGAAACATCTGTAAAATATTAAATGATTAATATATTTATTTCTAGTTCTACATAAATTGTTTTTTTTTTATAAAATTAAACCTGTTCTGGATTTCCCCAGATCCAAGTTCCTCAATGAACTCACTTCACTTAAAGCAAAAAATGTATCCAACTCAATTTAATTTGATGAAAAGCTACTTTTATTCAACAGGGTGATGAATTGATCAATGGACAATTGCTGGTTACGGTTTAGGTTTAACTTTGGAGTTTGGAATACACCGTTAAACGTCAAATTAAAGCAAATTATCATCTGCATTAAAATTTTTAACAAATATATCAATATTTATATTATATCCATGAGGTTATAATGCAAGGAAAGTTATTTCAGAGGTGTACGCATCTTTTGTACTGCAGTGTACTTTCTCTGAGCGGTAATGTCAACACGAGACGGATGTCACAGACTGACCTGGGATCCATATTTCGCATAAAAAATCAATGAAATATTCTGGTCAAAGGAAGCTATAATGTGAATTATCAAAATTATCAAAATTCAATGCTTTTATCCTCCTCGGATACTAAACAAACACTGATGCATCTAGTCTTGTTTACCCAGAGAGAACTGGTTTCAATATGTACGCAGAAACTACGCAACTGCAATAAACTTTCCTTGCATTATAACCTTGATCATATTTTTATATATAAAGTAGTAATCTCTGTTTCTTCGTTTGGATGTCTGATCATAACTAGTGGTTAGTGGTTAGTGGTTAGTGGTACCTGGAGAAGAATAAATGTAAGAGGATGAGAATAAGACTCAGTGGTACTGGTTGGTTCATAACTGAGTAAAGAAAGGAGTAAGACACCCCTCTTATATACATTTTAATATGGTGTTGAAGAACCTCTTCAGTCTTTTTTATGCCGCCTCTTCGCCCTGTCCTTGAAGGGACTGTAGTGAGTAGTGTGTCCTTAAAGGGACTGTAGTGAGTAGTGTGTCCTTGAAGGGACTGTAGTGAGTAGTGTCTCCTTGAAGGGACTGTAGTGAGTAGTGTGTCCTTGAAGGGACTGTAGTGAGTAGTGTATCCTTGAAGAGACTGTAGTGAGTAGTGTGTCCGATTTTAATCTGAACCTCTAAAAGAGTTGTTTGATCAAGATTAAAAAATGCATGAAAAAATAAATCATGTTCTCTTTCAAAATTAATAGTTTTCAATTAAAGATTCTGTTTAAAATGACTTGAGGAATAAGGATATCTGGTTCAGAAACATTAAGAAATTATCAGAATAGATAAAATACGATATCCGTCATTTTTACAGAACAGACAAATATTGAAAGAATATTAATAGAGGGTTACTGGGTCTACGTATACTACACAGAGTACAGAGGCTGGGTCTACGTATACTAAACAGAGTACAGAGGCTGGGTCTACGTATACTACACAGAGTACAGAGGCTGGGTCTACGTATACTAAACAGAGTACAAAGGCTGGGTCTACGTATACTAAACAGAGTACATAGGTTGGGTCTACGTACACTACACAGAGTACAGAGGCTGGGTCTACGTATACTACACAGAGTACAGAGGTTGGGTCTACGTATACTATAACTCAGAGTACAGAGGCTGGGTTTACGTATAGTACACAGAGAACAGAGGCTGGGTCTACGTATAGTACACAGAGAACAGAGGCTGGGTCTACGTATAGTACACAGAGAACAGAGGCTGGGTCTACGTATTCTACACAGAGTACAGAAACTTGAATTTACACTTAAAGTACCTTTAATCATTTTGGTTTAGTATAGAATTTGAAGACATTTTTTATAAGTTATTTACCAAAAACTTTAGTATTTTTTTCATAATTATTAATAGAAAAATATTTAATAAACAAAATATTTATTTTGAAAAATTAAACAGCAATAGAAAATGTCTGTATTATTTTAGGTATGGTTTATAAGAGGAAAATAGTTAAAATTAAGTTTTAAGTATCTCTAAACATTTGTTTTTAGGTTAAATTCACTTTTGTGGGGGATGGACATTCTATCCTCTGACGTCACAAACAGACGAGGCTTCCATTTTTGTGACGTCACAAAGATTTATTTTTATTTGTAATTTTAATCAACGTCAAGTTGAAAAAACAGCAATATATATATTTTAAGGGTCATCGGGTATACGAAGGGAGTAGAGTGGAGTGAGCCCCAACCTAGACTTGTGAAATGACCCCCATTGTAAAAAGGTCACACTCGAATCACAACAGTACTCTTTAACTCTTTTTGTCTCTGCTGCATAATTGGAAACTATTAGTTTTAAGATAAAACAAGGGGTATTTTCATAGTTTTTGATCAAACAATGGTTTAAATGATACCAACGGTCCAGCCGTTTGGTCGACTATAGGGAATATATATACGTGTCTTGCTTTATTATATAAATTAAAGTTGTAACCTCTGTTTGTTTGTCCGATCATAACTTTGGAACCGTTGGACGGTTTAACCTCAAATTTTAATTGGGGAGCTCGGGAGACCCACGGGAATATCCTTAACTTAGTTTTGAGATTCTAAGCTGAGTGGGTCGACTATAATAGCAAAATTTAGTTTCCCGGAAAATGGTTCAAGTGCGGGTAAACGGCGCGGCGGGAGTAACTTTTGGTAACAACCCAAGCTATAAGTAACTAATAATTGTACACTGCAATATAGATTTCATTTTAACCTTAAAATTTTAATAAATTTATTTCAGAAAAATGTTGTTTCTGTTGAAACCTATTTTAATGTTAAAACTACAGATGTGCTTGTTATTATTTATAAGGTAATATTATAGATTTAAGAGCACAAATACAAAAGTTGCAAACTCCCACTCAAAATTCGATGTGAACTTCATAAAACCTAAAGATAGATAATAGTTATAAAATGTATACATACATGTCTAATCCCACAAAAAAAACCAGTGAGAACTAGAAAACTCTGGAATATTATGTCTACTTTCAGACTCAGGTTAAGACTTTAGATAGTCCAATTAACACATGAAACAAAGAAATTGTGCAACTGAAACGACTCATTTAACATATTCAGAGAATTGATAACTTGTTAGAAATAGTATTTGCTTTGTGACACCATCAAATGCATTTTAGTATTGCTTTAATATCGTCTTCATACAAATATACAAATAAAAAGGTTGTATGCTCCCACGCAAAATGCAATGTGCAGTTCTTAAAGCCTATATAGATAGATATTAACAAGTGCTTAATAGTTCTTAACCCTATTCCTGCTGGGGGGGGGGGGGTAAATTTGACCCCCCCCCCTGTAGTTTTTTTTACATAACTCAAAACGTATTGGTCTGAGGCTGTTGAAATTTTCTGACTTTTCCTACATACCCAAAGCCCTTCCTTTAGGCCTAAAACCGTGCTTTAATACTAACTGCCTGAGTCCTCAGGCACACTGCATGGATGACTGCTTTTTCCTGTAACAAACTAAATCTTTGTTTTGACCCACTTACACTTGTCAGTTTTTGATAAAATTTAGCTTTTTGTCAAAGGAAATTTGCACATTTTTAGTTTTTCCTGATTAAAAATCAGGTTACTTAAAATTTTGCAAAATTTTTTGCATATTTGAAATGGCATGGTCAAGGGCTTTTCAAAAATGTATAATTTTTCATTTTTGGACAAATTTTTTTTTTACAAACATTTTTACTATATAACTGGATTTTGCGATAAAAAATTTAATTTTTGCAAATTTGCAATTTTTTTTGCAGATTCTAAAAGTAGAGCACAAGAGCTTTCCAATGATGTATAATTTGTCATATTTGGACATCAACCATGGGATTTAGAGGGGGGGGGGTCAAATTGACCCCCCCTCCCAGCATATCCTGGTTTTCAAGTACCCCAGCAGAGATAGGGTTAAAACCTATAAAGATAGATAATAACAAGTGCTTAATAGTTCTAAAATGTAATGTGCAGTTCTTAAAATCTATATAGATATATAATAACAAGTGCTTAATAGTTCCTAAATGTATATGTACATTGCTAAAAAAAAAAAATTACAGTGAGAACCAGAAAACTCTGGAATAGGAAGCCGACTTTCAGACTCAAGTTATGACTTAAAATGCGCAACGATGAGACACTTGTGCTCCGTAACAGACCCATGTAACACCATCAAATGCATTTTACCCATTTTTCTTATATCTTTTTATTCTATTTTTGACAAATTTTAAATGAGACATCAAAATATAAGTAAACAACTAAAACAAGAAACAATTAAAAATCCATAGACACCCTGTAACTTAGATTATGAAAATCCATGGACACCCTGTAACTTAGATTATGAAAATCCATAACTAAAAAACAAAGGAATTCAGTTTTTGCTACAAACTCAAATTTACTTATCCTTATATTTTTGCAATCTGAGGGTGAAAACTTTTGATATTTCAAACTAATACTTTATATTTGATCTGACAGAATTGATAGTTTGAAATATGAAAGGGCTACGATCTCGGGTTGCATTGCAAGGAATTAACCAATTTGATTTTGTGGCAAAAACTTATTTCCTTTGCAATGTTTACTGTTTATGCAAAATACTCCAATTTTTCATGAGAAATACCATGGCTTCTCTCTCTATTTTCAGAAGAAAGAATGGTTCTACTTTGAGGCATTGTAGATTTGAAATGCCACTACAATGGCCTTTGGTTTTTAGACTTTTAATCTTCATACAAAGAAGAAATTGGCAAAATACTGACTGATTTTAGCCTAAGAGCCGGTAAATCCGTAGAATACACCAAATAAATCTTGATGCTAAAATATTTTTATAATATCTAAGATATTGTCGGATTTCTTCAAAATGTTCTATTTTTATTCAATATTATTTTTTATGAGGATCTATTTTTCAATTTAGAGATGGAATGGCATTCAACTTAACTTTTAATATAATACTCTTAAACCTTAGATACATTTTATCATTCTTTGCGTCGAAACCCTCTTTACGCATTAGTTTTCTAAAAGGAGATTTATTTTCATTCATGATTTAGATCGTGGTCTTTTTGCCTGTATGTGTTTAGGGTAGGAGGACAGGATTGTATATGTGTTCAGGGAAGGAGTACAGGATATATAATTGTATAAGTGTTCAAGGAAAGAGGACAGGATGTATAATTGTATATGTGTTCAGGGTATAGAGGACAGGATGTATAATTGTATATGAATTCATGGTATAGAGGACAGGATGTATAACTGTATATGTGTTCAGGGTAGGAGGACTAGATGTATAATTGTATAAGTGTTCAAGAAAGAGGACAGGATGTATAACTGTATATGTGTTCAGGGTAGGAGGACAGGATGTATAATTGTATATGTGTTCAGGGTAGAAGGACAGGATGTATAATTGTATATGTGTTCAGGGTAGGAGGACAGGATGTATAACTGTATATGTGTTCAGGGTAGGAGGGCAGGATGTATAATTGTATATGTGTCTAGGTAAGGAGGACAGGATTTATATGTGTTCAGGGTAGAAGGACAGGATGTATAAATGTATAAGCGTTCAGGGAAGGAGGACAGGGTGTAAAACTGTATTTGTGTTCAGGGTAGGAGGACAGGATGTATAATGGTATATGTGTTCAGGGTAGGAGGACAGGATAAATATATGTATAAGTGTTCAGGGTAGGAGGACAGGATGTATAATTGTATATGTGTTCAGGGCAGGAGGACAGGATGTATAAATGTATAAGTGTTCAGGGTAGGAGGACAGGGTGTAAAACTGCATTGTGTTCAGGGTAGGAGGACAGGATGCATAGTTGTATATGTGTTCAGGGAAGGAGGACATGATGTATAACTGTATTTGTGTTGAGGGTAGGAGGACAGGATGTATAATTGTATATGTGTTCAGGGTAGGAGGACAGGACGTATAATGGTATATGTGTTCAGGGTAGGAGGACATGATGTATAATTGTATATGTGTTCAGGGTAGGACGACAGGATATATTATTGTATATGTGTTCAGGGTAGGAGGACTGGATGTATAATTGTATATGTGTTCAGGGAAAGAGGACAGGATGTATAATTGTATATGTGTTCAGGACAGGATGTATAATTGTATATGTGTTCAAGGTTGGAGGACAGGATATATAATTGTATAAGTGTTCAGGGAAAGAGGACAGGATGTATAATTGTATATGTGTTCAGGGTAGGAGGACAGGATGTATAATTGTATATGTGTTCAGGGTAGGAGGACAGGATGTATAATTGTATATGTGTTCAGGGTAGGAGGACAGGATGTATAATTGTATATGTGTTCAGGGTAGAAGGTCAGGATGCATAATTGTATATGTGTTCAGGGTAGGAGGACAGGATGTATAACTGTATATGTGTTCAGGGAGGAAGACAGGATGTATAACGGTATAGAGTATATGTGTTCAGGGTATAGAGGACAGGATTTAAATTGTATATGTGTTCAGGGTAGGAGGACAGGATGTTGAAGGACCTGCTCAGGACGCCCTGGTTATGCGCTCCGATGATTTTACTTCTGCAGAGCTCCCTATGGAGCACAGGGAGGGTGAGCTAGAGCTTCCTGATGTATTTTCTATTCCTAGGTAAATATGAGTACTTTGGACACTTCCATCAGTACTTTGGGTACTTATGATCGTAAATACAAACAAAGTAAACTGACGGACACCCAAACATAGATCACTATTTATATATATTATTATGTTATAGATCGGTGAGCGCGGAACTAGAGGTGGATCTATTCTTCTCTTTGTTCTTTGTGTTTCTCAACAACGACTGGAAGGAGTACAAGGGGGAGGCCATGCTGCTGGCCCCAGCAGGGTTACACAGCTCCGAGGCCACCAGGTAGACATTTAGAGGACCAGTTTTTAGGTTGGAAGTTAGAATATGATAAATAGAGAACTGGCAGAGTTGAGCACAAAACAATAAGACATTTATAGAAGACATTTTTTTAGTTCCTAAGAAGAAAACATTTCTAAAAAGTTCTTTTTTCTAACAGCAAATTCCCTTATGAACCCAGGTAGTTAGCAAACCTCTCGGATTGATCTTCCAAACTTGCAATTATCCAAAGCATATGCGGCGTAAAATTTAATCAACGAGGGACTGCTTTAACCAGAAATAGGTTTAAAGGTACTCAATTCAATGCATTTTTGTGATCAGCTTAATTTAAAGAATGTCACATGATTAACACTATTTTAACACGACTGTATTTAAGAAATTATTGTTTTTATATTTGGAACATGAGACAGAGCCTCAGAGGCCATTTTTTCTCGTCTTTTCACAACCTGCTTTCTGGACCTGAATCAATCTTTATTATGATGTAATTAATCCATACAGGATCTCTAGATAAACATATCTAAAGAAAGCGAGATATATCTACTTGTCAAAGGGACTAGGGACACAATTTCATTTCCATGTGACCCTTTTAGGAACAGTTGTATGCTTGATTCACAATCATACCCTTTACAACTTTTTGTTTCTGTAAAATTGATTCTGATTTATGTTAGAAAAGACAATAAATTATATCTTTTTAAGACAGAAAATCGATGATATCTTTATCATTAAGTTTTTAAGATAAAGAACTTTTAAGGGTACCGTTGTGAATCATGCTTTATTTTAGGGCCACTTGAAATTAAGTTGACGGTCTCTAAGTATATTTGTTTTGAAAATTAGTTGTGCGGAGAAGTACACTTAAGTCAATTTTTTTAAATTACAAATCCTGCACGTTTTCTGACTCATTAGGAAAGCATGTAAGGATATTATAAATACATGATAAAATAAACTTCAGTTTTATGGTACAGGGTTTCTCAAAAAACACTGTCATTTTGTGAGTTTTCATGAAAATATGAAAATGTGGTCTATCATTTTTGTATTAAAAAAGTTAGCTATTATTGAAAAACAAATTAAACACCCAGTAAACTTTTTAGATGGTTGGAGAAAGAGGAAAAGTTGACAGAGGAGTTGCTTCTCAGTCACATCATCCTGGGGGAGAGAATCAGGCCGGAGCTCCTGGTACAAGATCAAACTAGGACGACATTAGGAGGAATGAATGTCGTCTTCACACTCAGTGATAATGGTAAACTATAGTTACAACTATAATACTAACATTAACGGCAAACGTGTAAGGAAATTTACAAAATGAGATAATTCTATCAGATTTAAGTCGAGAAAATACAATGAATCCCAGATATATGAATACATAGACCGTCATAAGTTTTTTGATAATTCTAAAGAAACTTCTTTTTATTTTTAATTCAAGGTAAATTATTAGCCCTGAAATATGAATGCAATTAATATATATATATTAAACTCATTTTTCCGCGGCATTTGATTTTAAATATGCAATACGACATTATGCTATGTATTCATATATCTGGGATTCACTTTATCAGTAAAATGCACACACAGGGTTTCCCACAAAGGATGAGACTTCAGAGACGATAATACAAAATTCAATCCGCGCCCTACTTATTACATTCTTGATTCCATAACAGCAATAAACTTTTTCTTTTTTGAGAAAGAAATCATTTAATATTACATTAAAAAGACTATATTTGAGAAAAAAATCTGAATTGAGTTGAAAAAAAGGGGTAAAAGCTGTAACTTAATTTCTTCAATGGAGCATGCACAGAAAATTGATAAAAAAGATAGATATATTTGATCTTCTTATAGCTATAAGAGGGGTAAATGCCAAATAAATGAGCAAATATTGAAAGGTGTACTCAGCTAGGGTGGGGTCACGTGAGGTCCTACAAAAATTTTGGCCCGATCGGTTCAGCCGTTTTGACGTTTATTGAATACAAACAAACAGACAAACAAACAGACAAACAGACAGACAAGCCAAATTTATATATAGATTAAAACTGATCCAAGGATTACTTAATTTTCTTTTAAATTCATATTGACTAAACTCAACAATAAAATGTCCTGCCAGGGGTATAAGATCTAGGCGACGTTGAATAAACTAAAGAACAATACAAATTATAGATTTGCTTTCTTTAATTATTGGCAAATATAAGTTTACAGCTTTACATCTATCTCTCATGAGGTCCAGTCTAAATAGAGAATATTAATATAGGTGATGTGCTTGTAAATGGTGTTAGAGTACTAGCAATGCAGAATCATGAGAATATTCTAATAATTGCTCTGGACGACTACCTCTTCAAGTAAATTTAATTTAAAATTCTTTTTCTTTTTCTATAACTTGTTATACAGGGTGTTCAAATAAACAAGGGAATTCAGTGACGACTTCGATATCGTCTTTGTTATAAATTAGCAATGTAATACCTGATTTCAAAAGCCATAGTATTATTATGTCTGCTAGAGTTTATTTTGTTAAAACGGTAAATGGTTGTAAAGATGTGTCTATAATGTCTTTGCAAGATGAAAAGTGAAGACGGACAAGTTTACTCTGTTTGTATAAAACCTCATTGGCATATACTGTAATTTTCTTGTTTTACTATAAGTACAACCGTATGCAGTCAAAACTATAAACAAACAAATTGTTTACACAGCAGATGAAAATCTTAAGGATTACAACTTTCTCATTAAGTATCACTATACTAAATTAAAGCATTATTTAAAAAAGCGATATTCGTCACTGAATTCCCATGTTTATTGGGTTTGGGACACCCTGTATTTGCACCAACCGTTAGAGGTACATTGTTTGTTTTTTAAGATAATATCTGGAAGAACATACATATTTAGATATAGATTCATAATCATAATTTTCAATTAGAAAAGAAGTGACTGCTGAGCTGAAAGAATTGAGTAAAGCCAGTTATGAAATGTCGTCTTCTGAGTTGAATGTTCCTCGAGAAATGATGGAAGGTGTTGAGGTATTTTTTCCTACATAGAAAATTTTCCAAATATTGACAATCAAACAGGGGCGTACGAGAGCATTTCTGTAGGGGGGGGGGGACAACATTGTTCTCCCCCTTAAAAACCACTTTTTTAAAAAAAACATTGATACCTTTTTTAACTATTCGATCATATATACACACTGCGGTGTAAGCCTCAAGGGATGAAAAATAGAGGTGGAAATGTTTCTAAAAAAATATCTACATTTTCATAGGATAGAATTTTATAGTTTTATAAATTATTATATCAAATATATATTTACACTGAAGGCAGCATTGATTAAAGCTTTTTAATGAAACTTTTTTAGTTAAGGGCAAAAGTATGATTTTAAAGTATTTTTTTCTTTCCGATGAAATTTTACGTTTATGGAATACATGCGTAATTTCAAGTAACCCTCCATTTATAGAGTGGCAGGTCCGATATACCTTTGAAACTTTCATTTCTCCATCGTTTCTGAAGCAAGAAATCCACGAGTCACTTTTGTAGAGAAACCACAAATTAAAATATAATCAGTTTTCAAAATGGGAAACATGGATATTTAATGCAATAGTAATACTTGATCAGACAAAGCTTTGAAGGGTATTGTTGTGAATCAGAATATATTTTATTTCTTTTCTTAATGATGGATGAGTGCAATGCAATGCAATGTAGAATGTAGATTGCCTGAGGAAAGGAAATGCAAGCAGATGTAATATTTAAAGAGCCCCCCCCCCCATGGGGGCCCCCCACGCGTAGGGGGGGAGCCGGGGGCTCGCCCCCCCCCCCCGCACGCCCGTGCAACTGAAAAACACGGGAAGTTAGGGCTTTAATTCCTGTAATTCCTGTAAAAAATATTACTCAAAACTCATGTTTGTAAGAATCATAATACCGATGTATGATTTCCAAATCAGAAAATATCCCTACAGCATTTTGTGCTTTCCATAACGGAATATTAAGAATTGAGTTTAAACTGTTTAAAATCATATCTATAAATAATGCTTGAAGATACAATTATAACTAATTGTTTTGATGCACACGGTCATGTCATTGAATTGCTATAAAACATTATGTTAAGCCATGATGGACACCTTGTAGTTTTCATCTCAAATATAAAATACTAAAAGCCTGCACACGCCACCCAATAGATTTTTAAAGCTCATAATAGTTTATTCAGATATTCTAATTAAATCAAAAATGTTGTTGGGAAAATACTTGAATAACGGTCCAATTATGCAATTATGAAATTAATAACAGGCGTATTTCTGTTGTTTAGAATTTACCTATTTCAGGTCTTTAATGAACCTTCGGGTATAGAGTACCCAACCATAGAAAACCCAGACAATGCAGATTCTTCCATAGACAACATAGACACAGATTATTCAGCTATCATAGAGTACCCAACCATAGACAACTCTGCAGCAGATAATCTAAAAATTACTCTACCAGAACCATCTCCAAGAAACGTAGAGAAGAACTGTACTGAGATTAGGTGATCTACGTTGCTTCCTATATGCAATTCAAAGTTTGGTGCTTCTTACATAGAATTTAAAGTTTAATGCTTCTTACATAGAATTTAAAGTTTAATGCTTCTTACATAGAATTTAAAGTTTAATGCTTCTCAAATAGAATTTTAAGTTTAATGCTTCTCAAATTTGCTTTGTAACGATATCAAATACACTTAAGTAATGCTGTAATGTCGTCTTTCTTTCCTACATTTTAATTGTAAATAGGAATACGTCTGAGAACTCTATATTTGAGACAATAAGGATTTGTAATGAGATAGTTCCACAGTTAAAGAATATAAGGTAATTGTTTCGCTACTTAGCGATTTTCCTAAAGACCTAATGAAATCTTTATAAGTACCGTGCGGTATTTCTCAAGATAGGATTGTAAGCCTTCCTCTTCTGACTGCTCTCCATAATAAAGGATTATAGAGGACGTGAGTCAGACTCTAATAAAACGCATAGATAACTTCCAGTATATATATTTCTTATAACTTATTACTAGAGGGGTCAGAACTAGAGTCAATATCGATATCGCACGTGTAGACTGTAGAGATCATATCAGTGCTAATGCCCCGTATCCGTTCTATCTCATTCTGTTGAATCTTGTGGAACTAGTTTAACGCGGCCAGGCATCGTCTTCCACAGGATAATAATATGGTTCAATCTAAATAATTTTAATAAACCCACAGAAAAAGCATCGAGTGATAAGATCATACAAATACAACAAATAAATCAACTCAGGCATTAAAAAACTGTGGAATGGAACCAATAAACTACATTTATAAAATATCAAACCATAATCGAACATAAACAAACGATATTCATATATATATATAAAGAATAATTACCGCAGTGATCCTAGAATTTTTAGCACGGTTTAATAATAGACGAACTTGCATGAAAAACAAATATATACTACGGTAGAAACTGTCCGCTTCCACGCGAGAAACTTGCGCATGCGTAGTCGGTCTGGAAAAAGCTTCTAAAACTAGTTTTTTCACAATACGTTCTGTACAGATCCTCAGGGAGAACTCAGGAATTCACAGGGGCACCACATAGACTTTATACACGGAGCATGGCTCGCGTAACACTCGCCCAACCAAGAGCAAACGAAAAAGTTCCATCTGCACCCCGCGACTTGAACTTCCTGATAACCCAACTAGACCTGAAATACAATCACTGGAATCTTTTAGAGTTTGAATTCACGTAATCCTTCACTTTTAAAACATCCTGTCCTCCCAGGGAACATCCAACTATAAATCCAACTCCTCAGGGAACGCAACCCTAGCCGATCCTTCAATCAGCTCATCATAGGTGGGGGTTTGCTCCACAACTCTCCTAGAAAACCTCAAAGCTGCGCTCATCCTCTTAGGAGAGGCAACCTCTTCTGTCCTCCCCTCCTCAGCCTCCAGAAACACATCATCCTCCTCATCCAGCATCACCACCTCCTCACAGCCATCCTCCTGCTGAGGCCCGGAGACACTCTCCCCGAACCCACTCCTATCTCTGGATGAACCAGGAGAAGGCTGGGACGAAGAGAGGCCAACCGGCTCCTCAGCATTAGACTCAGCCACACTCTCCCTTGAGCTCTTCATCCTCAACCTCTTCAGCTTCCCCGGCCTAGGATTCTTCTTCCGTTTCACTTCTGACCTCACCTTGGGAGTGGGTAGAGCAGGAACTTCTCCTTTCCACTTAGTTCGCTCCTCATACTCCCAGTCTGCTGAGAGCCTGGTCAACCGCTCAACCCTCATCCTTCTCACCTTCAACTCCTCCTCACACTTTCTCAAAACCTCAGACTCCTCCTCCAGGGACTGGAGTACTGCAGCCTTCAACCTCTTCTCTGTACTTTCCACAGCTGGAGCCTTCTTGTCCATGATACTCCTGTAGCACAGGCGCATAGCATCGTACAATCCTCCATAAAACCTCTGGAACCCTACATCCTTCTCCATCCTTGTAAAGAACTTGTACAGATCCCAGGGGTTCATCCCGGCCCACTCCAACAGAGACCATCCCTGGCATCTTCCTATCAGCGTACACTTCTCCCCGATCTCTTTGCTCTTGACCTTATCCATGTTCAACACCAACAACGGGATTTTCAGATCCTTCGGCCTCTCCAAACCTCTGAAACTCTCCACTGGTTCCAACCAAGCTTGCTTCTCCAACTCCTCAGGCTCCAGTCCAAACCTGGCATATTCCTTCTCCTCTCTCCCAGGGGTCTCCAACCTCCTTCCCTTGGACCATGTGTATCCAGCCTGGGCTAAAACAGCCATCTGGACTAAAAACCACTCCCTCGCCTCCAGTAGATACCGACATCCTCCAGAAGTAGGAGCGGGCCACTTCCCTAGAATTTGAATCCATAATCGGACCAGAGGAGGAGAAAACTCACACAGTTTCTCCCTCTCATTCCTGTACCTCAGAGAAAGAATCATCTCCTCCCTCGTCTCAGCTTCCTCTTCTGCCTTCTGATGATACTCCACCCCTTCCAGTGACACCATCAGGAACTCCAGGAACCAGTCTGCCGCCTCCTTCTGACTGCACTTCAAGTACCTACACAATACATCCGGGTCCGGGAAGACATCTCTTAACAGCAATCCCGCCAGGATATTATAGGTCATGAACCCGAACTGGATATCCCCCAACGCGTAACACCTCAGGGACTCTGGAATCAACTGCCACCTCTCTCCCCACCAGTCATCTCCCGTAGAAACATTCTTATTCAGGAGAGTTCCAATAACCTGCACTCCCATCGCTGTCATGTTTCTTGACTGGAACTTATACCCGGCTAGAACGGCTAGAGATGTAAGATCAATAAACCCTCTCTCTAACCTCACCTCCTCACCAGAGATCAAGGAATAAAACTCCTCCACTCCCCGAATATCTCTCCGGATCGCAAGACCGGCAGATACAGGGAGATCACGGAGTAAACCAAGTAACTCCGGCTGAACCGTCATCCTCTCCAACACGTACTCCTTCCTCTTGTTTCTCCTCAGATCCAGTGAAATCAGGCAAGTCCATGATACTCCATTCCCGAACATGATCTTGCCAGGAATCTGCTTGAAAGTATCCTTAGAGGCATCTGTCATCAGCTCTGGATCGCACTTCCTCTTCAGAACCGCATTCTTGGGATCAATTGTAGCTTTCTCGGCCATCCTAAGAGTGTCGAAGTATGTCGCCTTTACATCTTCCACATCAAAGGACACAATCCGGGTTCCAAACATCCGCTGATCCGCGTCCTGCATCCTCTCAATCCATTCCTTCACCTCTAAGATCTCAGATGTTGAAGACACTCCACAGACTAATTCTCTCACCTCAATCCTATCCAACATCTTCAGATCCAATCCCCTGATCCTCTGATACTTCTCCAGCTTCTCTAGCTTGGGGTACTTCCACGCGTCAATCCTCTTGGTATCCTCCACCAGGAAATCCAGGAGAGGGGCGTGTAGAGGCAAAAACTCATCCAGGGTCAACTTGCTAGGCCAGTCCAACCCAGAGTGAGACACTCTCCTGAGATTCAAGGACATATACCTCTCATCACCTCCTGTATTGATCCTGTGAGTCTTTCCCGCCAGCTCTCCTACCATGCCAATCTTGTTGGCGATCCTGGTCTCTCCCCAAACCTTGGGAAACTGGAGATATCCTAGAGAATAATGTATCCCACTGTAAGCAGGTCATGGGATGAGAACTATTCACTCCCATCTTCTCCATGGTTTCTCGGAGAACCCTGATCCTTCTCTCAACTCTTCCCCTCTCAGAGTGCGCCTTAGCATTGGAAACAATGATCTTCATCCCTAGGTTGTCTTGTACCATCGCATCCAGGTCCCTCACGGAGAACTTCGCGTACTGCAGGGCCTTGAGCTGGGTTCCGTTGTCCACATATACAAAACCAGGCACTCCATACTGATTTGAATGTCGTTCTAGAGCTGCACATACATCTTGAGTTTCAATCCCTTCCAAGGCCATTATGTTAGTAGCTCCAGTCAACAGACATACTATTACTAACGCATAGATCTTGATAACCGCTCTGGACCTTTTGTAAGTTTGACCTTTAAATCCGTAGCAAATATCCATCATACAAGAGTGAAAACATGGAGCTAGGACTGTACTTGCTTCAGGATGACTAGCTAGCCTCAGTTCCAGGGTTTTCTTCTCTATCAATCTGCACTTTACACAATCTGCAATTACTCTCTTGACCAGCCATCTCAAACCTTTCACCACTCTCATCTTCCTGTGTATCTCCTTGACTGCGGTTTCCAGAGAAGCATGAACACTGGTTTTCATGTGAACATACATCAGATAAGAATACAATACTGGAGAATCCGGGAGCACCACAGGAATTCTTCCCACTATAACATGCTTGTCCAAGAAACCCACTTGATCTAAGTCTTGATTCCTGATCTGGTACTCAGGAGAAAGCCTTCCTTCATCATACACTCTACCTTCATCTATTATGAATTTCTGCATCTCTGTTTCAATGTCCTCTTCACCCTCTCAGATTCCCAGGAGAAGAAATACTGCTCTGCTTTCTCAGTCTCATTCCTAGGATCCCATCTATGGTCTCCCAGCACACAAATCCTGCACTTTTCATCTTGAATCAAATGTTTACTGTGGGAATAGCTAGTTTTCCATCCTTGCATATACCCTGTTATCCTCAGAGCTTTCATCCTACCATGAAATACAGGATCTACAAGTAGCTCTGCTACACCCCTCCCCGCCCTGGCCGCCAGGGCTGCAAAACCAAGAGGTGGTTCATCAACATCCTGCAGCTCTTCCTGTGCATCTTCCGTATTTGCAGAGAATTCCTTCAAAAACGATTCTGGGAAACATTCTTGTTGAACATTATCCGCTGTCTTCTTGTCTAGCTTGAGTTTCTTGTATGAAGTTATAGGCATCTCCTTCTTGTCCTTCCTCATCCAAGGCAATCCTTCAATCCAGTATGATCCTTTGGAAACTGTCTCTATCCCTATATCATGTTCCTTTGTCAGCATATCTGCCAGGTTCTGAGAGCCATCTACATGGAATGAAACCTCTACCGTTGTTCCAGTAGTCCATTCTAATAACCGTAGGATCGTCATGACTATTATACACAAACAGCCTCAATTTGATGGTTTCACTACTGCACCAGCTCAGGGCAATTGTTGAATCAGTTAAGTAAATTACCTCTCCTACCTCCGATCCCAGGGAAGATTTAACCATGAATGCCAGTTCTGCGCACAGTAATATCGCTGATAATTCATTCCTGGGGATGGTCTCCTTCATCAGTTTTGATTTAGCGGCTAGGAGAGAGCACGACCAAATGCCTGGGCTGGTTTCCTTCCCAGCATACACAGCCGCACCCCCTGCAAACTCCGCTGCATCTGCTAAACAATTCAGTCGAATTCTGGACTTTGCATCTCTTTCACTTGGTAAACAGAACCTCGGTATCCTTATCTCAGGTAGGTTGACATAACTCTTGAGAATTTCTCTCCATTTCTCTTGATCTTCAACCGGGAGAACCTCATCCCACTCTTTACCTTTCAATGAACTTGTCTGCAGTTTCATTTGGAGTTTTATTGGTTCAAAAAAACCACATGGATCAAATAATTCCGAAATCTTTCCGACTATCAGGCTCCTGGTTAGTTTGACTCCGCTCAATAGTTTCTCTGCATCTAATCTAGTCTTGATCGGTTCTGGGTTCGGTTTACGTTCTCCTCTAAGTTTCTTGTTCAGGTTCAGTTCTCCGATCCCTGGCGACAATTCATCCTTCTCCGGGTCCCACTTGTACCCTAGTAACTTCATGGTTTCTCCATCCGTACTGGCCTTTTCTGATGGTTTTTCTCCGCTCCTTACAAAAAATTTCAAAGAAAACCCTCCTCTCTTCAGAACTTCTTGCACCGCTTCTATCTGTTCTTCTCTTCCCTGTCTTGAACTCTCTCCAGATAGTATATCATCCACATATCTATCCTCTCTCAAGCTTTTGTAGGCTCCTGGATATCTCTCTGCTAACATTTCCGTCAGTTTATCCAGCGCGAAACCTGCTTGGCCTCCAGTACTGACTATACCATACCACGCTCGGACCATGACCCAGATCTCCGGTTCCTTATCCTTATCCAATTCTTCTCCGTACAAGAACAAGGAGAATGGTAGAGATGGATCATCCATGTACAGTTGATTGTACAGCTTGCTGATATCTGAGCTCCAGATAAACTCTGTACATCTACATCTTACCATTATGTTGAAAATTAGACCAATCCTGTTCTCCCCTTTTGCCAGTATCTCGTTCATCCTGGTCATGGAGGGGTCGACCACCATCCTCACCGGCTTCGTCACTGAGTCCATTTTCATTACCAGTCTCCACGGATTGAAGTGTTTAAACTCAGCATTCAGTATTAACTTTTTTCTGTCCTCGCACATATCATCCAGCTTGACCATAAATCCTTTCTCCACCAGATCCTTGTGTACGTTCCTCATTCCATCCTTGACAATCTCTGATTTCTTACACTGGGTTTTGTAGACTTTCAACGCTTGACTGTAGTTACTCGGGTTGCTGTGGACTGCTGTCAGGAATTCAACCGGATTCTTCAAGAACGGATAATTCACTGTAACTCTCCTGTTGATCACATCAATCTTGACACTCTCCTCAATAAGTTGTTGCTCTCTCGCTTCTCTCAGAGAAATTGCAGTACGCTTACTAGAGGTTTTGCAGTTTAGACATTTTGAACATTCTGCACATCTAAAACCTCCACCGTCTTCAGAGTCTTCATCATCCATTGCATTCCTAAACTTTGCCATTGGAACCTTTGCCTTGAATACTCCGTAATTTTCCTCAGAGCTGCTCTTATCCAGGGCTGTGTTGAGAACACGATCCGGAGAATTACACTCCACCGTGTTTACAACCACACTCCCTGGTTGCACATCTTGATCTACTCCATCCTCACCCAGGGCTGTATTGGACTCACGTACTGGAGAACTACACTCCCCCACGGATCCACTTACACTCCCTAGGTTTATCTGCTCCTTGATGACCTGCTGAAATGACTTCCAGGTTTCCTGCTCCATATGCACCCAACACACCTTTCCTTGATGTTTAAGGATTGAGTTCAACCTCTGGTGATCATCTAGGCTGGATTCAAAGTCCTCTTCCACTTCTCCGCTACAATCAACGATATCTTCCTCATTTATAGGATGTGGATTAATTGTCAGACCCAATTTCTCATTTGTTGTTATGGCATAGCAATGCTGCTCTACCTCATCATTCATATCTTCAAGTATCCTCTCTCTTATCAGAAACACAGCATTTGACATCTCCGAATACTTCTCATCATTTCCTCTGGTGAAGGATCTATGTGGTCCTGCAAAAATTAATCTTGAACCGTAGACGTCTTTGAACGGACTTAGGTATACAGCTACTCCAGATGGTAGTACCTTTATCAGCACAGGATCCAGGTTAGTGTTCTTTATTCCCAGTAGTAGATGAACTTTAGAACCGCCCACCTTCTCTGGAAGAGCTACAACCTTCTCCTCGTCCTTGGCCTGGTCCAGATACTCTTGGCAAATCTCCGTTAGATCATAGGTTCCAAACCCTCCGGTGACGTCATCCATGCCTACACAGACTACTTCATGGTACTCTCCTCTTTCTCCAGGTCCTAAGTTGAATCTAAACGTACCATGGTTTGATCTAACCTTGCTCCCTCCTACCAGTGAGATTGGTGGGATTACTTGAAACCTTCTGTAAACCTTCCTTCTCTGCCAGCGACCCATCGATGATATGGATGTTTGCTCCCCTGTTAAAAAAACACTAGAGCCTCCGAGCTCCCAATCTTGATGGTTTGCATTAAGTAGCAGAACTGGCAAATATATCAAGGATGAGAGATAGCTCAATAAATTAGACTCAATCAATTGTTATCCTTAACATGATCAACAACATTCAGGGTTTATCAATTGATCTCAAGGCAGAGTTATTCTCCTCACTCACTCCATATATTTCTCCTATCTGGCAAACACACTAACGGTGAGGGAATAGCTCAATAAATTAAACTTCTTGACTAAATCCAGTGTTCGTCCCTTCAAGATATTGACCAAGAAGGTACTGACGGTGGATCATAAATCTCAGGTAAACTGCTTTCATCCAATCATCCAATCATGAACATTTCATTAACATTCAATTTCATAACTTATACTTTGTTCACTCGGTCCTTCACTATATTTTTCCAATTTGGCCAATATACTGACAACGAGAAACAAATCCAGTTTATAAACTCAACTAAACATCCCACCTCAATTTACTAGATACAGATCTAATAAATGATAAGAGTTAGGATTACTAAAGGATCTCAGTTTAATAAAGCTTCCTTGTAAGCTTATTCCTACGTCAGTCCGTATATTTTCCAATTCAGGCAATATAGCGGCAACGAGAAATTTTGCTCAATCTCAATTAGTTAAACGGTACCCTACAAGGTTGCGATTGAATGTTTCGCTACTTAGCGATTTTCCTAAAGACCTAATGAAAGTACCGTGAGGTATTTCTCAAGATAGGATTGTAAGCCTTCCTCTTCTGACCGCTCTTCATAATAAAGGATAATAATATGGTTCCGAACGTTTATTTCTCCGAGACTTCAATCTAAATAATTTTAATAAACCCACAGAAAAAGCATCGAGTGATAAGATCATACAAATACAACAAATAAATCAACTCAGGCATTAAAAAACTGTGGAATGGAACCAATAAACTACATTTATAAAATATCAAACCATAATCGAACATAAACAAACGATATTCATATATATATATAAAGAATAATTACCGCAGTGATCCTAGAATTTTTAGCACGGTTTAATAATAGACGAACTTGCATGAAAAACAAATATATACTACGGTAGAAACTGTCCGCTTCCACGCGAGAAACTTGCGCATGCGTAGTCGGTCTGGAAACAGCTTCTAAAACTAGTTTTTTCACAATACGTTCTGTACAGATTCGCAGGGAGAACTCAGGAATTCACAGGGGCACCACATAGACTTTATACACGGAGCATGGCTCGTGTAACAGTAATTAAGAAATAAAACACAAATATATTCATTAGAATTTGGAGTTGGAACTCTTTAGGACTTTTATGGTATGAGAAACCAAAAATACATAAATTTATATGATATAAAAATCAGTACACGTTTCATGTTTTATGACGCCTTTTAATAGTTAAAACCCCTTAAACACAAATTTTCTAATCTCTATTTATTTTTGTACCTGATGGTGTGACCATTTGCTTTTTTTAACTTGAATTATTCTGCCCGACAGGATTCCTAGATTAGAAAATCAGAGTTTGTCACAATTATTCCTTTATTTCTCTTGTGAATTATTTATTTATGTCAATCATTAAATGACGGATCACTTAAGATATGGTAATACTGCGCTTTAAACATTTTCAAACTCACAGTTTATTTATTTCAGTTCTGAGGATGAAAAAGATGGACGATCATCTCCTGAATTTTTACCCCAGGTTTATATTTTGACAAATCGCAAATTAGATTTTTTTAATAAATTCTCAATCAACAAAAATTTTATACATAGAAATAATCATTTACTGTCGAACACTTAAATTCTCTCCTGCACTCAACAGTTTAACATTCCAAAAGGCCGACTACCTTGATTTTATAATTTTTTTTTAAATCATCACATTGAACTAGACAGAAGGTGCAGGTCATATTTAAGCAATATTACACGTACGACTTTGTGACCGATCGTAACTCCTCCTTGTTAAGATAATACATACTGAAAATTAAAAACATAACTCGCGGCAGCATAATAAAATTAATCTAACAGTTTCTATTGCGATTAATTAAGAAATATTTAAATCGTGTTTTTTACTTTTCTTTTTTTCTTTCTTTTAATAATATGTATTTTAGATTATCAACCAATCTGCTCACATACAGCTGAATATTATTGAGCAGATTGAACAAATGTCGTCTTTCTTTCGTGGACCTTCAATAACTGAATTCATTACATTTGCCCGGTAAATTCATTTCTTCTCTTTCTTCTATTTCTATTTTTATACTTTTAAATTTGGATAAATGTGTGGAATGAAAGTGATTGTTTATTGACAAAGAACAATTTTTTAAATGTCGCATTATAAGTTAATTTATGATTAAGTGCCTCGGATATTTTAGTTTTATTAAATCAAGTACACATTTTTAAAACCAAATCAGCGCCTTATATTATTAAGCTGTTTGATATTTAATCTGCATATTTCAGGGCTAAACATTTATCTTTACAACAAATAATTCAGTAAATTTTCATTCCGATAAACATCATGTAATTTTTTTGGCAGATAAAGATTTATGTTTAGGACTTAGATTATTATATGTTTAGGACGTAGATTAATACATATGTTTGTTTAGGACGTAGATTAATACATATGTTTAGGACGTAGATTAATATATATGTTTAGGACTTAGATAAAGATATATGTTTAGGACGTAGATTATTATATATGTTTAGGGCGTAGATTAATATATATGTTTAGGATTTAGATTATTATATATGTTTAGGACGTAAATTGATACATATGTTTAGGACGTAGATTAATATATATGTTTAGGACGTAGATTAATATATATGTTTAGGACGTAGATTAATATATATGTTTAGGACGTAGATAAAGATATATGTTTAGGACGTAGATTATTATATATGTTGTTTAGGACGTAGATTAATATATATGTTTAGGACGTAGATTAATATATATGTTTAGGACGTAGATGTTTATTTAAGCAGATGAATTTATATGTTAAGGCAGATGAAAATATATGTTTAGGTAGATAGATGAATATATATGTTTAGGTATATGTACATATATATTTAGGTAGATGAATATATATATTTATGCAGAAGAATATATATATTTATGTAGAAGAATATATTTGATTAGGCAGATAAATTTATATGTTAAGGCAGATGAATATATGTTTAGGCAGATGAATTTATATGTTAAGGCAGATGAATATATGTTTAGGTAGATGAATACATATATTTAGGAAAATGAATATTTGTTTAGGTATATATGTTTAGGCCGATAAATATATGTTTAGGTAGATGAATATATATGCTCAGGCAGATGAATATGTGTTTAGGCAGAATGCTTAGGCAGATGAATATATATGTTTAGGCAGATGAATATTTCTGAAAATCTACCGAACGATCAGGCCTTTACAATATTTGTTCCTTTAAACGAAGCTTTCAGGAAACTTTTTAATTCAGATTTCAGATTTTTTATTCAAATTTTAGACTTTTTATCCCAAATTCAGATTTTTACACAAATTTCAGATTTTTTATTCAAATTTAGATTTTTTATCCCAAATTCAGATTTTTTACACAAATTTGAGATTTTTTATTCAAAGTCCAGATTCTTAATCCCAATTTTGGTTTTTTAAATCCCAATTTCAGATTTTTTATCCCAATTTCAGATTTTTTATCCCAATTTTAGATTTTTTATCTCAATTCCAGATTTGCTATCCCAAATTTTAGGTTTTTATCTCAATTTCAGATTTTTATTCAAATTTCAGATTTTTTATCCCAATTTCAGATTTTGATCTCAAGTTCAGATTTTTTATTTAAATTTAAAATTTTTTGTTCAAATTTAAAATTTTTATTCAAATTTCATTATCAATATCAAAGACCTACGCAATTGTTTAAAATATATAAGACCTAATGCATCATTTGAAATATCAGAGCCCTAGCTGCGGCATTGTTTGAAATATCAAAGACCTACGGCATTGTTTAAAATATCAAAGATCACGGCGTTGGGTTGAAAAGATATAAGGATTATAAAATGTTTAAACGCAATCAGTGTATCTTTAGAACGGAAATAAATATTAATTCGTAGAATTGTTAAATGAAAAAACAAAATTAAGCTAAACAGGATTTATGTTCGGTTTAAAATTCTAATTTTGATTTCTAAAACTTGTTTACGAAATATAAATACATATCTTGGAATTGAAATATTGGTGGCAGGGATTGGACACCAATAGACTGGGGATTTAATCCCTTCAATGCTGAAGATTTTGTTAATGAGACCTTGTACAATCATATTGTACAAGGGTACATAGATCTACATAATATAGAAGGTAACTTTTTACATTTATATCTATACTTAAAAAGTTGTAATCTCTGTTTGTCTGTTTGATTGTTTGTCCGATCATAACTCATTTATCTTTGGTCCGATTTGCCTAAAATTTTTATTTGGGAACTCGGTAGAACCACGGGAATGTTCTTAGCTTGGTTTTGAGATTCTAGATTGAGGGGGTCGACTTTAATAGCGAAAATTTAGTTTACCGGTAAAATCGGTCAAGTGCGGGTAGACGGCGGGAGTAACTTTCAGTAACTTGGGCAGGGCTTGGTTCCCAAGCTAGTATATATATAAAGTAGTAATCTCAGTTTGTCTGTTTGTTTGTATGTCCGATCAAGACTCATGAACCTTTGGCCCGATTTGCCTAAAATTTTGATTTGGGAACTCGGTAGAACCACGGGAATGTTCTTAGTTTGGTTTAACAATTCTCTGTTTAGTGGGTTGACTATCATTGGGAAAACTAGAGGCAAAGCTGGGTTCCCAAGCTATAGTTGTATACAGGGTGTCCCAATAAACATAGGAATTCAGTGACAAATTCAATATCTTCTTTTAAATTTTTTTTTTGATATAGTATAGTGATACCTACTGAGAAAGCTGTAATCTGTAAGAGTTTCGTCTGCTATGTTCACATTTTGTTTGATTATGTTTTGACTGCATACGGTTGTACTTAGTAAAACAAGAAAATTGCAGTATACAGAGTAAAATTGTCCGTCTTCACTTTTCATCTTGTGGAGACATTATAGACACAACTTTACAGTCTTTTACCCTTTTCATAAAATAAACTCTAGCAGACATAATAATATTATGGCTCTTGAAATTTGGTATTGCAATGCTAATTCGTAACAAAGACGATATCGAATTCGTCAATGAATTCCCATGTTTTTTGGGACACCCTGTATATAAAATAATAATTAAGCTATTTTTCACACTATAAATTAAGCAGTGATCTGAAGAATCTGCAGTACCCTGACCGAATATATAGTTGGTTTTAGCGGAGAATGAGCACTGTGCAGTCTTAACAAGTGTAAACGCAGTATAAAGTTTGTTTTATCATGTTCAGTTGTACAGTGTAAAGTGTACTGCGCAAATTCCTGATCGCCCCAACTTTCCTGATATAATAACCTTGACGTTTAAAGAAATTGTTTTTGTCATTTAATAAGGGACATAGCAGATTGACAAAGGTACTGTTTAAACCATTATCTGAACAATAATGTCAAACAAATAGTTTTTTCCAAAGAGAATAGAATATATATTAGAGTGGATTTTACTAGAAAAAAGTGTAAAACGGCCATTTTGTTGTACTGTTTCCATACTGTAGATGTACTTCACATATTTGCGCTATATAACCTTTTGGGCCCTGGAACATAATTTGAAAGAAAAACTAAAATTAATATTAAAAGAAAACCAAATTATGAAATAGGCTGGTTTCATAATTGACCAATGATCATTTCAAATAGACTCTATGCTTTTCACTTTACAAACGATGATTTTCCGTTATAACTATAAATCAAATGATGTTTTTTTCACCTAATTCATTTTATAAAGTTTATTTAACAGCTTTTAAAAATTTGAAATTGAAATGGATAGTCTAGGGAACATACTGTATTAATGTAATCTACTGCATATAATTTGTGAACATTTACATGATTTGTACACTTTGAACTCCCTTTCAGGCTGAAAGGAACTGACAAAATTCCTACCGAGGGGTTGTCTATATTCCACTCTAATATATATTCTATTCTTTTCTTTATCTCACGCATTTTTTATCCGCCAACTTTTTAAAGTGTATCGTTGTTATAATGGGACTTTCCGCTATAATTAGCAAATCATAGAGATTACGCTTACAAACCCTTTAATGCAAGTATACCTAATTAATCCTTCAAGGTTGACGGAAATGGAGAAAGATGTTCTAAACTGATATAATTACGTATCTAAATATAGTTTTAGAGCAAAAGAATAAAATAATACGCAGATTTAATCAATTCTAGAGTTTGCTGTATTACCCCTATTGTTAAGGCAAATTTTACATATTTGGGATTGAAGAGGAAATACTATTTTTTGGGGGTTTCTTCAGAGTCAAGGATTCAAGAGGGAAAATATAATATTTTTAGGAGTCTATAGGGTGGGGAACTGTCCCTGGCCTATACGCACAAAAATATGATGAATGAAAAAGGTTTAACTCTTGATATGATTAGCTGTGCTTGGAGTCTCCTGAATTTTCGGGATATTGAAGAAAATTACAGAAACTATATTTCTAAAATGTTTGTGAAAAAATACTTTTATATAATATTTCTTTAACGATTGCTGACGTCTACCTTCCTTTATTATTGTCAAAAAATAAAAAAATAACATAAAAATGAAATATGATGATAAAAACATCTTATCAAGTTAAATAAGAGTTCCGACCAGGAACTCTTATTTAAATATGAGGTTTGATTCTAATTGCTTCTAATTATCAAAGGATTTTCAAGGCATTAAAAATTTCTTAATTCAGTGTTAAAAGACGAATTTTTTGACGTGCAGTTGTAAGAATCTTTTTGGCTTGCATTAGTGAAATCTTCAACCTTAAATTTCATAAAAACCGGTGTCTGGTTGGCAATTTAATTTTGCAAAAAAACTCGTCTTTTCTAAAGGCTGTTTAAATATCCAAAACTAATCCTATGCACATTGCACATAAAGGGGAGTGGAATGGTAAATATTGATTATCCTTGGGGGGGGGGGGGGGGGGCAGTCTTTTTGGATATTTTGAAATTCCAGGGGCAACGCCTGGAACTATGAGCAATAATTAAAACCTATATTCTATTTCTACTTCAACTTAGATATTTAATATTTTTAAAATTCTGAACAGAGAATGTCAGGAGTATAAAATAAGATTTTTTTCAAAATCAGTTTAAATGTTAAAAGCAGCAAATGTAAAGTTTAATATAGGTGCTTGAGGTTAAATTAGGAAAATATTGTATTTTCTTGAACTGTAAACCTTCAGTGAGCCTTTATGTACGTTTAAGCATCATTCGATGAAAAGGAATTGAGTTTTTGCCACAAATCCCAATTTTATAATACCTATATCTCAAGAACCAGATGATGCATACCTGTCATATTTCAAACTTACATTGTTTGATCCACCAGAATTCATAGTTTGAAATATCTACGGTCTACGACGTTTGGTTTTAAATAAATTGGGTTTTAAAAATCCGAGTTTGTGGCATAGACTCAATTCCTTTAAAACTCTTCAATCGTATTTTGAAATAATATTTTAGTATTTGATAAAACTAGTAGTTCAGCAATTAATCTAAATATTAATTTTTCAAGGGGATTTATTGTATAGTAAAAGAGATTGAATTATTATTATTATTATAAAAATTTATTCACACACAAAGATATAAATACATATATAAATGGTGTAGTTTAAATTTGTTTAAATACAACACGTAGTATAAACGAACCTTCATTTATCATGTTATTATAAAGATTTATTCACACACAAAGATATAAATACATATATAAATGGTGTAGTTTAAATTTGTTTAAATACATTTTTGAAAATACAGGTTTCCAAAAGAAAAGAGAAAAATATGCAAAATTATGCACAAATAGTCAACATTGATCATTACTCATTACTCACTACATAACATATTCATCATTTCAGTTATTACGTAATCATCGAATCCTTCAACAGATAAATTATTCATTCTTGTATTTAAAAGTTCTTGTAAAACCGGAACTTTCCATGCATGGTCCAATGGGACATCAAAATATTTCATTTGTTTCTTAACTCATTTAGTGACATAAACCTTTCTTGTAAATATTGTAGAAGATAATGTCGTTTTTCTAGCATAAAAAGTAGTAAGTTCTGACAATCTCCTCCATTGTTTCTAAAAGAATTAATCCGCATTTGTCACTTTTATAAAGAAACTACATTGGTTCGAAATCATACATTGTACGTTTAAGAGTACCATTAAAAATCTGATATTTCACTCTAGAAATGAAGAGTTAAATTTGGTGATGATATTGGACCAAGCCTTTGTAGAGTAAATATAGTGTTAGTTCCACATTTTATTGAAAATATATTTCGGTCTGGGTTGACCCTCATCAGTTCTAACGAAATAATAACCATCAAAATCGATAACAAAAAATGTTAAAAAACCTCAAGAAAATAAACAAACAAAATCATTATTTTATTTTTTAAATTAATTTATTTTCATCTTTTTTTAAAATTTGAAATATTTATCTAGACATCAAATTGAGAAAGACGTACATAAACATGAATTCTGATATTTAAATTTCTGTTTGACAGAAACAAGGCTTGTATATCAGGGTGCAATTTTGAGACTTTAAAATGGTTAAGCCGTTTATAAAAAAAATGTTAATCACTCTGTTTTTTTTTGGATACCTGGAGCACCTAGAACATATAACTTTTAAATCCGATTGGAGTTGAAAAGACAGCGATGATATTTAGAGGTTAATGCAGGAAACTAAAAATCCAATGATCAAGAATAAGAGCGTTTTATTGTTACATGATCTGATCCAGTGTAAGGATTTACTTGTCTAATGTCAATGCACCGCATAAACATTTACTCTCGTACCAGACCGTCTAGGGTATACCCAGCGTGTAGTCGACTGTCGGCCACATATGTGATCAAAATCAATAAACTTCAATTAAATCGGTAAACTCTATTTTCAATTTCCAAGATGTTCTTTATTGTCCACATTCTTAAATCTGTTCAAATTTCTTCAGTTTGAATTATGGAACAACTAGACAGGGAGCAGGGTTGACGCATGTACCGGCTTCTGAAAAGCCGGTACATGTCGTTAATAACGTGCTCAATGCCGGAACCTTTTTGTACAGGATGCACAGTGGGCTATCTCAATTTTTTTTCACGCACCTCTGACCCTTTAGTAAAAGTAAATTCAACCTAATGTCTGACCGCGTCAACCTTGTTGCACCGGCTAGTCCTATTGAGTGTCTGCCTTATTTACCCAATGTCCGAGCGATACAGTTCAAACTGGGACCAGAAAGGTTGACCCTACTCGGAAATTCAAATGTACTGCCCTTGTTTTGCAAATTAGAAACTATAGTTTGTTGCAACGTCCTTACTATATGATAAAGCTAAAAAAACAGAATAAAAATAAGATGAAAATTTTCGATTTTGTAAAATTATTATTAAAAACCTTTATTAACTAGAGTTATAGTATATATGTACTTGGTTGCTCGAGTGTCCCAACAAATATTGAATTAGGAATCCTCATATGATTTACAATGACCTATCTAAGGTTATTTTTACTTATAAAAACTAAAAATTCAAAATAATTTATCTTTTTTGTATCATTAAAAATAGAAAGTTTCCTCTATCTTTATTTATATAAATTAAAAACTGATATGTCTCACAAGGCTTTATAATAAATTAGCTTATGCCCATTTATATATATTATATATGTATGTTTAAATGGGCATATATTGTATATATATAAATATATTGGTTTGCTACAGCTGGACAAACGGCTGGACCAAATCAACTTAGACTTTTCGACGGGACCCATGCAGGCCACCCTGGGAGGGACAAAGGCTGAACAAATTTGATCTTTTTTAAACCTTGGCAACTCTGGGTGTTCCAACTAAAAAATTGTATTTCGAATTTCCTGCAAGCTAAACCTCTAAAAAAGAAAAAGAAAATCTATCATAGTTTTTTATTGATATAAGTACTCTGTCTAATGTTCATCTCATCACATGCTAAAATTGATCAAATACAAGATATACTCTGGGAAGTTGTGTCATCTTGCTCTTTAGTCTTCACTTACACAAGTCTGAAACCCCAGTCGTCGGCCACATAGTTAACTGTATGATGGCCGGAATCGTCCAGGTAGGAGTAGGATCCTCGGACTATTCCGTTGGACGATACTTCATGTTTGGCGGAGTTTACATTTCTATATCCATACTCAGAGTTTCCAAACTCGTCCTTTAAACAGTTCAATCAATTTACATATTTTGTTAAACTTAAATTTCCCGCCATTTTCTCTCAGACATTTTTACAGCAGAATCCTTAAAAGTTTGCAAAAATTGCATTAATATGCTGAAAAATGACTAATTAGGAAAAGATAAAATAGAATTTACTCGGATTTAGAAATAAATTGGTTTAAAGAGTATTTAAACAAAAATCAAATCCCCAACTTTTTTACAGTTATGCGTCGTCAACAAATGTTTTTTTGGTAAGTATACAATTTAGCTTTTACAGTTTAATAAATGGTTGTATTAATCCTTAAACTGATATTAAATGTTAATCTTTAATATATAATAATATCTAATAATTTTTTATATAAAATTGAATGGTTCCTGGGCATGAAATTGAACAGATTCTGCTCCATCTGTCACCTAAACGATTATAAAATATAGAAATTGCGAAAAATATTAAATTCTTTTTAATTAAAACAGAGTCACTTAATTTCTAAGAATTAAAAACAATAGGTTTTTAGCTGGGTTACATTGAAAAATCTTAAGAAATTTAAATTTTAAAGTTATCCATCAAATAAATAGGTATAGAGATCTAAAAGATACTGAGGGGTTAAACTGAGGGATAATAAGAATGAATATTATAATAATATATTAATATCAACTCCATGCGTTTGTAAGATCTGTGCCAGAAGGAGTCCATCTAGAGCATTTTAAGGTGGCACAGTCAGGAGCATTGGAGCATTGGTATAGTTTTTTTGTTAATCTTAATCTTATTTTAATTTTTGTATCTTGGAAAGTTTTTAAAATTCAACCAAGCATAGTTGTGTATACAGAATTTTGAACAGCCAATCAGAAGCTGAGAAATTTGAAATTTTGAGCGCCATTTAATGAGAGAACTCTCCATGAACTCTCATTGGTTGAAATCCCGTAAAGATATCCAAAAAGGGGAAAAGAGCGGATTAAGTAGAAATCAAGAGTCCACAGTGGATATTCAGATTAAGTGGTTGACATGTGTAAGGTTTTATTGTAAAATACCTCAACATTCAAGGGTTCTTCATAGTGAACATGTTCTTGATGATCTAGGTGCAAAGGTTCTTCCAGGTGTTGTACACTGTGGTGGAGTTCAACATGCTCAGGAACCGCGGGCGCGGAAACTGGAGCAGGGAGAGCAGGAACAGATTGAAATATTGGAGCAGGTTCATACTTTGGAGCCAATTGTGGAGTGAAGTGTTGTTGAGCATTTACTATAGTGTTGCTATGTTGGGTTAGGGTTGGATGCTCCAGGTTTGAATAGGATAGGGTTGGATGGTCTAGGTTTGGTTGGATGCTTGAATAAACCTGAATGATAATTAATATCAATCCTGACATTTAAAAATAACTTTTATTGTCCTTCTAAATTTTTGTGCGTATTTTCCTGAATCCGTAAAATCCAAAAATTTTGACTGATTTAAAAAATTTTTATTTTTGAATTTTTAAATTTCTAAAATTGGGCAAAATAAACCTGAGTGTTATTCAACACATTCAGGCTTATTCCAAAATCATATTAAAAAAATACCTTCAAACTGTAGAAGTATATTTCTAGTATGAATGTCGTGTACCTGGGGGTTGGTTTGGTATGGATGATATCCGTACCCAAGCAGGCTATTTGAGCCCAAGCCATATCCATAGCTAGGATATCCTTACAAAACAAAACAAAAAACAATAATATTATTTCTTTGTTTTACTTTATTGAATTCTTTTAGAAAATAATTACATGGAATATACATTATACATGGTGCCTTAAACAAAACCAGTAGTTGATGCCATTGCCTTGATTTCAAAGTGATTTTTTAAAGTGTTCGCGAAAAATGAAATCTTACTTCCATAGAAAATTGTTAAAAACGACTAATACCGAAGAAGCTAGTGTCCATACAAATTCAGAAAGATGCAACATTCAACTCGGATCGTAAACAAATCGATTTGATTCCGAACGAATCATCCAGATATTACAAACAATAGTCATCGATTATTGTTCGACGCATTTGTAAATAGTTGATATTTCATAATATTTGGTATTTTCATGATCTCAGAGTTACTTTTGAAAACATTTATTCCTGTTTCGATGATTTTTGATAATGAAGATGACATTTTATATTTTCCAAGAATGTTTAAAAATCCAGCGCCAACTAAAATTATTTAAAAAACAAAATCAAAAATATTATGAAATATTAACTATATACGAATGCGTCGAAAAATAATCGATGACTATTATTTGTAATATCTAAATGATTTGTTTGGAATTAAATTTATTTGTTTACGATCCGAGTTTGTATGGACACTGCGTTCTTCGGTGTGAGTCGCTTTTAACATTTTTCACTTTTCATTTTTCGCGAACACTCCCTTTAAATTTTTAAAATTTTTAAATCTCGCAACTATTATTTAGAAAATTGTTTGCTTTTTATAATCCTGTAAAATCCTTTGATACAGTTTTAATCAATATAAGAGCTTCTGTTTTCCAACAATTATTTTTTAAACATTAAACATCAACTTCATATTTTAAATGCAATGGGGCAATAAAACGTATACAAATTTATATTTACAATACTTCAATTAAAAAAATTATTTTCTAGGAACATCAAATGAGTTATTAATTAAAATCGAATAGAGCACTATAAGTCAATATTCTTAATGTAAAAAAGCGGATAGTAGTTTAGAATAAAAAACTCATCAAAGGATTTTCAAAACTTCAAATGTAAAAATAGTTTATTAAGATGTTCAAAATACGAAATTCAATTAATAGTTGATGCTTCAGCATCAATTACTGTTTTATACACACTGAATATTTGAAATTTTATGTTTGCAATTAAGAAATAGCTTGTATTTTTTTAGTTTTATCTTCTAAATCCCGACAAATAAATAAAATGTTTAATGCTTTTAAAAAAAGAAAATTCTATATATTATATTTTAAATAATCTTATTCTAGGAAGCATTTGTTCAGAAATTGTGAAATTTATTAAAATATCAAATAAAAGTGTTTAACCCTATTCAGGCTGACGTCTGGTTTACAAAAACTAGTCTGGGAGGGGAGGGGGGATCCCAGGTACCCCCCTCTGGGAGGGGAGATCCCAGGGACCCCCCTCTCTTACAAATCTATATTATTTGATACACTATTGGAAAGCGCTTTGGCTCTACTTTAATAAACTGAAATTTTTTTTTGCAAATTAAAAATTTTTCGGTTAAGGTAAAATAAGCCATTCAGGCAGTATGCCTGGGAACTCAGCCAGTTGGTATAAAAGCCCCGCTTTGAGCCTAAAGTTAGGGGCATGCGTTAAAAAATTCAAAAAAGTAGAAGAGCCTCAGATGGTTATTAAATCTCTAACAAATATTTTAATTTGTTTATTTACCTGTAACATATCCTTGAGATACACCCACCAACAAACTCAACACTATCTAAAGTAAACAATTGAGAAAGTTTTTATTATTTTTGAGTTTGACTCTTTAGATGTTTTGGTGAGGTGGATTTTATGATTTATAAAAACTATTCGAGACTTAAAGTCGACGATTTTGTTCTGTGAATCTTGTCACACTGAACCACATGTTCTTATGGATATTCGAAGATGTAAAGTGCAAAATACTTTCCATTTTTTAGTTCGAATTTTGAAAAAATTTTGATGAAAAACAATACAGCATTCAGTACTAATAATGAAAATCAATAAATTTTAATGAAAAAATTCCAAATCAAATTTCATTTGGCACTAACTTAATTCTTTAAAACTTGAATAGGGTGGTTTGTGCACACATAACTAGCTAGTAAAGAGACTGTCGTCGTAATTTAAACTATGTACCGTGGTAAATTGGACATGCCATGGCCCATTACTATCAATAGAAGGACACTTGAAATTGTAAGTTTAAAGAACTCTATAACGAAGGAAAAAAAACAATTTGAATTAATTGATCAAGCTCTTTAATTGACAGAATCTGAACAAAGGAAAAAGATGAAAGAGTTTGGGTTAAATTTTCTAAATTCAATAATCCTTTAAAGAAAAAAGAAGATGTAGAAATCTAAATAAATGAATCATTTATCTATGAAGATTTGATCCATATAACTTTATATTTGGGTTATTTTAGAGAGCTCAATTTTTCTATGTTGTCTACCCCAACTCCCCCCTTGCTTATCAAAAAAAGGAGGGGGGGGGGCCGGGGAGTGACATATATTACAGCCACAATGTGACGTGATAAAGTACTTACGATGCGCATGGTTCCGGATGATGCCGCGTCGAGATGCTAAACTAGAGTAAACAAATTCACGCGGATCTTCATTTTAGTATTAAACCATAGTGTACGCACTACGCACGGGCCCTGGAACTACCAGCTTGGAAATTATCGCAGCTCAATCTTACATTTTTAACTCCTGATGCCATTAAGGACGCCTAATCCTAAATTCAAACTTATAAATCCAAAATCCCTACTTATAATTACTAAATCCCAACTCATAAATCCTAAATCCTTAGTCGTAAATTCGAAATCCCAAATCAAAAATCCTAAATCCCAACAAATAAATCCTAAATCCCAACTCCTAAATCATTCCAAGTTATAAATTCTAAATCCCAACTCATAAATCCGAAATCCCAACTCCGAAAATCAAACAATACTTATCAACTCAAAAATCGTTAATCTTATTAGCTCAAATTTCTAAAATCGAATTCGCAAACTCAAACATTCTAAATTCCCATCAATAATTCCTCTACATCCTAACTTATACATTATAAATTCTCATTCGCCATCTCATAAATCAAATCCTAAATCCTAAATCATAAATCATAAATCCCAAATCCCATAATTCATAAATCCGGAATCTCAACTCACAACCCCTAAATCCCAACGCATATGTATATATAACAATGTGCTTGATATTAAACAAAAGTTCTGTATATTTAAGAAACTATCTATTTCTTAATTTAAAGCTTTCAAACTGACCGGCCTCGTAAGTGTAAGTACGTCTTAAAGTACTTTTTATGTTAAATTTATTTCAAATTCTTTTAGTGCTTAATGATTTTTTAAAATCTAACAGCCGGGTCAATAAAGTTGGTTCAAATAAAGATTCAAGGTGATGAGTAAGGAAAATAATGTTTCCATCAGGGATAAAAAATAATGCTCTTCTGATGTCATAATGTCCCAGAAGGAATAAATAATCAGTTTTGTGTAAACACAACAAGTCCATGGATCTTCTGCTTTAGGTTAGAGTTGAAAAGGTGAAGAGCTATTATTCAAATGTCATGTACGTTATCCTAGCCAGGGGTACTGGAAAGAAGAAGCCGTTGCCATACCAGGGCCAACTATAATTCCCCTTTTTAAGAAATCTAAATTTTTGTAGATTTATTTGTTTTATCTGTTTCTCGGATTCTGACCTTTAACTCGAATGGAGGGAAAATATTCTGAAAATTGTTTCTTTATAACCTGTGTACGCTTGAGATACGCAGAGTTACGCAGTGATACGTAGATTATTTATTTATACGATTTACGCATGTACACTTAAATGTCAAAAAAATGCAATGCTTTTGTATTGCCGTGAAAATAGTTTTTATTACACCATGATTCAGATTCATTCTATTATTTTACAGAAAAGAACACGGTTGAAGAATTAAATATTATCATATTTTTAGAATGAAGGGGGATAAGAGGGAGGGGGGGGGGGTAAAATTAAGTTAACATGAAGATAGAAGGGGGCGGGGAAGGTTGTCTTATGTCTATTGTCAATGCGTCCATAACCTAAGTTGGTTTGGTTGCATAACTATAAAAAACAGTTAGAACTTTAGAAAAGTATAAAAAAAATAGCTTTAACGAGCCATCAATTTTCAAGACTGCTTCGACTTAAAGACGCATTGGCCTTTGATTTTACATCAATACCTCACTTTACCTATTTTGTAGACCTAACCAATGTACATTTTAAAATTTCGTTTAGCTTTAGTTTTTAAGAAGAATTTGGTAAAGGAGTTTTTGCCACAAACTCTGATTTTCTAATCTCTTTATCTTTGTAACTCAATGTCGTATACCTTAGATATTTCAAACTTTTAATACTTATAGATAAAATAGTCTAAGTTTGAAATATCAAACCACCATCAGGTTTCAAAGTTATTGGGGATCAGAAGATTTAAGTTTGTGGCAAAAACTCAATTCCTTTCTCATTTATTTTTACGTGTGAGCTTACAACCTTTGGATCACTCTGTCCTCACTATTCATTAATTCCGACCCCCTGAACTATTGAAGAAAAAACATTAAATTGAGGAAAATGAGTCTAAAGATCAAATGTTACTGGCATGTGATCCAAAGGTTTGGATCAGTAGATGCATATTCAAATTACAGTATAGCTATATATATATATATATATATATATATATATATATATATATATATATATATATATATATATATATATATATATATATATACATATACATATACATATCTTTAACATGTATATTGTATAATGTACAACTAAGACTCTCTTTTACTTCCTTTATTTCAATTTTTTGTTCTGTGGATCATTTTTTAAATTTAAATTTGAAATGATCCAGAAAATTAATCAAAAGATGCAGTTTATTTAAATTTCTATTTGTTTAGATGGCACAGAGTTGGAAACCTTGGGCGGTGAAATTATTAAAGTATCAGTTAACCCTGAATCCACATTTGTAAACAGGTAAACATTATCTTTTCCTTTTTTCATCAGAGATTTTATCGCGTCGGATTTAGAAGCACTAATGGTTTAAAGGTTGCACGAAAATATTAAACGAGCAAAAATTTTCAATCAACCCGTCGTTAACGACAGTTAACGATGACCCTTCGTTAACGATCTTTAACATAGTTGTCAATAATTATTTTTCCAAAAAAAATCGTTTTTCCAAAGGATATCGTTCAAAAAACGTATAAAAAACGTTCGCAATTCGTTTTCATAAAAGCGATCGTTTTCATAAACGATCGTTATTCGTTTTCTAAAAGTTCAAAACGAGTGGGTCGTTTTTAAAAACGATCGATTTTTTTCCAAAAACGAAACGATCGTTTTTGAAACGATTGAAAAACGAAACAAAAAACGATCGTTTTCAAAAACGATTAACAACCCTAGGTACACGCCATAATCATGATCAAGGTAAGTATATGGAATATATATATTTTTCTTGTTTCTTTGTATCCAATAAACGTCATGATATGGAAATTCTTTGAAAAAGCAAAAATGCAATTTTCAAAAAAAGGTACATATCATGATTATGCTCAAAGTAAAGTACACTGAACAAATGTTTGGCTGGTTTGTTTGTGTCCAATAAACGTCAAAACGGTTAAACCAATTGATTATTTTTTTTACTATCTCATTCTTACATTTGACCCCATCAGGGAAGGTTTATGGCCGGTCATAATAAAAGTATTATTCCCCCAAACAATTATAGAGTTTTGATATTTTTGAAACCCAATCAATGCTATCCAAAAAGCCTGCAAAAGGAATTTAGTCTTCATACAAACTCAAATTTTCTAATCCCTGTTACAACCTGATGGTGCAAAGCTTTGATATTTCAAACTTTGATTATTTGATCTAATAGAATTTTATCTTTGAAATATATAAGGTCTACGTCATAGGGTTGCAAAGATAAAGACTAGAAAATCAGAGACGTTATAGTTCTAATTTGATGTAGAATTTGATGTAGAATTTAAAGTAGAATTTGATGTAGAATTTGATGTAGAATTTGATGTAGAATTTGATGTAGAATTTGATGTAGAATTTGCTGTTGAATTTGATGTAGAATTTGATGTAGAATTTGCTGTTGAATTTGATGTAGAATTTGATGTTGAATTTGATGTCTGTAAGATTGAAATTTCATATGTTTTCAATCATAGCTTCTCTTACTGATTTGTTGACAAGAAATGTTTAGTATTTTTAGTATAAAACAGATAGATTTGTTAATATTATACCTGTGCGTAAAATCAAAACTAGAGGAGCTATCAGGTCACAAAGTTGAACCAGTAATTTCGCACAAAGGAATTGAGTTTTTGCCACAAAACTCAGATTTTCTAATTCCTATAACTAAGCAACCCGTTTACCTAGACCTTTGATATTTCAAACTATTAATTTTGGTAGATATATCAAATAGTCTAAGTTTGAAATATCAAAGGCTTACACCATCAGGTTGCAAAGATATTGGGGTTAGAAAATTTAAGTTTGTTGCAAAAACTCAATTCCTTTTACCTTCTGTGTAGTTCAGTGTGCTATGTTTGCCATACATATTAAAAAAGACACTTTTTTGGCATTCCATTTTGTCATTAACTTGTAATAAAATCTTAAGTCAAATATTCTTCATAATATTAACTATTACTAAAACTGAGTTCATAATTCCTCTCTTTTCGATGATTTGCGAATTGTTGAATTTAGCAGAAGATTTAAGATTAACCATAAAATCGTGAAGTAAGGTTTAACCTGTACACACCCAACTGTACTTATATAGAGACACTTTACAAAATATTATACTAAAGTTTAAAGAGACAAAACTTTACAAATATAAACGATACAAAATTATAGATAGATGTTTGAAATCGATGAATGTTTGAAACAGATCAATTTCTATAAAGATAAATGTTTAGCTAAAGGGACCGTTCACTTATTTGGGTAATTTCAGGGTAAACTAAACAGCCAATTCGCTGTTGATTGGTAATAGTCTTGCTTTTGAAAGACAACTGTGGCCGGAGAAAAGCCGACTTTTCATTCAGAATTTGAGTGATCTACATAGACACTATTTGTTTTTGTTTTCAGTATGTTGTGGATCAAAATAAATTAAATAAATAAGTAAATAAATAAATTAAAAAGGTCAAATGTTTTAGTGGATAAATAGTTAAAATTGATGAATGTTAAGATTAGTAAATGTTTAAAACAGATAAACAGATAAAAAAATATATTTTTTTAATTAAATAAATGTTTGAAATGAATAAATGTTTAAAAAAGATAAATGTTTAAGAAAAATTTGAATGTTTAAAATTAATACATGTTTGAAATTGTTAAAAAAGATAAATTTTTAAATAAAAGAGTCAAATGGTTAAAAAATAGATGAATGTTTGACATTGTTAAATGTTTCAAACAGACAATTGCAAAAAACAAAAAAGATAAATGAAGATATAGGTTTAAAAATAGATTTGTGATGTAAACCTTTGATATTTCAAACTTAGATTATTTGATCCAACAAAACTCATTTTTTGAAATATCAAAGGTCTACAACATCGGATTGCAAGCTGATCTAGGGGCTAGAACATCAGAGTTTGTGGCAAAAACTCAGTTCCTTTTTAAATGTCTGAAACAGATAGATTCTGAATACCTAAAAAGTATATATATTTAAAAAATGTAATGCTTTAAAAAAGCAAATTTTTGAAATAAGGTAAACATTTTTAATTATTTAAGAAAATTGCAATTTGAAATTTGAAACAATCGTCTAAGGTTACATTGTTAGTATAAATGTATAATAAAAAATAACAAGGTTTTCAAAACCGTAGGTGTTCGTAAAAGCTTTCTAATTTTCTAATCAATCAATTTAATGCCATTTTTTCTTCTTTGAGGATTGAATAAAAGCGTTCTCATCGAACCCAAACAAAATGTTCAGTCTGCCCTGTACAGCAATAGAACCATGTTTAAGACCTGAAAACAAAGTTAAAAAATACAAATTAATTTTGTTCTGATAGATTTGTCACAGTGAACATTTTTAACACTTTAAAGTCAAACCAGTCTTGAACATTTTTTACAGTCTGGATCACATAATTTTAATGGTTCACCCCACCCTGCAGAGTGCATATATATTAAACGGTGGGAGGCGATTATTTTAATACAATGAAGACGACATTTGATTTCAATTTTGATTTTTATCAAACTGTTAAAAAGCATAGATACACATCATCATAGAAAACAAGAAGAGTTTGATTACTTGTAAACTTGTAATTTGAAAAAAGCTTGTTAACAATTAAACTTAAATAAAAATGTGTCTTCATTGTATTGATGAAATTGCCTACCAGTGTATATATATATATATAACCCTTTTCCGTCAAGTTTAATTTAAACCAGCTGTCTTACTAGAAATAATATGTATTACAAAAAATTTTTTAGTTAAAATTAATCATTTCTAACTTATTTTTTTTTATCTATGAATACATTTTTTTCCTTGGTCCCTTAAAGATGTAATAAATAAGTCCCAATCAAATATCATCTCATCAGTTTTATCTCTCGTTCTTGTTTCATTGAATATATAATCATCAAGTTTGTTATCTTATCAAAATAGATAGGGCGACCAAGCCACTTTATAATTTTATTTTATAAGTTTCAGTTTGTTTTGCTGTATAATAAAGTTTTTGAGAAGAAGAATACTCATACGTATTACGTAGAATGAATATAATCTCCACCAATATATCACAGGCTATTGAAGGTTTTAGGTTGGTTCTACTACATTCTCCATCAGGATACTAGATTAATAAAACAAAAGTTAAAAAAAAAAATAATATTCTCAGAAAAAAATATATCATCTGTACGAAAACATGAAAAGTTCTTTAGCTGGTGGTATACGAAATAAAGTAGGTGGGTTGCATACAGAACATCATAATAACCCTGTTAGTATAAGTATTATCATTGTTAACGTATTTACGAATAATTTGAATCCGGGTTTATTATTTGTGACGTGTCGTAAACATAGAGAATAGAATATATATTAGATTGGATCTTAGAGAATCTCTCGGTATGAATTTTTAAAGTCCCTTTCAGTCTGAAAGGGAGTTTAAAGTGTACAAATCATGTAAATGTTCACAAATTATATGCAGTAGAGTACATTAATACAATATGTTCCCTAGACTATTCATTTCAATTTCGAATTTTTTAAGGCTGTTAAATAAACTTTGTAATGGATTAGGTGAATAAAAAACATCATTTGATTTATAGTTATAACGGCAAATCATCGTTTGTAAAGTGAAAGGCATAGAGTCTATGTGAAATGATCATTGGTCAATTATGAAACCAGCCTATTTCATAATTTGGTTTTTATTTAACATTAATTTTAGATTTTCTATAAAATTATATTCCAGGGCCCAAAAGGTTATATAGCATTAATATGTGAAGTACACCTGCAGTATGGAAACAGTACAACAAAATGGCCGTTTTACACTTTTTTCTAGTAAATTCCCCTCTAATATATATTCTATTCTCTTTGGTCGTATACTGAACCATTTATTTGGACAATTACACGCGTTGATCTAATCAGAAGATAATATGAAATAAAAGATATTTTTTTTTTCTACATCTACGTCAAAAGTTAGATAGTTTTGCTGGAGTAAACAAGTAAGAATAATCCACAAGAGATTATTCAAGTTGCTACTGCATTGTAAAGCCGGTCACTACCGTTTCAGTAGAAATAAATATTTCCATTTACTGTTATATTGCCGATATAATGATTTATCTCTGATTGGATAGTGAGATAGATAGAAAGATAGATGTTACCGCCATACTATTTCTATTAATTCAGAATAGACAACAAACACGTAGCTGAACCCTGATTGGATCAGGCGCTAATGGACTATCCTATATGTCCAATACTGAAAAACACTGACACTGGACACTGAACAATTAATGCCTAAAACCAATAAAACTCTTTTAAAAATAATTTGAAAATAATAAAAATGAAGCGGGCCATGCTCATCAATTTTTTTGCTTTTAAAATTTCAATTCAGGATTACACTTTTAATCGTTTGAGAGCCATCATGGAGTTTTTGGTAGATTTTTTTATACTAATTTTAGTTAGATTTTAGGAAAAGTTAAACTTTCACTTTTGAGTTCGACCAAAGAATGACCCTAGTGTAGGTTGCAGGAGCGTAAACAATTTTTGGTTATTTGGCGGCAATAAACCCACTCCCCCCTCTCCCTCCAACTTAAGATCCCTATGAAGCCCCGCCTATAGTTTACTGTGGGTCATTTTTATTGTTTTTAGTGTGGCGACTCTAGGAGAGATGGATCTTCTGCGAGGAAAGGTCGTCTTTATTGAGCACGTTCTTTTCCTAGATGATGACAAATTAGAAGAGTTAATCCAAGAATATGGGTAATACATTTTTTTATTGGGAGCTAAAGAAATTGAGAATTTGCCACAAACTCTGATTTTCTAATCCTATATCTTTGTAGCCCATAGTCGTAGACCTTGGATATTTCAAACTATTCATTCTGTTAGATAAAAAATCTAAGTTTTAAATTTCTAAGGTTTACACTATGAGGTTGCAAACATTTAGGGATTAGAAAATTTGAGTTTGTGGAAACGACAATATTCCTTTCATAAATTAAAGAGAGGTTGCTGAACTACCTTCCATCTACTTCTCAAGTGCTTACTAGCTCAAATCCTAAAATATCGATTCAAAAATGAATATTTTGAACAACCCTAAGCTTTTCCGACACTTCAAGTTTCCAACCAATCAGAGTGCCGCAATCTGAAACAAAACTATAAGTCTCTTAGTCACTAGGATAGTTTAACATTCAAAAACTTCCAGTTGAACCAGTAATAGTGGTTGAACAGTCTCTGCATAGTTTAGTAACTTCTCGCAATTTATTAAACCAGATCCAGGCTGTCCAAAAAAACCAGAATGATTTGAGTAAGGCTGCTAGTTTAGATTTAAGGGCAAAACTTTGCATGAGACTACAATTTGATCAGCTATAACCCAAGACAAGAAAAAAACCTGGGAGCTTGATCAGACAAAGCTTTTAGTGCCGGTATCGTTGTAAATCGGGCATTGTTATCTTTGCATGGAGGGTGACTTGAAATTATGCTAATATAATCCCTTTAACATTGATTTAGATATCTAGAGTCTGGACCTCTCATTACATATCCATGGTTCAAATCACAGTTTCTCTCTCATGCAGTTAGGTATATATTCTAAAAAATATAAAATTCATATTATTCCCAGTTCTTAAGCAAAATTTGACATTGCACATTGTTTAATCCCTGATATTTGCATTGCAACCTTGACAACATCAGGGATGCAATGTTACAATACAGCCCTAGGGATGCAATGTTACAATGCAACCCTAGGGATGCAATGTTACAATGCAACCCTAGGGATGCACAATGCAACCCTAGGGATGCAATGTTACAATGCAACCCTATTGATGCAATGTTACAATACAACCCTAGGGATACAATGTTACAATACAACCCTAGGGATGCAATGTTACAATACAACCCTAGGGATGCAATGTTACAATGCAACTCCAGGGATGCAATGTTACAATACAACCCTAGGGATGCAATGTTACAATGCAACTCCAGGGATGCAATGTTACAATGCAACCTTAAGGATGCAATGTTAAAATGCAACCCTAGGGATGCAATGTTACAATACAACCCTAGGGATGCAATGTTACAATGCAACCCTAGGGATGCAACGTTACAATGCAACCCTAGGGATGCAATGTTACAATGCAACCCTAGGGATGCAATGTTACAGTACAACCCTAGGGATGCAATGTTACAATGCAACCCTACGGATGCAATGTGACAATACAACCCTAGGGATGCAATGTTACAATGCAACCCTAGGGATGCAATGTTACAATGGAACCCTAGGGATGCAATGTTACAATACAACCCTAGGGATGGAATGTTACAATACAACCCTAGGGATGCAATGTTACAATGTAACCCTAGGGATGCAATGTTACAATACAACCCTATTTATGCAATGTTACAATGCAACTCTAGGGATGCAACCCTAGGGATGCAATGTTACAATACAACCCTATTTATGCAAAGTTACAATGCAACCCAAGGGATGCAATGGGATGCAATGTTACAATGCAACCCTAGGGATGCAATGTTACAATACAACCCTAGGGATGCAATGTTACAATGCAACCCTAGGGATGCAATGTAACATTGCATCCCTAGGGTTGCAATGTTACAATACAACCCTAGGGATGCAATGTTACAATACAACCCTAGGGATGCAATGTTACAATACAACCCTAGGGATGCAATGTCTTAACAAAAACATTCCTGATTCCAATACAATGCGAGACATCTATATTTATTGGATCCCATTATCCATAAAAAAATAAATAAATAGTTGTAGATTTTAATTGAGTGTTTTTCCTCCTTTTTTTGAAAAACGAAAAATTAATTTCTTCCAAGATTTTCATGATTAATAAGATTTTAAGAATGTCATTTCATGATTAATTTGTTTTAAAACTGTCATTTCATGATTAATAAGTTTTTAAGAATGTCATTTCATGATTAATAAGTTTTAAAGAATGTCATTTCATGATTAATAAGTTTTAAAACTGTCATTTCATGATTAATAAGTTTTAAAGAATGTCATTTCATGATAAATAAGTTTTAAAACTGTCATTTCATGGTTAATAAGTTTTAAAACTGTCATTTCATGATTAATAAGTTTTGAAACTGTCATTTCATGATTAATAAGTTTTAAAATTGTCATTTCATGATTAATAAGATTTTAAGAATGTCTTTTCATGATTAATAAGTTTCAAAGAATGTCAATGATGTCAATTGAAGTTTTTTTTATAGTAATTGCAAATTTTACTAAATCTAGATAAAAATGAAAAATTAAATTGTGTAGTAGTGGCCAATATAAAGCGGACCAGGAAGACGACTTTTCATGACTATATGTGTTCAGGATTTTGGAGGATTTGCCAGGATTCTCCAGTATGTACGAGTACATGAACATGACACAGGAGTTAGGCGATTACGCAAACACGCTATGTAAGTAATCTTAAAATATATCACAATTATAACATATTACAAGATGAATCCATTAGATAAGAAAATTTAATATCAATCTAATATCAATCTACTAAGAGTGCTTTGACTTCTCATGTTTCTTACAGCAGGAGTAACTTAAAGTAACCTTGGCAGTGCTAGGTTCCCAAGCTAGTACCTTTTATTGTTACCTTATTAATAAATTAACTCAGTGCTGCCCCAAAGTGAATAAATACTAAAGTGGAACAGACTAAGGCAACGACGACAGGTTGGGCCATAAGGTTTTATTTGGTTTGGAAATAATTGCATGAAAAGATTTTATTTGGAAAGTAAAGACTAGAAAAAATAGACTAAGGACCCATGTATTTGTCGTCTTCAGCTGAACTTCAAAATTTTCATAATCAAAAATTAAAAATTTTCGTATGTTTGTATGTGTTTTATATGCAAATACTATAATTTATATATATATGTATATATATTATTTTTAAATACTTGGGACATAAAATGTCGTCATCCAACTATGAGTTTGGCCCACTTTAGTATTTAATCACTTTGGCGCTGCCCAGGTTACTAAAAGTTACTCCCGCCGTTTACCCGCACTTGAACGATTTTACCGGGAAACTAAATTGTCGCTATTAAAGTGACCCACCAAACTTAGAATCTCAAAACCAAACTAAGAACATTTCTGTTGTTCTCCAGAGTTCCCTAATTAAAATTTGAGGCCAATCGGGCGAGGGCTTCCTAAGTTATGATCGGAAAAACAAATAGACAGGCAAGCAGACAACTTTATATAGATAGATATATATTTATACATATGTAAATCTGAGACTGTAAATCTGTTTTTTGATTGAATAATAAATTTATTATATATTTTCAATTAAACACACAAAATTTTGCACCACCGATCGGTTGTAATATTAGAGATAAAAAAGTTAAATTAAATTTAATTTACTAAAACCTAGCTTGGGAACCCAGTCTACCCTGGAAAGTTAGTTTTCCATATTAAAGTGAACCTACTAAAATTTGAACTTTAAAGCCAAGCTCACAACATTTCCCTGGTTCTAACGATTTCCCCAATCAAAAATTTTGGTTAGACGTACAAACAAAGAAACAGACAAACTGAGATTACTAATTTAGACACATCCTAACTTAAACCATGAGCTAATAATATTTCAGAGATTGATTTATAATTTTTAGTAAATTTAACAAAGTAAAAGCAGGCTGTAAAAATGTATCAGTTTTATTTACTCATCTTATCCTCCATTGTCAAACATATAATTCTGCTTTTTATAAAATTTCTTACTGATCTTTTTCTTCAAAATCATTAATTACTTGCTCTAATTATGAACTAATTTAATTTTAAAGGATTTTTGATGATATTTTGACGGATTTGTGTCTGCCAATTTATTATTGTTTCATTTCCTAAAAATCCTACTGCATAAGGAATTCCCCAATCAAAATTTGAAACTAATCCCTCAAGGGGTTCATAAGTTATGATCGGAGACATAAAAATAAATACTAAGAAAAATTGGGATTATTACTTTATTTACAGTGATAACCAGAAAACAATGGAATAGGAAGACGACATTATAGCAATACACAAGTGTATTTGATGTTTTTAAAAAGTAAATAGTTTGACTAGATGCACTTATCAAATCACTAAACTAGTGAGATGAATCTGTTTGCAAAGCACAATTTCTGTGTCTCCTGCTTATTAGAGTTTTTAAAGTTATAACTTGATTTTAAAAGTCGTTTTCCTATTTCAGAGTTTTCTGGTTATTACTGGATATATCTGAAGTTGTAATCTCTGTTTGGGTGTCTGTCTGTTTGTTTGTCCGATAATAACTCAGGAACCCTTGGACCGATTTGCCTCAAAGTTTGATTGGGGAACTTGGGAGCCCCACGGCAATGTTCTTAGTTTGGTTTTAAAATTCTAAGTTGAGTCGACTTTAATAGCGAAAATTTATTTTCCCGGTAAAATCGTCCAAGTGCGGGCGGGAGTAACTTTTAGTAACCTCGGCGGCGACGCTGGGTTCCATGGCTACTATAGAATATAGAAAGAAAATAAATAGATACAGATTTCATCTTGTTTAATCCAATTAAATCAATATTCTATCTAACATCCGTGTTATTAAATTATATTTTATTATGTTTTCAGAACCGTTAAAATTTAATTGAATTTTTTGGAAATGTGCAATTAGACCGGATTTTTTTTTAATATTTTGAAATGTTTTCGGTTTTTCTTTTTGGTAAGCTTTGTCTTCAAGTGTTTTAAATTAGTTAAATGTTCTTATTTTGTATATTTCGTAAATACACAATCAGATATCCTTATTTTTCAACTAAATGATAATGAATCAGATATTCTTATTTTTCAACTAAAACAATAATGGAAAAGATATCCTTAGTTTTCAACTAAAACAATAATGAATAAGATATCCTTATTTTTCAACTAAACAATAATAAACAAGATATCTTTATTTTTCAGCTAAACACTTTATTAATTTCAACTTTGGGTTCAAAAGTGACTTGCTGATTTTTACTACAGAAAGATTGAAGGAAGTTTTCAGAATTTGAAGAAGAATGAGGATTTCTCTTTGTTACTCGGATAGTTTTAAAATGTACCGCAGATCGTTAATCGGAAATTCTACTCTTTAAATCGGAGGGTCTCTTCCTATTACGGTGATAGTTCCTTTAAGTTTAAAACATTTTTCGCGAACACTCCCTTTAAGTTTAAAACATTTTTCTTAAACTTTAAAACTACAGAAAATTATGATCGGAAAATTAAATTTGTCAAAATTCAACAAAAAAAGTATTTGAAATGAAATATTTATTAAAAAAGCAAATTACTTTGTACCCTTTCTCTTGCTTCTCTATTGAGCAGATTATTATTACTTATAAATGTTCAATTTAAAAAATACCTTAATTAATTCAGTGGGAGAAAAATTCAACGAGGTTATAGTATATAGAGTGGTAATGTACGCTAATTGTACAGGCCACGTACTCCATTTACTTACTCATAAATATCATCAATTAAAAGATTTTTTACAGGAAAGACTACATTTTATTCGAAAAAACAAATTAACCGGAATTATTTTGAAATTACAGTGAGAACCAGAAAACTTTGTAAAATAAAGACGACTTTAAAACTCAAGTTATGACTTTAAATAGTTCAATATACATGAGACACAGCAGTTTTGTTGTGTGCACAGTACAGCCAAGAAATTATTTTTAATCTAATGATAAAACTATTTGCTTTGTAACAACATCAAATGCACTTTAAAATTGCTTCAATGTCGTCTTCCTTTTCAACAGTTTTCTGGTTCTCACAACACGAACACTTTTTTAGAAATTGACGACAGAATGAATTAGAAATGTAAAATTTTTTGAGATTTCCCAAATATTTTGTGCATAATTTCCAAAGATAAATGGACGTGAACAGTGACCTTTAATAAGTTTTTAACCAGATGCTGAAGACAAGAAGAACGGTTTTACTCTTCTAGCTCCTAGAGATGATGCATTTTGGAAAATATCCCTTGCTGATCCTTCCATCCCAGATCCTTTTATACAGGTAATAGATATCCCTTGCTGATCCTTCTATCCCAGATCCTTTTATACAGGTAATAGATATATCCCTTGCTTATCCTTCTTTCCCAGATCCTTTTATACAGGTAATATATATCCCTTGCTGATCCTTCTATCTTAGATCCTTTTATACAGGTAATAGATATCCCTTGCTGATCCTTCTATCCTAGATCCTTTCATACAGGTAATAGACATCCCTTGTTTATCCTTCTATCCCAGATCCTTTTAAACAGGTAATAGATATCCCTTGCTAATCCTTCTATCCCAGATCCTTTCATACAGGTAATATATATCCCTTGCTGATCCTTCTATCCTAGATCCTTTTATACAAGTAATATATATCCCTTGCTGATCCTTCTATCCCAGATCCTTTTATACAGGTAATAGATATCCCTTGCTTATCCTTCTTTCCCAGATTCTTTTATACAAGTAATATATATCCCTTGCTGATCCTTCTATCCCAGATCCTTTTATACAGGTAATATATATCCCTTGCTGATCCTTCTATCCCAGATCCTTTTATACAGGTAATATATATCCCTTGCTGATCCTTCCATCCCAGATCCATTTACACAGGTAATATATATATATATATATCCCTTGTTTATCCTTCCATCCCAGATCCATTTACACAGGTAATATATATCCCTTGCTGATCCAGGTATTAACTCTTATACAGTTTAACCCTTAACTTCGGAGTCATCGAGAGAATTTATGAAATGTTTATTTCACAATTTTTTAAATAGGGTTTTTACTATTATACCTAAATCTCAGTAATTGTAAAAGAACATAAATAACCATGAAATATTCAAGGTTAGTTATTAGTTATCAGTAGGTTTAGAAAACGACATTTCATTAATTCTTTCGATTTATCAGAATTTTTGGGTTGAACTGTATATATACTTTTTAATTTTCATAGTATATCAAAATGCAAATAAACGTGAATAGCATAAAATACAAATCAATCTATGTAGAAACATATTTAGTTGCAAATGTTTCAAGCTGTCATGCTAAAAACTGTAGCTATAAGCAATACTTCAAGCTGTCATGCTAAAAACTGTAGCGTATAAGCAATACTTCAAGCTGTCATGCTAAAAACTGTAGCTATAAGCAATACTTCAAGTCGACACAGCCTGAAAACTAAGACATGAAATGTTTCATAGCAATCTGGATTTATGTAAAATATGTATAATTCCAATTTATTTTCTCCAGAATCCAGATTTCCGACTGCAAATGCTTCTGGGTCATCTTGTACCTCATCGTTATCTCAAACCAGAACTTTATCAAACAGAATCAATTCAGACTCAAGCAAACACTACTCTCTCAGTTTCTACGAATAGTTCAGGTGTTAATTTAAATAAAATTTTACATTGAAAGGATTTTTCTTTGAACTGTTTTATTTAAAAACTATAGCTTGGGAACCCAGCGCTGCCAAGGTTACTAAAAGTTACTCCCGACGTTTACCCGCACTTGGACGATTTTACCGGGGAAACTAAATTTTCGCTATTAAAGTTGACGCACTCAACCTAAGCCAAGAACATTCCCGTGGGTCTCCCGAGTTCCTTATTAAAAATTTGGGGCAAATCGGTCCAGGGGTTCCTGAGTTATGATCGGACAAACAAACAGACAAACAGAAAAACAGAGATTACAACTTTATATAGATATTGGTCGTTTTTCTTAAACAAAGGAATCATTTTCAAACTATTGGATAAATATGTATTCATGGACTAAGGAATTATTTTTGAACTGTAGGATCTGGAAAGGTACGTGTTCATGGACTAATGAATTATTTACAAACTATAAGATAAGTAGGTAATTGTAGGAAATCATGGAATAAGAAATTATTTTCAAACTATCGGAAAGATACTAGATAGGTATTCATGGACTAAGGAATTTTTTTGAACTGGAGGATAGGTAGATTCATGTACTAAGAAAGTAAATTTAAACCGTGGGAAAAATTGTAAATATATGAAATCTTTAAAAAAACAATGAAAAAGTACGTTTTATACAAACTATTCATTAAAATCAAATTAACCTTTTACATAATTGAATTAAAATCTTAACGTATTTTTCATTTTTTAGCATGATTAAGGGACCAAGAAATTAAAGATATCGAGATAAAATGTTCAAGATTAATGATACTCCACACAAAATGTCCGACCTAGCTGGCTCTGTTGAATATATTCTTTTAAAAGTTCATTTATCTGTTTAGGACTTACTTTGTTTGACGGTGAGGTTTACAGTGTAGTGCTAGGAGATCCTCTTTACGTTTATAATTTGGGAGTTATTATTCCAATTGATAGGTAATTAAAGAGGACTGAGACAGAATGCAGGTCTAATTTGTTTTTTTTAAATTAACATTAGTTTTCCTTCATTTATTATTTTTTAAGAAAAATCTGACTCGTATTCACAAAATGAAAAGTAAGCTAAGCATAAAAAATCATCTTTCTTAGAATTCTAATTCATAATTAATTTTTGAAACACTTTTATTTAAAATATAAGAATTCTTTGTCTCGTACCTAGCTTAGATTTTTAAGAAAGATTAGAATAATGAAAATAAAAAAACGGTAAAGTGGTAAAGGTAAATAAAATTATAAAAAAACGGTATAGTGGTAAAGGTAAATAAAATTATAAAGAACGGTAAAGTGGTGAAGGTAAATAAAATTATAAAGAACGGTAAAGTGGTAAAGGTAAATAAAATTATTAAAAAAAACAAATAAACAATTAATAATAATAACAGTGATATTATAAATGATGATGATAATGATGATAATGATGATGACGATGATTATGATATTTTAGTGTCCTGTTTGTTTCTATGTCTGATATCCTATCTGAGCTCGAGTTATTCAATGCAGAATCTGAAGAAGGTATTTTTTTAAAGAAAAAAAATAGAAATAACTTCTTAACGTAATTTTATATAAGTGTCCATCAGGACATATTTTCAAAAGAATTTTTAATAACAAATCTGAAAAGAAAATTTTTGCCGATAATAGAGCATAATTGAGTTAATAAAGATGATAGCCCCCAATTTTCTCAAATAAATAGACATTAATAGGAAAACTATTAGTCATGTTTTGACTCAACATATACTGTACACAGGGGGGACAAGGTGGCACGGTCCATCTTTATATTTTAAAATCTAAAACTCTCCAGAAATTAAAATTTGAAAGAAGTCGTGGAACACTGTTTATGGCTTTAGAACTGAAAACAAAATTGTAATTCTAAATACACAGGTTTAAAGGGACTGTAAGTGTGATTTCAAATGACCCTCTATTTTTTCTTTTCTTTATTAAAACTGTTTATTTTCATTGTGGGTTCTCTGCAACTAGGTTACTGGCGCATTTCTTACTTATTTAAGAAACTATGGAGAAATTCTCATTAATAAGCACTTTCCGAATCAGAAAACGACATTATTTTTCACATTGTTGATCAGATTAAGGCTTTAAGGGTAGCATTGTAAATAGGGTATTCTATCTTTGCTAGCAGGGTTATTTGTAATTACGCTTACAGTACATATGAAAATTAAATACAATGATACTCTATACAATGATACAATGATACTCTATACAATGATACAATGATACTCTATACAATGATACAATGATACTCTATACAATGATACAATGATACTCTATACAATGATACAATGATACTCTATACAATGATACAATGATACTCTATACAATGATACAATGATACTCTATACTGAAATGCATTGAAAATATGAAAATATTGGTTTATTTGGAGTGCAGGACTAACTTATAGACAATTAGACCAAATTGTACAGTATATACAGACTATAAACAGCAAAACAGGACGGTACACCAAACATACAGGCTGTAATCAGCAAACCAGGACGGTACACCAAACATACAGACTGTAAACAGCAAACCAGGACGGTACACCAAACATACAGACTGTAAACAGCAAACCAGGACGGTACACCAAACATACAGACTATAAGCATATTAATATTATGACGTATTCTGGTTATTTATGGCATATTCTGGTTGTAATATTATGACTATTCTGGTTGGTTATTGCATATTCTGGTTGTAATATTATGACTATTCTGGTTGATTATGCCATATTCTGGTTGTAATATTATGACTATTCTGGTTGATTATGGCATATTCTGGTTGTAATATTATGACGTATTCTGGTTGTAATTTTATGACGTATTCTGGTTGATTATGGCATATTCTGGTTGTAATATTTTGGCATATTCTGGTTGATTATGGCATATTCTGGTTGTAATATTAAGAGCTATTCTGGTTGTAATATTATGACGTATTCTGGTTGATAATGACAGTATGAACTTTTTGAAATTCGGTGATGGTGATGGACCAAACCTCTGTAGAGTAAAAAAAAGTAGATGTTAGTTCTACATTTATTGAAAATATATTTCGGTCTGGGTTTACCCTCGTCAGTTCTTCAGATTGTTTTTGTCAGGAAGATTAAAAACAGGAAGTTAGAAAATAAGTCTGGACTCCATATTTTGCCTAGGAAAATTCCTACCTTGTTTATCGTTATTTTTATTTGTATTCGTCAAAGTACACAACTCCTACCCCCCCTTCCCCCCCTCCCCCCCGCTACCTTCGTATACAAGTATCTTGATTTTATCCAAATCGGTTTCACTAGAAAAAATGATTTTAAGGTTTTACAAATTAGACTTATTTTAACAATCTTATTAATTTACTCTGAAAAGTAGATTTTAAGGTTTTACAAATTAGACTTATTTTAACAATCTTATTAATTTACTCTGAAAAGATTTTTTATGAAACCTGAGCTAAAACGGTAAAATTAAAATCCTTTGTTTAATATTGTTAATATCAATTATCTGCAAAATAAGTAAATATATAGAACAGAACTAAGTATTTTAGCGAACTCTTTAAGGAAAATGGAATTCGAAGGGACCCTCAATACTTTATACATGTATGATTCACAACGGTGTAGGTTAATACTGATAAAGGTATTATTCATGAAAACAAATAGAAATAGAGAAACAAAGACACTGCTCAAATACCTTTGTATAATTGGGCATGAATTTCTTTCATCTGCCGGTTTAAATGGACTGTAAAGGAAAAATGAAAGGGGGTAGGCTAAAACCTGAAAATCTCAGGAGTTAAACGATAAATATGAAACATCTATCTGATGTTCCTGTATCAAGAAATTGATTTAAAACGTGTCAAAATTATACCAAAACGTTTATATATAAGATTTTGTATAAGATTCGTAGTATTAAACATATTCAACAAATACGCAACCCATCTGAAAACGCCAATGACAGTGATGTATCGGTGTCACGTCACTATCAATTATATCTTTAAAAAGTGCTAAATAAAAATAAAAAAATTATAACTGGAGCAAATCTGAGATTCTCAGACTTCTCTTGGATATCTTCGTTTTTAGATTGGTTGCGTATTTGTTGAATATGATCTGTTTAATACTACGAATTTTATACAAAATCTGATATATATATACGTTTTGATATAATTTTGACACAGTTTAAAATCAATTTCTCGATTCAGGAACATCAGCTAAATGTTTTATATATATATCATTCAACTCCTGAGATTATCAGGTTTTAGCCTATACCCCCTTTAAATTAGAAAATAATTTTAGGACTTGCGGAAAGTAAAGCGATTACGGAAACTAACGAAACTACGGAACCTACAGACTTTGAAACAGCAGAAACGGTGACGGAATCTCTTCCTGATGTAATTATGGACATTCTTGCTGAAGACTTTATGGCTGTGACAAGTAATTCTGAAACCACACCATCGCCATTACATTCTATTCTAGAGGTTAAAAAATATTCATATGAAACTGACATTTATGTATTTACAATGTAAAAGTGAGACGACATTAAAGTAATCTTGAAGTGTTTTTTTTGATGAAGCCAAAAAGCACATATAGTTGCACTGTATAGCTTAAAAATACCTTATTATGTACAATGGGTCTGTGTCTTTTGTTCTTTGAACCATTTAAGATCATAACTTTTGTCTAAAAGTCGTCATCTTATTCCACTCTTTTCTGGTTCTCACTGTATGTATTGTATGTATGTCACAAAGTGTGTACTCAAGTGCTTTCTCATCTGCCCATCCACAAAAATATTGTACTGTACGGTTCAGCTGTTTTGGCGTATATTGAATACATCTAAACAGCGTGTCAAATTAATGTATATATTTAGATTCCAAAAAGGGTCGTTACATTTTTTCATTTTTTATTTACAGGGTGTCCTATTAAACAGGGTAATTGAGAGAATTAAAAGTCGTTTTTGATTTATAATATTCAATGCATGGTAAAGCAAAGTAAGAAAAAACCAGGCTGTTCGTCCGACGAGCTTTTCATAAATTGGTCTTGTATTTTAAACATTAATAAAATATTATTAATGAATAATTTCCTACTTAATTTTTTCACTTAAAAAGCATCCGCTAACAAAAAGGAAAAGTGATAAATACTTTTTTAGTCCTTGACATACCTATTTAAGAATTATAGAAAATAATTGATTTTAGCTTAAGCTTTTAGAGTTTTGTGTGAAAGGTTGCAACCTTTGGATCCCTGTGGAAAATATACACACACAAACAGAAATAACCTTATATGTATATAAAAGTTATAGTTAGTTGTACGAGGGATGTAAAATATAGTTAGTTGTACGAGGGATGTAAAATATAGTTAGTTGTACGAGGGATGTAAAATAAGTTTTGCGAAACATTTTTTAAAGGTGCCCCTTAATTTTTTACCAATTCAATTTTTTGACCGACTAATGTCAATTAGACAATATTTGGACGCAATTAGCTTTCTCCCAGAGCCCGTTAACATTGTTTGTCACAGCCTAAATATCTTATCTACAGACTTAAACTTTATCCATTTCTGCGTGTTTATGAGGTTTGGTAACCTTGAAAAGTCAAAGGAGGGTAAGTCTTTATTATTAAAAGGGTCCTTGAAGTTCTTTTTAGTTGTAATCTACATTTCAGCCAACAAATTAGTATCTTTACCTAGGACCTCTTTGGAGCAAATGTTGTCCAAATCTTTGCCATTTTTCAAATCTTACTTTACACCTTTGTTTGCTGCACCATAGCAGATGTCTAACTCATCGAAATTCATCAACTAAGAAGCTTTGCGAGTTAGGTTGAGAAACTTTCAATTGTGTCCACTGTTTGTGGGGTATTTTCTGCTCAGACATTTCTGCCAACACTCTCAATTATAGTTTTCGCTTTTAGTCCACTTGTAGAGTATTGCCGTGTCCGTGTTATTATCCTCTAATGGATCATTTCAAAGGTTTCTGCTAAATATTTTGAAAGTTTTAGGCAGACATTTTTTGTGTATCGAGCATCCCAAGTGTTGGTATTAAAAACATTACCGTGTTGTGATAACGGAGCTAAACAATCTCCTGGAAAAGGCGGATTACATGGAAAAACAAATTTTGATGAAAAAAATTTATATCTATATTTCCAGGATTCTACCGAGTTCATGGAGCCCAAGGAAAAGGAGGTGAGGAGGTATTCATTTTAGTTCATTTTTTTAACTTCTTAAAAAAAGTTTTTTTAATAAATAATATTTATTATTTCACACAGGCAGGTTTTCATTATGTTCTAACTTTCTATTGAATTTGTTTAGGATTGATTATGTTCTGACCTATCCTACAAAACATTTTCTTCGAAACGAGGACAAATATTATTCTCCAGTTCAAGAATCGGCGAACGACAAAATTGAAAGTTTCCAACAAAATTCTGAAAAGAGTGTCAAGAAAACCAAAGTTTACTATGTTAACAATACTCGGATTGAAATCGAAATATAAGTTTTAATATATGATTTGATGTAAAGTATTTTTACATTATTATTTTTTCATATTTTAGAAATTGTTTCACTTATTTATTTATTCCAACTTACCTCTAAAACTTATCCACTCTTGCTTTAAGCTTATTATAACTATTCAAATGAAATATAATGCGTAAATATATTTTTCTACAGCAATAAGCAGAAAACTCTGAAATAGGAAGACGACTTTTAAACTCAAGTTAGGACTTAAACTTGTTCAATGAACATTAGACATAGCAATTGTACTGTAAACCCACCAAGGGTTTAGCCATATGTTCATAAGCTGATTTAAGTTCTTTTTGCTCCTAGACGGGGAAATGATGGAAAATGCAATCCATAAAGCCAAACAAGTCTGGAGTCAGTCAAAGCGTATTGACTTCGAGTATGTGTGCAACCCTAAATATAGAACAGGATAAGGCCAAGCTGGTCGCAGGGTGCATTGAACACGGAGTATGGACAGCCGGATAACAAACTCCAGTGAGTATCGAACGTTTTTTTATCTAGAGAAATACGGGAGTTAGGGTTAATAATATGATGCCGGAGAAAAGAGAAACGGCATTATCTGCTGGCGGAGAAAGCACTTTTGTCGGCCATCTTATGCCCCGATACAAAGTCAGTCAGCACTAAGTATCTGAAGAGAAGAGTCAAGTGAAAATGTATTCGCCCCCAGGTGAATGTCCATTTCATTGTTTTCTGGTTATCACTGTATGTCAGACTATGACTTTGTTTAGACCCACTTCCACAATCTTCGCTTTTTAGAAAACCTATAGTAAAATAAGATTTTTTTTTCAAAACTCTTGAAAAGATATTAATTTTTTGCAACACAGTTAAGATTTTTGAAAGGGACCGTTCACTTTTTTTTGGGTAATTTGAGGATGAACTAATTAGCCTATTAGCTATTCATTGGTATTTATCTTATTTTTCAAAAACAGCTGGAGTGGCCTAAGAAAAAGCCGATTCATCATTCAAAATTCTAATGCAAATGTATGATACCTTTGCATTTACATATTTGATGCTTTTTGTCATGGATTTTTAAAAATATCCAAATGTAGTTAATTGTAGATATCTTATTTTTAAATTGTCAATTCTTAAAATATAACTTATTTTAAACATTTGACAGTTTACTACGTTTTCTTGTGATTTATTGAAGAGTTGGAATTTAGGAACCGGTTTGTGTGAGAGAGAAAGTCGTCTTTGTATATAAACGTGTTATTTTGTCAAATAATGTTTAAACACGAAAAAGGTTAATTGTTGTTGTATCATACCTTTCCACTGGAATTCTAATCGATAAATCGACATTTTCTCCGCGCGGTCATATATATCTTTGAAAATTAAGACTAATACTAATGAATAGCTAATAAGCTAACTAGATGACCATGAAATTACCCAAATAAGTGAACGGTCCCTTTAAGTTTTTAGTATTTATTGGGACTGAGAGGTGTGTAAAAGATTTTGCGTGACTATATTTTCCATATTTTTATTCAACTACAAAGCACGAGATAATACAAATAACAAATCATTATTTACTATGTAGTTTGGACCCGCCTAAGCAGAGTTGGTTGTTTTGATTGGTAGGCCTATTATAAGCGAATAAGAATTGTAAAAAATAGATGGATGTACACTGCACAGTGTATATTTTAAACAAAACTATGATGATAAATCATGAATAAGGTACGGAGGGGGTGAAAAAGTATAAGGGAAAGGGTGGGTACTCAGCGGAAGAGTTGTAACAGAGGATAACATATATTATTAGAATTATGTTTTTGAATTACAGGGTGAAGAAGATAGCAAAGACTAAGTTTATCCACATGAAAAACAGTTATTTCTTTTACAGATATAACTTGCATAACTATCTAAATAGTTTTTGAAGATTTTTTTTAACAGTCTTTAAGCTCCAATTCAATCGAATTCCATATTTTTGGAAATAAAGCGGAAGGGAAATATTCTAGCGTTTTAAAAAGAACCCGCGCAAGTTGATATGATTTTGTTCTATTTGGTTCAGCTAAAGAATTAAACATATCATGGAAGGAATTTGGAAGGTTTTTATAAAAGTATTTATGCATAAAAGATAGAAAACCTAGTTTATCATCAAGATTTAGAAGTTCTAATCTGAAGAATATTGGATCTGAATGTGCTTTAAATGAACTTTTATTTACTGCTCTAATTGCTCTTTTTGCAAAGATTTGATTTTCTGTAGTTTACCATATTTGGAACTGGATAAGCTTAAGGTTGTACTAATAATCTGTAACTCTAAATCAACTTTTTAAGTGCAAGGAAATTATTACCGAAAGAAAAATATTATCAAAAGGCTGACTATAGATTTTTTAAATATAGCAGGTTTATGCGATTATGAGAGTGAATAATGAATACATCTAATATCATTCCAAGCAAAACAAATTTAAACTATACCACTAATATATGTAATATGTGTATGTATATTAAATGTGTGTGAATAAATCTTTAATAATAATAATATTGTTGTGAATTACTTATGGCAACAATAAGGAAGAACAGACGCGCAACTAGACATTTGTTAAGGGGGAGGGGGCTAGAGGGAAATATTTCACGCTAAGCGCCAACAATTTTTTTGCCCCCCCCCCCCAAAAAAAAAACATTTTATGGGGGGGGGGGCAAGAAAAATGTGTATTATACTCAAACAATGATAAATTAACGTTACCAACCGGATATTCAGTAAGTCAACACATTTTATATGAAATAAAAAAAGAAATCTATTCTGGTGAATATAAATCACAATATTAATTAATTTACAATTTACATAAATATTTATATTCATTATTCATCCATAAATCAAATATGTACATTGTACTCAAACACTGACTCGACAAGAAATGCCTTTCATTAAAAAATCATGATTTTACATAAAAAATATTTTTTAATTTGACAATTACACAATATTTGCGCTGAACATGTAGGATTAATTTAATAGTTATACTACAGTATTAAAGCAATATCATAATTAGTGACAGAACTGATAGTAAAAATATCTAAAAATACCTGCCCCCCCCCATGCCCGGCCCCTTTTATCAGGCTAGGGGGCCTTACCCCACTCGCCCCCCCCTAGTTTCGCGCCTAAGGAAGAAATCGTCGTTTTTCTCTCTGAAAAGTATTAAATTCTGACAATTTATTTAACAATCTGTAAGTTATTTTTCAAGAGAAACCCCAATCAGATATTGTCAATTTTCAAAATTATTTAGATATTTTTATACATCAACATGCCAGTGTCTGAACAACGAATATTTACATGTTTACAATCTTCATGACATAAACAACCTTAAGAACTGAAGAGAGTGAACCGAAGCCGAAATCTATTTTTTTTAAATGTGGAATTAAAACCGATCATCATCCATCACCAAATTTTAAATATTTATGTTGTTGCGACTAAAGTATCCAATTAATGGTTCTGTAAGGGTCTGCGGAGTATCCATCCAATTAATGGTTTTGTAAGTGTCTGTGAAGTATCCATCCAATTAATGGTTCTGTAGTGTCTGCGGAGTATCCAATTAATAGTTCTGTAAGTGTCTGTGAAATATCCATCCAATTAATGGTTCTGTAAGTGTCGGCGAAGTATCCATCCAATTAATGGTTATGTAAGTGTCTCTGAAGTATCCATCCAATTAATGGTTCTGTAAGTGTCTGCGGAGTATCCATCCAATTAATGGTTCTGTAAGTGTCTGCGGAGTATCCATCCAATTAATGGTTCTGTAAGTGTCTGTGAAGTATCCATCCAATTAATGGTTTTGTAAGTGTCTGCGGAGTATCCATCCAATTAATGGTTATGTAAGTGTCTGTGAAATATCCATCCAATTAATGGTTCTGTAAGTGTCTGCGGAGTATCCAATTAATGGTTCTGTAAGTGTCTGTGGAGTATCCATCCAATTAATGGTTATGTAAGTGTCTGTGAAGTATCCATCCAATTAATGGTTCTGTAAGTGTCTGCGGAGTATCTATCCAATTAATGGTTCTGTAAGTGTCTGTGAAGTATCTGTGACCTTGAATCAAGAGATGAATTTTAAACTAATTAAAAGATTTTGCAATTCAAGTTTGTTGATGCATAGTGCACGTTGAATGTCGCATGGTGTTTAATTTTCAATGAAAAAGAAAAGCAGCTTATGATACTGGATTATGATAGCAATGAAATAAAAAAATCTCATTTTTTATAAAAATTAGAAATTTATTTCTTGTTCACTGAAAAAATTTATTCGAATAATTTTTAGCTCTCTTTTATCTCGTTTTCATGAATTGTCTGAAAGGAACTGTTTCATGTGTCTCTTCATTTAAAAAATAAAACAGGCATCCCTCCCTGATTCACAAAGATACCCTTTCAAACCTCATTTTTTCCTTCCACTCCAATAAAAAACAGTTTTTTAAAAGATTTTTCTGTATAAATTGGTAGATGTTTAGAAATCGCCAAAAGTTATTTTCACGCAATTTTTTTTATTTTGACCAGCCATAATATTTTCAAAGGTCATGTGAGTTGTCACAAAAAATGAGCCTGAACGGTTCGAACAGAGAAATAGAAAACCAAACTAAAATCTTAAAGAGATTTTCACTATTTTGTCAATACACATATTTTTCCAATTAAGAAACTAGAAACTTAGTATAACAGAATACCTTGTTATTCCTCAAAAATATCTCTACAGGCGGAAATAGGTAGACTGCCATATAACAATAGCATTTTCGAGAAAGAAAAAATGCCCGGGTTCTTGTAAAGGAATTGAGTCTTTGTCACAAACTATGATTTTCTAATCTACGGTGTAAAGATAACAGCACGTGTACCAGTGTAGTATTAATCTACGGAGTAAACAAGATAACAGCACGTGTTGATTCAGTACCATTGTAGTGTTAATCTACAGAGTAAATATAACAGCACGTGTTGATTCAGTAGTACCATTGTAGTATTAATCTACGGAGTAAAGATAACAGCACGTGTTGATTCAGTACCATTGTAGTGTTAATCTACGGAGTAAAGATAA